CAGCATCAGTAAAAAGTGGCAGTCCTTGTGCTAATTGCTGCGCTCGCGTGAAATTTGAATTCTGGAACCATGCACCCGTTGCCACCAACTGGACATGGCCCATTCATCACTGCACCATCATGCACTACAATCACCATAAACTTTATCGCCCTTCGGGCCAAGGCCATGGGTCATACTGGAGCGGTTCTGTGGTGGGAGAGATAGCAAGAGGTAAAGATAGTCTAGGTTCAAACTACTATGTACCCGACTTGCGGCTATGAAGTACGAGTTGCACACATGGATATGATTAGAAGAGCTGGGCTATTCAGTGTTCCTTCACGCAGAGAGTGGCTCCATTGGTGGGCCGCTTCAGGGAGTGTCGGTACCTACATACAGTACATGCGCGCAACATTCAACGCAACTGTGAACAGCTTCAAGACCATGGATTGCACGATCATCCTTGCACTTCGGCTTGGGCACAGCAAACCAGAGAGTTCCCTCCTCTTCCCACCAATGAATAAGTTTCAGCACTAATATAGCAACAGTAGCAGCAATTGAGAAGGGAAGACAAGAAAGGGCGGGCATCAGACTGACCAGAGATCTGCCCGAGGCCGTGCTATGCGTCTAATGCACGTACATAGCGCAGTATAGATAGTGTACGTATATAGTAGGGCCACAGTCGGTCCCAGGTCTCTTGATTAGCGCCGCTTGGCTTGGCTGGTTCGATTTGTCCAACCTCTCTCTCACTCTCTCTCATGATCTTATCGCTTCTTCACAATGTCATTCGTTTCCCAGCAGAATTGCGAGACGCCGCGCACTGTGTTGACGGCCAGATACTGGACACAACGTTGTGTTTCGAGATTTTAAAACGTTGGTACGTTCGAAGAAGAAAAAGGAAGGTTTTCGTTGTAGGAAAAAAAAAAGGCGGCATGAAAAAAGTTGCATGTGCTGAGAATAGAGGTCTTCGGCCAGAGAAAGCAATTTTGATCTTTTGCGCTCGTCATCGAGGACTACGAAGACTGGAAAATGGAAAGATTTTTTTGTCAGCCTACACCTTGCTCTTGCAGTGATGACAATACAACTCGTCCCAATTGCTAAAATCCACTGCATGCCTCACATTTTGGCTGGTGTCGGGTCTTTTCCCCCTCTAACGGACTTCTTAGGTATTGACTAAGAGCTACCATAATAAACCAAAGTATTGCTGTGCGATTCCAAATTCCTTTGCTTCTTATATTTCTCGAAGGGGAAAAAATTCATGTGCGCGAGCAAAAACGAATTGTACTTCGTACTCCAGTTATTTTTATTGCTTTTTCTCCATCACAATCAGGTCCCCTATCAGACGTGATCTTTCCCATGAGCAAACCAGAATCGTTCTCGAAAAGATCCGGGGCTTCCATTCCTCCATAGGTACCACTTAAAACTCTATCAGGCCTTTTGACCTTGACCGTTGAAAACTGCTGGGCGTGACCGCACATTGGCAGATGGGGGTCCTGTCCCAAACGTGGAGTTTTTGTCGCCGCATTGATGCTGAATTGTCCCTACCCAAGGGGCCCAACACTGGGCTTTGCATGCATCGAAAGCCAATCTTTTTGGATTCATCGTTGCCAACAACCCTCGAGCCGCAATTTAGATTGGGCGCCTCAACAAAGCTGTGGCTCTCTGGCTGCTTTGGCTTCCTGCCAGATAATGTAGGTACGGCAGACCCGGATGACAGATTTATCATACACAGTGTCACGAAAATTGCAGATTTACTGTCTTTTCAGGTCCGGAACGGAGGGACGGACGAACGACCATATCAACATAAACGACCAGCGAGGGGCACGATCAGTATCATGATAATGATGATGATATGCTGCCGGGAGCCACGGTAGTACTTGACCCTGATGCATCAATCCAGCCCTCTCAAGCAGTTGGGGCCTCCCCTTGGCCTCACTCGGTTCCGCATAGAGATCAATGTTTCTTTGCCCTAGAGCTACGGGTACCAGGGGGGGCTGCTGTGAATCCACTAGTACACAGTACACAGTACATTGTAGATAGATTATAACAACCTGCTGCCTTGTACCAAAGCCAGCCCTCCTACTGGCCTGTAGGGGTGTGGAGCTGAAATGCCCTCCCCCCCCCCTTCCCCCTTCGCTGAACTGTCCAGAGAAAGCCTGAATCTGTGCCCACCATCTGGACAAGTATCTGGTTGGGTACACCGGAAAATACGCTACTGTGGGTAGATATCTGCACTAACCTAGCTAGACAGTGCCTAGATATCGGGTACGTACCCATCCTCGCGCACCAAGGAAGCAACATTGAAGCAGCGCCAAGCAAGCAGTAGGTGCAGGCAAGCCAGAGAAGGAGCATGGATCACTGCAATCCCCACCGCTGCCGAGAGCACTGAGCAGATTTGGGTGGGCTGGATAGGCGGGCCCTGCTCCAGTTCTGTTCTGCTCTCTCTGCTTTCACTCCGGGCCAAGGTACTGCTGAGTGTACTTCCAGTGCCCACATCAATCCAACAGGTCCATGTCGGTCGGTCGGGGGGGCCCAGCAATCAACCCATCGTAGCCACGCAAAGTAAGAAATCCGGCGGGAATCTTTCGCCCTGCTGCCCATTCTTTCGTCACACCTCTCTGGCTTCCGCTCTCTGTAATCTACACGCTCTTCGTACCTCACAATCCCATAAACTTTTCCCGCTTTTCACAACGACCAGCTCTGCTTTACACATTCAAACACCCGGTGGACCCAACTACACCAGCAAGCACGACGACGACAGCAACTAGACCTTCACATCCACTCGAGTTTCTGCTTTCCTCTACAAATTCCCGAGTTGGCGCAATGGCTTTCTGAGCTGGCCCCAAAACCCCAGCAGCGCCGCCCCGCCTCGCTCTCGTTCTCTTTTTGCTCTGCGTCTTTCCGCTTGATTGCAACAAGCAGCATGCATTTGTGAAAACGCTCACATCAGAATGAAGATCACCACACCGCGAGGCAGACATCACCGACAAATCTTCGGCCATCCTCAACATGGACCAGGAAAAATCACAGCAGAACCCTCACCGTCTCCATACCGACCTCCCTCCCCTCCACCATCTTTTCCCACGGACTGTACACAACACGCCCATCTCATCACCTGGGCTCTTCAGTCCTTCAACCAACAGGACGCAAATGGCGTATCCCACCACCTCCGTGTCTGATGCGTCGACACCGGTGCTTGGGGCTCTCAGCAGCCCCTACCTTCACCCGCTGCAGAACCACAGAGTTAGAGAGTGAGTAGTCCCCTCTCAAAAAAAAAACGTCTAAAACCTTGTATTCGGCTTTTTTCTTTCTTCGCATATCACTGGGCCTTGTACTGTGAGAGGTTGCCCAATATACCCTTTTCTAACTCTTGAACGCTCTAGGACCAACAAGGCTCTCGTTGATTTGGATCTCATGACGGGACGAAAAATTATCAACCAGTATGAAGTGATCGAAGAAATTGGCCGTGGCGTTCACGGAAAAGTGAAACTAGCTCGAAATCTCGAAACTGGCGAGAATGTTGCCATCAAGATCGTAGCTCGCTTCTCCAAGAAACGGCGTCTCGGCAAGGTCACGGCCATGTCACCACAAGACAAGACTAGGAAAGAAATCGCCATCCTGAAAAAGATCAGGCACCCCAATGTCGTTGCGCTATTGGAAATTATCGACGACCCGGAACTCAAGAAGATTTACATGGTTCTCGAGCACGTTGAGTTGGGCGAGGTTGTATGGCGGAAGAAAGGTCTTCCATGGATATGTGCCTTCGAACGCCGGCGTATCGAAAAGGAACAACGTGGCGAGGTCGACACTGAGGAGGAAGCCGAATATTTGAAACTCATGGACAAACGCGTTGCCATCAAGGAAGTCAAGAGAGCAAGGATGCAGCAGAAGCAGCGAGGTGCAGAGGACTACTGGAGCATCGAGTACGGTGCTGCCAACGATGAAGGCTCACTGTCCCTCCCACGAAACGCATCGAAAGACCATTCCTTGTTCCATCAATTGGAAATGCGTCAAGAAAGCGCACGCGAGGCACATAGGATTGCTTCCGGAGCACCTTCCCTGAAAGATGCGTCGAGGTCAAGCACGCCGCAACCTTCTGAACCGGATATCTCCTCCGTCTTTGCCGATTATTCGAGCGACATGGAGACACCCGGTCCTCTGCTCTCCCAGCCAGGGTCTTCCACGGCACTAGACACTGCCATATTCAATCCTGAAGAGGCCATGTCCCGTGGCAGATCTCCGAGCATGGCAGATTCCATCATTTCACACATGTCATCCGTTGACTTCGATCGTCACTCGCATGATTCCTTTGCTGACGATTTCTCCTATGTTCCATGCTTCACGATCGAGGACGCCCGGGCCACTTTCCGTGACACTGTTTTGGGACTCGAGTATCTACACTACGAGGGTATTGTTCATCGGGACATCAAGCCTGCAAACCTCTTGTGGACCCGCGACCACAGGGTAAAGATTGCCGACTTTGGTGTGTCCTACTTTGGTAGACCTGTGCGCGATGAGGATATGGACGAATTTGTTTCTGAATCCGAAGCCCGTGATTTCGATGACGACCTGGAACTGGCCAAAACCGTTGGTACTCCGGCCTTCTTCGCACCGGAACTCTGCTACACTGATCTCGACCGAGAGCAACAACCCAAGATATCCGAGCTCATCGATGTATGGTCTCTGGGTGTAACCCTATACTGTCTCATTTTCGCCCGTATTCCCTTCATGGCCGAGGACGAATTCCAGATGTTCAAGAAAATTGCCACGGAAGAGGTTCACATTCCACACCAGCGGTTGAAGCCAGTCGACCCTCTGACCAATCCATCTACGCAATCACTCTACTTGCGACCCAGCAGTGCTCCCGGATATCGCGGAGACGATGAGATAGTATACGAGACTCTTGATGAGAATCTCTACGACTTATTGTGCAGGATGTTGACCAAGAACCCCGACAAGCGCATTCGACTTCGCGACGTCAAGCGGCATCCCTGGGTCATACAGGGCATTCCAGACGTGGTGGCGTGGCTCGACGACACGGATCCATCACGGCAATCTTCTGGTCGCAAGATTCAGGTCGATGAAAAGGATATTGGTGGTGCTGTTGTGCCCCTTACTTTCCTCGAAAGAGTGCGATCTGCTGCCAAGAAAGCTGTGGGCAAGCTCACAACACACCGGTCATCAGACAAGGTTGAGAGCCAAGCCACCAGGAAAAGGGCCAACAGCAGTGCAAATAGCTCAGCAGGTGAAAGCGTGGCAACAACCCCTGCATCCCATATCTTTCCCAGAGATGCTCGCCGCAAGAGCATCCGCCCTGACGACTATTCCACGGCCAATGAGCATCATCCTCTTGCACAAAGTGTGACAGCCAGCCCCCAGGGCTCCCCGGATGACGGTTACGAGCCGGAACAACACTCGCGACGAGCGACTTTGGTAGGCGGAGATTACAGCGGCCGTCCCAGTAGACCTGCCATCGATTTTAACCCAGACGCAGATCTCCCGTATAGGCCTTCGTCACGGATGTCAACGTCATCTAGCAAAGCCTACCAACAAGCAGCCCAGCCAGCTCACCTGCGCACGCAATCAATAAACAACGCATTCCTAACGTTAACGGCTGCCCCCGCGGCAATCCCGTATACAACGCCAGCCACACCAGCCGGCGGTCTTGATTCTCTGGTGGATCCAATGGCATCTCTCAGGAAAGCCCGCGATGTTCGACCGCTTGATGATGGCTCTCGCTCACGCTCCGTCGACCGAGGTTTATTCGCCAGTGCCGACAAGCGTGCAGAGCCAAAGGTGTCTCTCAGCAATGCCGTTGCTCCGGGTAATGTGGAACTGCCGCCTCGGAGACCGACAGGCATTGGCCTCTCTGAAGATAACAATATTCTTGCGTCGCCGTTGTTCTTCTCCCCGAAAGCGATCAGGACATACCGACATACGGAACCGATATCTGATCCAAGTAGCCTTTCCACAAGTCATCATGAACGGCAGTTGTCTTTACCCGACACAGATCACCGCGCCCTGACGTGTCAACAAGTCATGGTGATGGAAGGAAGAACGCCCCCTTCCAGAATGTACAAACCATCAACACCTGAATCCTTTGCCAGAGCCCACCAGCAAATGATTCGTCGTCAACAACGCGAACAAGAAGAACATGCCAAGAGGCAAGAGCTCATTGCCTCGAGGACCGAGGTCAACCCTTCTAGCATTCCATGTCCGCCATCACCTGACGATGCATACTTTATGGAGAAGCCGTCGCCTCCTTCTCGACGCGATACCAGTGGAACTATCATTACTGCCAGGTCAGGGTCGGTGGATAACCAAACAACACCCTTGACAAGCCCAAGTGAATTCACGAGCCCAGTCAGTATGACCAAAGAATCACGAGAAGACTCGCAAATATTCCGGTCAGACCCGTCTCTACCTGCCCTTCTCAGTGGTGCCAGCTCTGTCTCCGCAGACGCCGAGGGGGAGTTCCTTCAACGCCCGGGCTCTGTCGACCCAACGTCACACTTTGAATCAAATGGAGATTCACGAACCCCGCCAGCATTTGGCAAGAAATCCGTACCCGGATTCCCACTAGAGACACTGGACACCGAGGATAGTGCAGTCCATTTGCACTTTGCCGCATCTTTGCACAGCCAGAATTCCTCCATCTACTCGTCACGAGCGGTCGATGACGACGACGATAGTGACAGCGACGAGGGTCTTGTCATGGCCAAGACCAAGCGAAAGGGTCCAGCCAGGGATCAGGCTGCTCAACCCTTGAGTAGGATCGCAACTAGCGCAAGGCGCAGAGATACACAAACCAGCGTAGGCAGTACGGAGACGGCCAAGAAGATAAATGTCTACGGCGACTAAACTGCCTGGACTCAAATGATGATGCGCCAAGCAAAGCCACGACGTTTGCCCCTTTGGTCTTGTGCCACGGAGACTGCTTAGTAACCTAAGATGTACTTTGCTGGTTTACATCTATGCAAGAAAGAAAAAAACAAACCAATTCAATGGCATCGTTTCCCAGCTTTACCGATAAGGACCCGCATACGCGCACAACGCATCATCCTAGAACGAACCACGATTGGAGGCACATTACACACCACAAACCTGGTGGCAACTTTTGGCCGTTACTAAGGATCGAGACAATTTAGCGAGATTTTAATTTGCAAAACGAGATGACGATGGGACGAGAAATGTGGATATTGTGTTGTCATCACAGAATCAGAAGGGGAAATGAGATATAAGAGGCGTTTGTGATTTTTTCCCGACGTGCGACTATTTGTCGCGCGCAACTCAACGTGTCAATACGTTCTCCAGATATCTGGCGACACGGCACGAGGCTGTTGGAATTCTATTTCTACCGTCAGGATGAGTTGGCCGCCTGTTGGCCCAGATTGAGAGGCCGATCTTCGGTAGGAGATCTACAAAGCATTCAGAGTGGTAGTCTGTTTTTTTTTTTTTCTGTCCGCGTTAGCGTTGCGGAATACCCGCTGATAGACATTGGCATATGATGGAGTTCCGACGGTAGCATAGCATATCCAATTTTCCAGCATATTTAATTGATACACCCATCTCAGCATCTCTTGTGATATACCGCACTTCTTGATGTGATGAGCTGCCAAGCTCCTATGATTTATACCTTGGTCTCGAATTCCAATTAACCAAACTTTCTTTGACAAGTGTCTGATCAATGCCCGGATACTCGATCCTAATTATTTGCTGCTGACATGCACTCGTGCCAAACAAGCACTTACACGAAATCTTCTTTTTATTCTCCAAGGTTGGGAGGAAAATTGTGTTGCAAGAATTTGGACAAGAAAACTTTGATTTTGTTGGAAAAGCTAATTTGAACTCTGGCTCGAGGAAAAGGACATGTCTTGTGGCCATTGCCCTCCTTGTATCTCTGCTCAAGGTTCATGGCTTTCATGATGATTCAAAGTGAGGGATAATACCCACGAAAAAAGATGTCATATAGTAGTGTGCCTCAGTCTGACCGAAATCCATGCGTGCCCCTATACACTGATCTTGCTCCTCATCAACCTGTGATTCCAGGCACAACGTAGGCTTTAGCCAAGTTGGTATGAAACAAACCAATCTCACAAGTACATGAGTCGAATTGAGAGGAAACAAATCTTTCTATTCTAAACCATGGCGTAATATGCGCTTGTCTGGTGAGTGTGTGATTACTACTATCCAACTTGCATATATCTGGGTATAGTTCCTTCATGACGCTAAAAACCAAAAGACAAAGAAAAACATATTACCATCCAAATACACACACAATCATTACGTCTATGCTGATCTAAAGATGGATCTCTAAGAAAACAGCACCTTGAACGCTCAATTCTCCTCTTTGGGAAACGCCCCCGAAACCCGCGGTTCGTCCATACTCTTGGAACTGCGGGTGCCAACGTTGGAAGTGAATTTGCCTACTTGGTCAAGAGATTTCCTGCTTTGATCAAGAGACTTTCTGCTGAGTTCTCCACTCTTTCTGCTCTTTCCCTTGTTGTCGTCGCTGTTTCTATGCAAGAAGTCGATCTTGGGTAGTGGCCATATGCCATCTTCCTCTTGGATATCGTGTAGTCGGTTCTCGGCCTTTTCTTTCTCCTTCGCCTCCTTTTCCTTCTTGTGCTCGATTCGGCGCATGGCCTCTTCGGTCAGCTCCTGTCGGAACATGCGTTCCACGACATCCTTTTTACGCGTCCGCCGGTCACCAATGGTAATAAGGATGCCAGCCGTGGTGTTGACGGCAATGGAACAACAAAGGATGACCGCAGTCAACGCACCAGGTCGCGTTCGGTAGTCAATGAGCCAAGTACACAAGCCCAGGGCGAGCTGAAAACAAGAGTGACAATCCAGCAAGACGACAATGGCGACGAGGAGACGTAGTGGAAAAGCAAAGTGCGTCTCCGTCTCGTGCGGTTTGTAAAAAGTGTGGGATTTAGCAAACTTGTTCTGGTGGTGTTCCAGCTTTTTCTGCTGCTCGGGAGTCAGGACAGAATATTCTCCCTCCTTGAAATGAGGATCACGAGCAGCCTCGAGATCCCTTTGCTCTTCGGGGTTTGAAACGACTGGCTGGGAGGGCAAATCGTTCTTGTCCTTTAGCTCTGGGACCTCCATCTTGTCGCGAAGTTTCCAGGTGAGGTGATGGTAGCGTGCAATGAAGATCATGTGATAGGTATCGACGAGACGCCAGGGGATTAGGCCGTCACCCATAATGGCAAAGAGAGCCACGAGCACATTGTCAATAACGTTGATGACATATAATTGCTTACCACCGACGTTAATCCAGCCAATGAGGAAGAGTACCCAGGCCAGACCAAAGAGAGTGATCAAGGTGGCATACAAGGTGACGAAGAATCCCAAGGGCTTGCGCACGTATTGGCCGAAAGCCTTCATTCTACGCTTGAAAGCGGAGCGTTTTGAGTGGAGCATATGACGGACGTGATCGTTTAATTCGGCGAGATCTTCATCGCTCCAATCTGCTAGGGATGTGTTGGAAGGCCGCACAGCATAGAAGCGGTCCGTCATGGTGCTGGGAATTCGCTCCATTGATGGGCGTCCTAGTGTTTGTTCATCCTCGGTGGTAGGAGTGCCTGCCTCGCTGGCCTCATTTGACTCGATCGGTTGAAGGCGATCTGGTGTTTGTGCCCGGCTCATTTCATTGGCCTCTGGAGGAAAGGCGCCAGGCAAGCGTGGAACGCTTGAAAGGTTATAAGTCGGGCGTCTGTTCACAAGTCGTCCCAGAGAGGGGATGAAGAGAGAGTTTTGGACGTTTGTGATAGAGTTTAAGGTTGCAACCTCGGGATCTGGCCATCGTCAGCGGCGCTCCTGGTGAGAAACATGGGTCTCAAGTAGCATTTTGTCTAAACTTACCGACAACGTCCAGCATATCTACGACGCTCGGATCGTACTCATCCTGAACAATGAGCTGATCCTGACCGTGAGAACCGGCTCTGGGCTTCCGGCCGAGAATCTTCATGCGGCCGAAACGTCCCATACGCTCCTTGTTTGCGGGCGTGGGGGCGGCGGCGGCGGCGACGCCATCAGTGGAAGCAAAGTCGGCAGCGTCGGTGTCCCTTTCAGTGTTGTCGTCAACATCCAACATGGAACGCACATTGTTGGGAGTTTGAGGCTCGGCGGCACTCCGTGCTCCGGGCCTCCGGAGCTTGATAGATCCTCGATCGGCGTAATCGTCAACATCTAGCATGGAGCGCACCACCTGAGGCGGCGGCTTGTTGCCATTGTTGTTTACCTGCCCAGCATCTTGTCTCGTGGAAGAGCCAAGTCTCCGTAGACCAATGGCCGACTGTCGAGGGTGCAGAAAGCGACGGGGGCCTCGCCGCGTGTTGTCGTTATTGTTCTGGGTTGTGTTGTTTTCGCTTAGCGACGGCGACGGCGATGAATTCGTGGGTTGGCTGTTGGCCCCCATTGTACGGCTGAGAGGAGGGAGACGGGAATAGACAAGATTGAACAGCTAGAACCGTTCCTCCTTGATCAAATAGCAAAGGAAGCACGCCTCAATAACATATTCTTGTTTGAGCAACAGAAAATGCACAAAAAGAGAGGTCCAGGTAATAGTTGAACCAAGTAGTAATACTATAATAAAATCTGGCCTGGGCCCCCGTCTCGTCCGGTCGGTTGGTCGGTCTGGGTGTTTGCAAGAGGATCGCCCTGGGAAAATTGTCACACACCAGCCAAAACCACTTGACTCGAAACTTGGAATCTTCCGGGGCGCGCAGAGATGTGACGTTATGGCCCCACTACCCAGCGCCATGATCAACCCCTGTAGCCGATGCGCTAGAACCAAGCAAGTCCACAGCTGAGTAGCGGCCTGCGGGCCGACCGCAATGGAGGGCCACTGACAGTGGACAGTGATAGGGGACGAAACCACCACTCAGGCCCTATCTTTGGGTACGTACCCGCCTTCTCTGCAATGATCACCAGCCGGGCCCCGAGCAATCTGCTGCTTGTCAGCCAGTGCATGCTGTGACCCCCCTGGCAGCCTGGCATCTTGTTTGGGGGGTTGGTGGAGGACAGGACGTCAGTGGCATTCCGAAACTTCCAGGTGCAAACTTCAACCCAAATAATGAAATCTAGCACCTTCTCTCTTTCTCTCTCTGCCGTCCGTATTCTCGTGCTCCCGAATATTAATGTTGGGTGAGATGAACCTTTGCCTTCTTGATGCCGACGAGCCTTTTTCATTTTCCTAATAGCAGTCAGTCACACTTTTTTACATACATCTTGAGCTGACCTTGCCCAACCAAGTAAGCAAAGCGCCATCATATCCGCTTTCATGGACTTGCATTCGCTAGCGAAATGAATATCCCGGCGTAGTGGAATGTTGGTGCAGTAGTCCCCCCAGTACTATCATCGTTATAGTAACATCTTATACGCTGGTAATAGCAAAATGTATCCGCTCTTGAACTGATTTGACCGGGCCTTTTGTTCAAAGATCTACACATACCCATCTTGCTATCTGCTAAGAATTGCGATCTGGCGTTGAAACCGATCGCCAGATCAGCACCCATGCAGCAAGCTGAAGGTGGTCTCTCTTTGACGTGATGTGATCAGCTCCTCGAATGAGTGAAGAAGTGAGTGTGAGACGCACTTCGTCATGGAAGAGCCATCTCACCAATTACTGCATACCTACGCACATGTATGTACGACTCGGCCCAAAGGCGGTAATCTCCCACGTGGGACTGGCCAGCCACGAAATTATCCCTCCGCGTCTGGACTCCAACCGTCTTAAAATCTACTGATGTGGTGTAGCTGTTAGATGGACGCGGGGCAGATGTGCTATGGAATAGTGTTATTAATCATGTCTAGGCACATACAATCCTGCAGGTAGAGATGGTTACTCGCACTCACATCCATCTTTCACCCCTGCTCGTGCTCAGACCAGAGATAGACACGCGAAGGATTCTCTTTTGGTCTGTGTACACCTTCAGCCCTATGAGCATCCTTTTCCCTGCCTTCTACTAGTGTAAAGAAAGCTAGACCGCTTCCATCAGTAACCATTGGTAGGCAATGGCATACACTTGACTTGGCAACTATCATATGGTTTGGGATATATTCTCAAGAAACTTGATTATACCCTGTCTCTGTCATATATCATCTTGAAGCATAACGAAAACCCTTACCGTGTTGATTGTTGGATTCATCACAGGTAATACTGCCTGGGCCAGATATTCATGGCCGTCTTCAACCCATCGCCCAGCGGAAGACCTGCGTGCATGGTCCGCTCGTCGCCTGTCCCATTGGCATGCAGATTCACCCAGAACACGGCGTTGCCACGGACGGGTTTAAAGGCGATCCCGCCCCCGTCCTCCTCGGTGCGCTCGTACCACGCCATTGTCCCGTTTTTACCATGATTAACATCCCGACGCCGATGATGGCCCCCAGGGGCGGCAGCAGCAACCGTGGCCGGCGGCTGTAGGTAAGGAAAATGCGTTTCCCCGCCAGAACAATTGTCTTCGAGTATCGCAAAAAAGCTGGCGGCGCGATTCCACGCCCGGCCGAGGCGCAGTTTATCGCGGCGCGCGGGCTGCGGCCTCTCGTACCAGTCATGATGGAGATTGAACCGCTGGCCCGCCGTGTAGCGGACAAGCTGGGGCGGGCCCATCTCGGCATCCGACCCAAAGTCCATCAGCCCGCCCAGAAACGCCTCGGCGCGGCCCAGGACGCACGCCACGGCCGGATCGTCAATGGGCAGCGCCGCCGACGACGACGTCCGGTCCGACGTGTGCTGTTTCCGGTCGTGCTTGGTCACTTCGGACGGCGCAAAGGCGGGCTCGCCCGCCGCGACGAGGGCGGCTGCTTCGGCTTCTGGGACGAAGTCGCGCAGGTACATGACCAGCGGGTCGACCGAGACAATCTCTGTCGTGTACGCGTGCGGTCTGCACACGTAGGGGGCGGCGGCGGCAGCGTTGCTGGGCAGCGCTGATGACGACGCCCAGTGGGATGAGAACGGGACAAGAAACTGGAAACGAGATGAAGCCCAAGCCGTGCCAACTTCGAGCCAAGGCACTATCAGACGGCACAGCAGGGGCACCGCCAAGGCCAAGACGGCCATAGCTGCAGTGATGCTCAGACGGCCCATTGTGTAGTGTTGGGTGCCGCGGCCCTCTCGTGATAACGATTTATCGAATCTTGAATTCAAATTATCTCAAGAAAAATGCCATTAGTTTGATTTGAAGCTCATCTCACGAGGGAAGCAATGCCACAATCACCAAGGCAATCTGGTCTTGCTTGCAACAGGATTGTCGTGGACATTTGGAATGCCACTTGGTAAAATTGGTCCAGTCCCGGGGTCGGGTTCATTCACCGGAATATGATCTTCCGTCCTTTCAAACATTGGTACATACATGGACACCTATTATCCATTCAAGGTGGTCTGCGTCTGGGTTGGAGAAACGACGCGTTTTATTGGGTGGGGGCTTACACGAGACATTGCAACCATGGAATATAAGCATGATGGTATTCAACGCAGGAGAATCAATAGGTATATGTTCATTCATGTTTGATGATGACCTTTCGAAAAAGCAATCTTGGTGACCCAACCCCAAAACGCCACAGCCTGACCAGGCTTTCCTTTCCATATTTCCCATTGTATAAGCTCGCACGAATGTTTGTACACATTCAAAACTCCTAATCCGCTTCGCAACCCAGTCCTGAAAGTCGACCCAGCCAATATAAATGCTATACTACCTCCCGACAACCTCTTTTCTAGTATAATACCCCGTCTTGATGCAACTTCTATGTCTTAAGTCTACCTATATAGCCCAGCTGCCCCTTCTCGCCCGTACACCCCACCCCGAAGTGTTGCCGTCACCGCCCAGGTCGGGATGTTGCCTTGCCCATTCGAGGATATACAAGCGAAGTGCTCTCCAGCGTGGCGGCTTCCGTGTTCTCTTTTCGTCTTCTTCCGGCGTCCGCATCTCTTCATCACTACTGCTATCGCTGCCGACTCGGAGCTCCATTTCGAGCATGAAGCCCTTTTCGATCTTCTTGTTGTCATCTTGGCGCAGCTCATTGATAGGAATGCCACTGATTTTACTGAGCTCGTCGTCAAAGGATCTCGCCATGGCAGGGTATCCGAGGCTGATATAGTTGTATACTTGCGTAATAAAAGCATCGTCGAACTCGGCTAGCAGTCGCTCCTTGTGGTCTTTGCGGGCCTTCTCCATTTTGAGACGGTCGTCCAGTCCATGGAGCATATGTAAGCCCTTGGGCGGGTCACGTCTTGAAGGCGATGTGGGCGTTCGAGGGGCAGTGTGGTCACTTGTCATACTAGCAGAAAAAGCCATGGCAAAGGGGTCTGCGGGAGACGCAGGCTCCCCAGGTGTGGCCAATAGTGCCGGCGGGTTGAAGCCTGCACTTTGTACCATGTCTTCAGGCGCCTGTCCTACGCAGTAGCCGCGCCATAGACCTGTTTCACCAGAGGGATCACGCTGCCTCTCCTCAGGACGGGACCCATCTCCGTGAGTAGGCCATGGATGATCTGGTTCCATTCGCGTGGCCTTGGGACTCGGGCATGTGCGGAACTTCAAGTCTTCTCCCAACATTGGTGGAGATTTCCGTTTTTGCTGACGCATAAGATCACGATCTTCTTTTCCGGTGTTGAAGTTTGCAAAAGGCATGCTGAATGGACCGGCCTTCATCCCCGTGGATTCAGGTTGGACGCGGGGGGACGATGCAAAACCGCGGTCAGCGGCTCCGGTATGCGCACCGATTCGAGGGGACTGCGCAATCAGATAGGGGCTCTGCCAGGGGCTTTGCGACTCGACCTTCTGTAGCTGTGTGCGCGAAGGTGGTCGAGGCCCGGTGGTTGTCCACAAAGGATCCTCAGGTGGAGGTGCTATATCCATCTGATCCAAATCGTCGTCAAATGTTGGCTCCCTTGTCTGTTTATTTTTGCTAGCCAGCTTCTCGGCATGCTGACGCATTTCTGATACTGCCCATGTTGGATCTGTCGACTTACGACGGATCAGGTTGGACGTCCCATGTCTCAGAGGTTCCTCATACGCAACATCATCTTCAGAGTTATCGCGCACGAAGAAATGCTCTACTCCGGCCGGTGGCAGACCATTGGGATATGCTGACATGGCGGTCTCAAGTTCGCGCTGCCTAAAGGCTTCCCTAGCAGCCACTGCCAGCAGGTAATGATTGGACCTTTCATCACAAGACTCTCTCCTGTCTTTTGCGTCGGGGTTACGTGTTGACCACGTCTCTCCATCAGAAGGAGCCCTTGCCGGCGCCCCAATGCTAAAAGCTGCACCCTTGGGGGCTCCATTTTCGTCATCAGACTTGTCTGACTCGGACGAAGGTATGACTTCAAGCTCCGGAAGATAAGAGTTGGCGCGCGTAGCTCGCCTCGTGTTGCAATGCTGCTTCAATGACTGCTGCCTCCGCGGGAGAAAGCGAGGACTTTGATCTCCGCTCTCTACACTACTAGCTCCATGAGCTGTTCGGAGAGCACTAGGTGGCTGCTGCTTCCTCTTTGGCTTCTGCACGTAGATGTGATTTGTACCTGGTGTGATGTCGGTTTTGTCGGTAGGCTTGGTGGCTGGGCCGTCTTGCCCCGCTCGCTTGGCCCTCCTTGATGTCTCAATCAGTTGCGGAGCGAACCGCCTTTTGGGTTTTTGATCCGATGTCTTTCTCGTCTCTATGACGGGTGCAGACGGAAGTGCCGGTATTGGCGGGAGAGCATCGGTTGGCGAGGGATCGGGTGTGAGTTCCGCAGTAGGACCATGAGGGTTTTTGCCCACGCGGTATGAATCAAAGGTTGTCTCTATTGGTACGGGTGCAAATCGGCGTCGGGTCGACGTTGCATCTTTCATGTCGACATCGACTTGCACGGACGCATCTCTTGTGGTCCTGGGCTTCGGAGCCTCGGCCGCTGCTGAAGACGACTCGCTCTTGTTTGAGGATTTGACCGTTTCCTCTACAAGTTGGGGCGCAAATCGGCGGCGAGGCTTCTCGGACGGCGGGGCGGGCTCTTGGCTGTCTTCGGCTACTTGTTCATTCTTGACTTTTGACGATTTGGTCGTCTCCTCCACAAGCTGAGGCGCGAATCGCCTACGAGGCTTTTCTGGCTCTGAAGCCGTAGCGACATCCTCAGTTGCGCGAGATTCCGGCTCCTTGTTGGCTTTCGAAGACTTGACCGTCTCTTCGACAAGTTGAGGGGCAAAGCGGCGGCGGGGCTTAGGGTCGGACGCCGGAGCGTCGGGCATGGGTACGTCTGCCATCTTTATGCAATGCGACCAAAGGAAGCGTGCGAAGGATGTCGGGGGACGACGGGGGAGACGCAGATAAATGAAGACGGCAACGACAGATTATAAGAGGAAGTAGTAGCAGTAGTAGTAGTCATATGATGTTGTCGCTTGAGTATGGGGTTTCGTGTAGAAGAATACCCCCCAGAGACATACTAATTAGCTGCCATGGCAGTGTCCCTGACCCAACACAGCACCCCGGGCGCAACTAGCCCCGTGACGAACGCTCAAATGGGTGCACCTAGGCGCACCGCTATTTTGGTAGCTACGTTCCAGGTCGGGTGGTGGAGTTGCGTGGGGATTTCACGATGTCTTCCCACCTCTAACCGGCGGCCGGCCTGACGTGCGTCCAATGACGCTCTCGGGAGAAGCCGGGGTCTTCGTAGTCGCAATCTATCGAATGGTCGGTATTTCTGGAACGGTCCAAGCTGGTGTGGACCTGACAATAAGGAGATATTCAGCTCAGGCTTCCATCAGTGTTCCGTAGAACAATAGTCTAGAGTCTAGAGGACGACAGCTCAGGAGTATGTTTTCAGGAGGCGCATTGCGAAAGATGAAAGAAAATCTTGAAATTCCCCAACACGAAGCGAACTCGCGCAGAGAGAAAGAGAATCCCTCGTGTGCAATTCCAATCGACTCGTGCGGGATCGGATCGGATCGCGGGGCAGTTGGGTTGGGGGGCAGCAGCCTGCATACCTACTGTGTACCTACAATCTCTTGAACTACCGGCCTGGGTATACTGCTGACATGTGCCAAAACGGCCTTGTCATGGCTCAGCGATAACTTGGCACGCAAGCGAATTCTACAAAGTCGTGATTGTGAGTAGATGAGAAGAAGAGAGGCAATGAGTCAAAACACGTGTTTGATTAAGTGCCAGCGCCTAGTTGAATCGAAATATGCGACCAAGAACTTTGATCCAAGAATACACCTTGCGTACTGAAGAGAGATTGCTTTGTACCCTCATAATCCCCACGAGACCCATGTTCTGATGATTGACATCGCAAAGCTTGTGGATCTTGCCCCCTTCAAGTCGGGCATCTATGTTCTGCACCGATTCAATAGAAATCAAATGAGAGCAAGTAAATATAGAAACCGTCCGGTCTTCTTTTAATTGAAATTGAACCTCGCGCGGAAGAAGGCATTTGTATCAAAGATGGGCATTCCAAAGAGGGCAGGTTCAGCCAGCCTTTTACATCAACGGGCGCGCAATGGGCTGGCTGCTTTGATAGGCAAACTGACGGCTGTCTCTCACCCGCCAATATGGTACGGAACCGAGATCGGATACTTTGCCTGCTATGACGTACGTATTGCCCGCATCAGTCCACTTCAGTGAGTTGTGATTAACAGTCAATGGCTCAAAAGATGGATTGATCGCGACACATACACTGTATAATAAAATACTAGATGTGTTGTAGTTTGATAATATCAACATAACAAAAGTTCAAATTGTACATACCATGTAAACTACTAGAAGCAACAGCCTAGATTTGCCTAACAATGCACTCTACAGGTGCCAGGACACTAACCAGCCGCACCCACTTATGCAACGTACCCCCTTTTGCAACGTGTTATTTCCCACTCTATAATGCAACCTAATTATAATATTTTATGATATCTTAACAGCCATTTGTTTAATTGATCCTATTTTTTTAGAATAACTAAATTAAACGAACGCGATATAAAAAAAGCAATTAAAAAGGTCGAAAACGGTGAAAAATTAACTAAAATTGCACGCGATTTAAGTATTTATATATTTATTTTATCGCGTAGGCTTTAAGGTGCGCGATTTTATCGTAATACCTACGAATTAACGCAAATTTTTTTAAAATTATAAAAATAAAAGCTTAAAAATTAGATTTTATATAAAAAATAATACGGATAAGCTTTTTCGAAATAAATCGTACGAAATATAGCTTCGCAAATTATTATTAATATTTAGTTTAGTAATTAAGCTATTTATATTAGAAAGAATTAAGTAAATAAATTCGTATAACGCTATTTATATTTAGCTATAAAGCTAGGATAAATTATCGATGCCGATCGGATTAATAAAATTAATTTTAAAGCTATTTAAAAATTTTATATATTTATAAATAAGGTCCTAAAGCTATATTTAATTAAACTTAAAAATATATATAATATAAATAAAACTAGGGTTTAAAAAAATAAAGCTAAAAAAGGGATTATTATAAGCATATCGAAATTATGTCGCTTTCGCATTTAGAAATCGGAAGCGATTAGATAAATAATTGCGATTTATAATATTAACGCTTTTAGTTTAATAATTATAATAATTTATATTTTAAGAAAAATAACGTTATAAGCGTAATAGTTTCCTAAAAATCTAAAGGAAGCTAAATTTATTATTATATATAAAAAATAATTTAATTTTATTATAGCATTTTCGTAGCTTAAATAAATATTCGGCCTAAAAACGAGGCCCCGTAAAAATACGCAGCGGCTACGCCCTTAAAGGATATTAATATTAAATGGTTATAATATTTATTTATTATTAAAATTTATATTTATAGCTTATCGTATAAAGATCGCTTTAATATACCTATTTATATATATTAGCGAAGCCTTTTAATTATTTAATAAAAATATATTTTCTTTTTTTAAATATTGTTATTATTAATAATTTGGCAAATAGCGTAAAATAATAGTAATTAAATTTATTTAAAAGCAGAGAATATTTATAGCTTATATTACGGTTTATTAATTAGCTTTTATATAAAAAATTATATAAAATAGCTGGCGTAAAACGGGTATATAGCCCTTAAATCCTAATTAAATATTAAATAACCCTAAATTTTTTCTTTTAATCCCGACCCTCCTTTTATATATATTACCCAAACCTTTAGATATAGCTAAAATTGCTATTATAACTTTTTATAATAGTAAAAATCTTCGGGATGCTTTTTTTTTTATCTAAAAAAAGCATTTGGCGTTAAGGCGGGAAATAAGGTAATTAATAATAAAAACGGCTAAAATATTAGATTTAATAATAATAAAATTAGCTATAACGCGCTAAAATAACTTACTTTTAAATATAAAACTAGGTAAATATAAGCCCGATAAACGTTAAATAATCACTTTTAATCCGAACCAGGCATTTGCTAGTTTTCCATATATTAAATCTGCTTAAAATAAATTAAATAAACGGCTGCGAAAAATACCATAAAAAGAATAGGTTCCTATTAATAATTTCCTTAAAATACAGCCTTTTATAATTAAAAAATAACGTAAAAATTAAATCTATAATTTAAAAAATTAATTTAAGTGTGTTATAGTGGGAAAATATTTAATTATATTATGTGTATTATATCGGACTTTGTTAAAAATCCGTTGCAAAAGGGGGTGCATTGCATAAGTGGGTGCAACTGGTTAGCCACATACCTACCTACCAATGGGACATGAGCTGAAAGTCGACCAATGCAGAAATGCATTTCTAAATCGCTAATAGCGTCTTGACACTCGAACATGGGCCTGACTCGTGGTTCGGCCTGAACACGATCTGATTTCTGATTTAATCCTTGCTGCGCATCGTTTTCCTAGACATGGTCTCGGCTAGTCTGTGGCGATTGTCGTTCAAGAAACAGTGGCTGCTTTCAAGCGACTGATAAAAAAGTCAGATCTAGTAGACGTAAAGGATGATTATAGGTCAAGTAGTTTACAACATTTACTCAGTGTTTGATAATCCAGATCAATGACTGTATACCCAAATCCACTCATCGGTATAATATATTAGTATGTGTATAGTTTTGGCTCAGGTGGGGGAGTCGAGGGTTGCGCATATTTAGGTGCATTCACTTATGTCTTGACTCGACCAGCTTTGGAGTGTCTCTGGAGCAGAACTCGAAATCTTTCTCAAGCTACGCCTGTTTAATGTGCTTGGTCGTCAGGCGGATGGTGCATGATGGATTCGCGGTTGCGTGGCATGCCATCCAGATATGGCTGCACGAATTGGACTTCTCTTGTCTCTTCGTTGGCAATAGGGCCCCTGGTAAAAAAAAAAAATTTGAACATCAGGTTCGATTGGTCGTGAAAGCTTCAAATTCTTCATGGCCCTATGTGCCGAGCATGGGGTAACAACGCATCCTGCTGATTGGCAAATCGGATAGCATTCCCAGGTAGAGGCAGGCTCCATACCATAGAATCAATCAGCTGTCCATGAGCCCACACCGCTTCAATAGCTGCGCTAGGACCTGAACTTGTTATCCTTTGGGGTTTAGAACTATTCACTACTGCATCGACAAGTCTCGATCAACAAGACGAATGGCCTTTTTCTTGTAGTTTCCAAGTCGCATTTATGTCATATTTTTCACCGACTCTTTTCCTCGGGCTCTGCAAATGCAACGACAGCTGTCAGCTGCAAGCTCCAAATGGTCCGTTCCAGAACTAATGCCTCCTGAACCACGAGAGCCGTGGTTCAAAGGTCGCGAACAATAGCTTAGTAGACAATGCATTAGATCCATAACCATGCTCGATATAGTTGAGCAGCGATATCTAGCTATCGTCACTCTATGATAAGCTTACATCCTCTATCTCGATGTCAGGGAAGGACGCTACACGTGGGCATGGCACCTAAACATCGATAGTCGACATTGCTTATCCGCTCGATTTCAACATCGCTCCGTGTGTATGTCTAGGACAATTCTTGAATTTCGCTTCAGGATCTAGATAGTTGGCGTCTATTCATATCTCACAACATGCAGCATTGCATTATCTTCTAGTGCAATACACGACAATTACATGGTAGATAGATGGCTTTCAGGCCAGAGAGTGTCCGTTTGATACGCCCCCCGACGTCCATGTCGTCCCACGGGTTCCTGCACGGTAATGGTGGCACAAAGGCCGGCACGAACAATATCAAGCGCTACGTGCATCGAGTCCTCATACCGAGAGACAGCAGAGGCGCCATATTCTTCCGTGACACGATCCAGCGCAGAGCGCACACGTGACTTGGTACGGGAACACAATGAGTGTGAAAATGCTCAGGTCGCGAGGCAAGGGATCTTTTGAGATAACCGCAGCTACCCTACCACATTCTTTTCATCGTTTCATGGTGATACGACTAGACATGACAGGTCTACCAGGAATCTTTGAAATCCAAAGGTCTGATGGACCTACCCAATCACAAATGCTGCCGCGTCCTGGACGCGTACTCTTGCACAATATTTTGTTACCTTGTACATACCTGTAACCCTCGGCTGAAGGGCAGCATTTCAGTACTCTGTATATCAGAAATACATACTCTGGCCTGCTCATTCTAGCTGCGCAGCTCGCGGCAATGTCATATCGCTAATTGATAAGATACCACATACAATACTGTACTCGTATGATAGGTCAATCAGCTCGTCTTCATTGGCCGGCAGCCGGGAAAATCTCATCTGCTTTTGTACCTGTTCCTGATATTGCCATTCTCTGCTGGGACTAGCACCCAGCACCCATGAGCTTGAGCGCTCTTGTACTGTAGATTGTTCCCAACCGGAAATGTTTGCCTCAATGGATAGCGGCAAACAGGCGTTATCTGCAGGAGGAGCGAGATTGAATGTTGCACAAGTGACAAGAATTCCCCCGAACAGGAACGATACCGTTGCTGCTGCAAGGATCGACCTCCCGTCTCTGCATGCAGCTTGCAATTTCCCATCGGCCGAGCCAGCCCAGCGGCTGTCGCGTTGCAGCCTCGGTGCAAGTCTGTTTATTGATTGTGCTAATTTATCTTATCAGTGCAAAGTTATGCTGAATTTGTTGGACCCATGCCAAAGAGAGCGCAAAGGATTATGCGCCCATGGTATTGTATCAAACACTATAAGCTTCTTTTTGGAATTGGCATCGGTGATCGTACGTATGCGACTGCTGAATTGGTTAGGAAATGTGACGATCTCGGCTCCAGGTTGCAGCAAATCTAACTCAGAGTTGTGCTTAGTCCGAAATGACCACGGCACTTCTTTACAGGAAACAAATGTTCCTGTTGGATCAAGAGAGAATTCGCGACCAAAGCATCGAAAAAACATGGTGGCCAGGGTTCAGCTAGAGACGCTTGTCGCAGTGCCCGGATCGGCGCTGCTTTCTGTATGGATGGTGTTGTTCCTCAGACAGTTCATCGGTATCACCCTCGTTAACGACTCGATTGCCCAGCCATTCTACAGGGATGACCAGCAGAGATAATGTGCTGCATGCGAGTTCTCCATGGTAGTGAATGCACATGGATATAAAAGTTCGTGCAAAGAAGGAAATGCTTCCCACCAAATCTGAATCATTGGCGATGAGGTACGAAACCTTAAAGCACGCGGCTTTAATTGCCTTGCCGCAAATAAGGCTTAGTGAGCTCTGGCTGCAGCTATCCATGCGACGACTGCTGCCATTTATTGTATTTTTTCTTCTTCACCGTAGCCATTTGATTGCGGTCCAACATCGCCGCATCCTCTTTCGGAAAGGGGATTTGTTTACCGGGACTCGACGGTCGGGATCGTTCCTGGACGAAAGAAGAGCATCGTCGGCAAGAAATGCGACGTGGCTAGAGCCTAGAGCTGAAAAGGGTCGAGTATCAGCTTGTCAAGCATGTAAAGACCTTGACTGTCCCTGGTATAGGTTGCATGCTATACTGGGGGCATATCCACCACTAAAGACCAAATGACGTACTATACGGGGTCGTCTTTTTGTTTTTCTTAGACAAAAGTCCACCATAAAGAGGCGCACTAGAATAGACCAAGGGGTTTACACTAAAGAGAGAAAATTCAACATCAGAGAAAAACAAAGTTGAGCCTCGTTAGATATAACGGGGGGGTTTTAAAAGTAAGAAAACTGAGAGTAAGAAGGCCAATTCGCACAAGACGAATTTGTTGCTAATCGTCTCTATTTACTCTTGACTCATTCAGAGCTATGTAACTTTAAAGGAAAAGTAAAAGCGGTTCGTGTTATTGAAGCTCCTGCCTGCAATGCCACATGAGTTTGGAGAGGCTGTGCCGAAAACCGAAACTTTTGGGTAGGTCGTTTTGTATTGTTTGGTCAAGTGTATGTGATAGGTTGGAGACCGGGCTCAGATTGACGATTTGCAGCCAGGATAGAATGGGCGAAATCCTGGTTTCGAATCGCCAGTTCACACCCACCCACACAACACAACACACTCCATCTACGTTCATGTGCAACACCACTGTACACCACACTGCGCCGGACCCCTTATTTCTCTTCAGGAGTCCACGTACGTAACATCTGACAGCCGCCAAACCCACAGGCAGACAATTGCGATGGACAGGATGGACAATGGGGATCTCGAGCCGGGTCTTTACTACCTTGGTGCTACGTGAATTGAAACCTTCATCGGCACTATTCGACCGCCAAGCCACGGCCAAACTGGGCCACATCTCGTGTAGGTGCTACCAAGGACCAGAGCCAATTACGGCTGCATACGGGCTGCCAACGTAGATCCTCTTTTAGAGATCCGGGCAGAACGGCCTGGACGCCATACATGTCCACTGGGCGCTCCACAGCTTTGGGGCACTCCAGTGCTCTTTTTTGCACTTGGAAACGCGGTTTTTTGGATACTCGACCCGCCTAAGCATGCCTAGCTACCGTGCTGCCGCATGCCGTCCCCGTTCGTTCTATGCAATTCAGTTAGCACCGTCCGGACAACATCCAGTTTATTATGGAGCCCCATTTATAGTATTACGCTGCTCGATCTTGACATGATGTTACTGGAAAGCTGAGCTGTGTCGTCGAGCTACGGTGAGCAAGCTGGGTCTGTGTGTCTGTCTGTCTGTCTGTCTGTCTGTCTGGCCGTCTGGTGTGCTGTCGTGTGAGCTCTTACCAAGCTGGCTAGCTGTCATACGTCTATGTAAGCTGTCCAGGTGGTTACCATACTTGGCTCATTGGGTGCATTCGATACCTTACATACATTACCCAAACTCAGAGGGAGCTACTACATTACATTGATGTACATCCTAAATAGGCGAGATATTATGAACAAGTCAGGCATGCAGTTTGATGGGTTGCACACTAGGCGAGAATCAACCACGCCAAATAAAAACAAGATCAGACAGATTCTCACCCAATCCCCATCGTCGTCCTATCATCCCTTGCGTGCCTACCTATCTACGGGATACAGACAAAAAAAGTTTTAAGCAACTTCCCTCCATTTTCCGCACCATGGCGCGCCCATACGCAATATCCTCATGAGCGGGGCCATCAGCGAGCAGTTTTGTTTGTTCTTTCTTCCTCTCTCTTTTTGGTTTTCCTGATCTTCATTTGTTTCTCAAGACCAGCCATTCGTCCATCCCATCCCTAATCCCCATCCGGGAGTTCAGTCCAATCTTCGTACCTATGTAGGGTTTGAGTTCTCGTTCGCCCGTCGACCGCCCATGTCCATCCACCCACCCACACCCCCATGTCCCTGTCATCTTCTGCACCCGACAACCAAGAAAAGCTTCCCAGGACAGAACAGGGATCCCGAGTGCGTCCCAGTGACCCAGTCCGTCGAGAAGAGTCCAAAAGATAAAGGTGACCCGTCGCTGACAGGGACGTGTCGCGCCTGCACGGAGTCGCGCGGGAGTAGCGCCAGTTCGTCTCGACATTACCTTGGGTACTACGATACTAGGCTCAGGCTCATCCTGCCCCAGCTGCTCATGCTAGTCTGGTGAGCGAATGTCGTTTCTTTACTGTAAGGAACTTCCCAGCGATCTCATATACTTGTAGACCCTCGAGTCAGGCGCGTTATCCCATCCCGTTGCTTGTTTCCTCACTTTCCCTGGCTATATTCGTCGTCCACCCCCCAAAACACCTACCTCTCTCTGGAATACCACGTATTTGCGACGGAACTGAATTGTATCGTGCGGAATACGCCACTGGCTCGTCATACTAATACCTACGGACCCCTGGAAACGACCTTCTATACTTGAAATCCTGAGCACATACAACGCCTTTGTCGGCCCAGAAAAAAAAAATTCAAGTCGCCGGACTGATAGAATCATCATCGCTGCTGACGGCCCACTCTTCACGTTTCGACTCTGGCGAGGAAGGGGGGCCGTTTGTAAAACAAAGCTACAAGTCCAATTTTTTGTTACCAAGGGGGTAGAAAAGAATTGATATATTTGGGAAATAAAATATAAGGGACGCTTCGGCACACCTGAAGTTGCTGCAACTCGAAACCTACAATTCGCAACTCCGGCCGTCATGGCTGGCACCTACACCGAGGTCGCCCAACAGGACGACGACAGAAATGATGGCGCATCGCCCGTCTCGCTCTCGCCCGCTCTCTCGCCGTCGCCCATGCCACTTCTTCAGGCTGTAAAGTCGACATTTACTCCAATTTCCATGGACTGCGACGACTCATATCAACAACTCGACTCGGAAGACCATATTATTGGAGAATTTCCGCCAAACGACAACGACAGCGACCAACGGGCAGATAAGACTTCTCAAACGGCCATAGGGAACTCCGACGCCGTGGACTTGGCCCAATCAGTAGGAGCTCGAGCTTCTGCACGAGCCACAGCACTCCAATGCCCGACGCCTAACAACACTGAACCCGACCTTCACTCGGCGTCTTCAGGGGCTGTGGATACAGCCTCATCCGGCCGCTCCAGCCCCATTTCCAATTTGGTCAATACGAGGTCACATGTTAGTCAGGGAACAAACGCTGCGAGTCCGACTGCCGTGCATCGCATTTCAAGTAGCAGTAGCAGTAATAGCCCAAAGGCCACGATTGGTCATCTTGCCGATTTGGGCTGCACCTCGTCAGCCAAATCCTCTACATCTGTCGAGGACAACAATGACATTTTGCAACAGCAGCACTCGCAGCAACAGCAGTCGCCTTTGCTCGTCAAACCAAAACCCCTAATTCGCACCGCATCCACCAAGGGCGTCAAAATCATTCACCCGTCGCCTACTGTGAGAAGTCGCTCCAGCTCGCACGCGAGCAACATTGCCCAGCTTGAGGCGACTGCCGAAAAGTTGTCCAGGACTTCGTCTATTGAGAGCGCCATTCGAGACTTGCACGAGGAACAAAAGCGCAGCGATAGCCGCAGATCTTCCATTTTACAAGCCAGCGCAGGGTTTGGTCCAGACTACAAGGAACCCTTTCCGTTTACGAGACAGGTATCGGTCGCAAGCTCGATTCTTGATACGAACAACGCAGCTCGCCACGGTGGCTATTCTCCCGCGGGATATGTCATGTCCCCCAACCACTCGCTACTTTCAAATCACTCCCGTCTCCGATCTGCATCTCACCCTCATTCCGAAGCCGACTCGAGCGACTTGCTGACACGCCACGGCCCTGGCAAGAGCTCAACACGAAGCGCAAAGTCAACAAAGCCTTCACTCACAGATATTGCTGAGATGGAGCCAACAGGTCTGACCTTGGCTGCGATGGATGAGGCCGACCGCCTGCAGGAGCACCCCGAAGAGCATCATTCATCGCACATGCCGCCCATGGACGATGTCGACCTTACTCCCGGTGCTGCATCCCATAACGGTCCGGGCGCAACAGACTACTGGGGCAATTCACATGCTGGGGGTCAGGTGGAACAGGGCCGGCATGACGAACGCCCAAGATCCCGAGCCGAATCAGTGGGCACCATCGATCAAGCAAAGGATGCATTTGCCGACTTTGACGGGGCCCACTGCTCACCGGAGGCCGACGAGGATCCATTCCAAGCACCGTTCAACTTGGATCTGTCACTCCAAATGCCTATTGATCAACCACGCGAACCCGGTAGGCCCATTATATCAGCACCAATGAACCCAACCGTCAGACCAAAATCATATCTAGACCCCATGACAGGACAACAGATGATGTTCTACCCGGCACGGGTTCCCATGATGCTTAACCTACCGCAGAAATTATCCAAAAATCCAAAGGCGGCCGTCAGAAACCAGCGGAGGTCGCAAGTCTTGAGCATGATGCCCGAAGCAACCCGGCAGTCTGCGGCTTGGCTTCCGGAGGTTGTCCCGGAGCCAATGTTCGACCCCCTGGGCCCTGGTTCTGGCTCCAACTCGGAAATACCAACGCCACTTGTGGAGGCTGAACCGGCTCCTGAGGCAGAAGGTCCCTTACTATCTGCGGAGGACGACAGTGCACCACAGGCTCGTCCCAATCTACGATCCGTCGACAGTGAGGCTAGGAAATCACGCCTGTCAGTGATGGACCCTTCAGATAAACGCAAATCGCGAATGTCTTACACCATCGACAATCTCCCACCGCAGCTTCGAGCTAGTGCTTTCTTTGATATGCCATCTGAATCACCTAATATTGAGCTCAAGGATGGATCGGCCATGGCTACTCTTGACAGTATCCTGGACGCGTCCGCAAAGGCCCCAGTTTCAGCTTTTACGGATCATTCATTTGCGGGTAAACTTGGAGATGAGACATATGGCGTTGAGAAACGTAAATCTCATGTTAAGCGAAACAGCACGGCCGATGCGTTGGAAGTTAAGAAGCGACGTTCCATCTTTCACTTGCGCGCCCCGAGCAAGATTAGCATTAGAAGTTCCTCCAAGGAAGAGAAGCAAAGCAACATGTCAAGTCCTGGACTGGGTATCAAGAACGGCAGCGAATCTGGCGACGATGAGCATAACAAACTAGCGTCTGATGCCGAGGATGGCGAGGATGTGAGCGACAATGAAGAGGATAGCGACATTGATCCTGTCAGTCACGGCCCACCAACCACCCTCCTAGCTGAGTTGCAGATCCGCAAGCACCAACAAAAGATGCGCACCAAGGCGCCTGGGCTGCTATATCCCAATGGGATGCATTCTACTCTCCTCGAGATTGACACTGTCGCGGAGATGGAGCGTCAGAACCGCAAAGGCAAGAAAATCAACCTTGCATGGGAAGGAGCAAATGATGCAGCTGGCGAATCAGACGATGAGGATGTCCCACTCGGACTTCTACCAGTTAAGCAAAATGGTGCATCGAAGATGCAAGCCTTCCAGGCGGAGATGAACCGACCGCTGGGACTCATGGAGCAACGGAATCTCGATGACAATGAACCGCTTAGTCACCGCCGCAACCGTCTCCAGGGTCGCCCTACCCTGGCATCACGACAATCGTTGATGGCTTTGTCAGGTGGAGGCGCTCTGGGAATGAGTGGTGGTCTTGGGCCGCCAAGCCCGGCCCTGAGAACACACACTCCGGAAGAGGACGAGCACGAGGGAGAGACGCTGGGAGAACGAAAACGTCGCCTTGCCGCTCAAGGCGACGCAGAAAACCCTCTTCCTCAGGCTCGCCCAGTGAGCGGAGCATTTTCTGCCGAATTGCTTGGTCAACTGGGAGATACTTTCAAGGAAGATGCCGTCTCGGACACCAAGGAAAAGGACAAGGCCGCTCCTGCTGAGGAAGAGGAAACACTTGGGCAACGCCGGCGACGTCTGCAAGCGGAACGTGAGGCACGAGAAAAGGAGATGGGCGCTGGGGGTGGTCCACTTCAGATCCCTGCCCCGCCTATGATCACCAAGCGCCACTCAATGGCCGACGTCCTAGGCGCAACTCGTCGGACCGTTCTGACTGATCCCAGGGCAGATACCGAGCGGGCCAAACAAGAAGAGGCACAACGGTTCAGAAAGAGCCAAGACCTGAAGCTGGCTGGCTTCCGCGCGCAGATTCCTGACAATCTGAGCACTCCAAACCTCCAGCGCTCAGGTGGCTACATGGCGGGGCAATATAACGACGGGACTGCGGGCGGACTCGGACGCACCAGACTCCAGCACAGCTCCAGTTTTCAAGCTCCAGGCGTGCAGCAACTGCCCATGAATAACGCCATTGGCGGCATTATGGGTGGTAACAACGCATACGGGATGGGTAGTGTCGGCGGCTACAACGGTATGCACAACAACGGCTATGGTCAAAACGTCCTCGCCTACAATGGCATGCCACTGCAGCTGCCAATGCCAATGCAACAACCAGGGCAACAGTACGATAGGGTTGACCGATGGAGGCAGAGTATCGTGCCTTGATATGTGTAAGCCAACAGCACCATAACGGGCGACTAGGGGTCTTGAACGGTCACACACCACCACAATACGCTTTTGACGCAACAGCCAAATTAGCGACGGGGAGGTCGCACTTAATGATTTTCGATCGAAGAGTAGCAGTAACAGGGCAGCATGGTCAGCATTGGGCAACGGCGTTTTCTGTGAATCAACAGCGGTCAGGGAGGATTTGATCATCTTGCATATAGGCACGCGCATATCATCACGGGATAATATCGGCATACTGCATCGAAGCACATAAGCACATACACACCTTGTAATACTTGACGGATATTTTCTGCCGTCTCATATATTCACAGTTATCAATACAACTAAGACGCGAGCGACCGAAACAAATCATTTTTCATTTAGATCATCGTACCAGATGATGAGTTGTCATAAACTAGCAAAAATAGTACGGCATAACTCAGTGCAGAAGACAAGCGCATGATTCTGGCATACGGGGAATCGCCCTGCCTATTACGTACTCATCAGTCGTACAGCCCATGATCTCTCTGGACGCGAGTCGGAGCCGGTCTGCAGCCCGGGTGAAGATGAAATTGACGGGCGACAATGTGCGAGATTACCCGCCGAGTGCTTGCTGAATTGAGAGTCACGAAGGTGACGGTGGGTGCAACCCAACTTATAATCACCAACTGCATGCAATCCTCCGAAACAGAATGCCTTGACTGGAAGAGCCCAATATGGTGCTTTTCGACGCGTGGATGGAGTCGGTCAACCAAGGATGAGTTGCCTTTTCTGTCCCGGTTGCCTTTGTGCGACATGGGTATGATGACACGGCGACGTCTACAAAACCACCTGTGGAAGTATGGCATAACGAGAGCAACATGGGAACAAACCCCTCCAACCCGCTTTCTTTTCCGTCCATCCTCCCTGTGCTCTACTATACGCCACGATTCTAACAAATCACTGATCTACTATTCTAGCAAGCCCACTTACCTAACTACCGTACAGACCGGCCGAGACGGGAGAAGCGGAAATGCATACCCACAGTGAAAAGAAGTGGGAGAGGAAGAGGCGGCGGCAGCGTCCAAACAAAGAAAAGCTGACAGACCTATCCATTCCGCGCGCTCGCAGATTGACAAGCAGACAGTTCGGCTCACATGCGTTTGCCTGCCTTACGTCCAGGGTGGCCAAAGGTCTTGTTTCCCATTAGGCTAATGCAGGTAGTGTAGTAGCAGCTGTCGGCTTTGTGCAGCGATTCGACAGGCCCTCCACGATGCGCGATGCGCCAAAAGAGCCGCAACTGTTTTCCTAAACGAGTTCCTGCCAACACGAACCCACCTCTCTCAGGCTCCTATTCGATAGTGATGCCAGTCGAAACAGTATCCTATCATGCGGAGGAACGACTCTCAACACACGCGGCATGCGCATCAACTGGCCAGAACCTGGCGGTGAAGTTTCTACAACAAGCACACCACCCCCAAGGATCATTCGCTGCCACCTACCTGCTTACCTCGAAGCGCCTCCATTTCACATTGATGTTCTTCACTCATTTGAATGTGATTGCGAATATGGGTCGTGACTATTCGAACCCCGCGAAGTAAAGTGCCGACGTACCGAGCAGGGTTTTGGGGAGATGTTCCATCGGCTGTTTCTTCTACTCTATTTCCTAAAACATCATAGTCATCGTGGATCTCAAGGTTTCGAGGCTTTCTGGAAAGGAGGAAAAAAAAAAAGAGCTGCTTAATCCCTCAACGACATCCGGCCGGGAACCCTACCCCTTGTTGGATATATTTCTTCCATGATACGATGGCGACTCGGAGGAAACGCAAACGGGCACTAAATCACACTGCCGGAATGTGGCACAGCGTCGATGTCACTGTCAGAGCGAGGTTACTCTTCTGCAGGCTATCCGTGACCGGCCGCACTCAAAGCCTACATGGCTCGTACAACCACACGTACGTATATCCAGTACTTTGTAAAATGCATCATGTACCTACCTACAGTTTACAGATCTACACCAGGTTGAGTGTCCTGTCCAGTGCACACCTTGCAACGTGTTGCAGTTCGTTCCACTCAATTCACTCATCGATCAGCACACGTATGAACATACATAGACGTACATGCCTTGGCCATGACGATGCATCCGCGCCCATGTACAATCGCAATTCATCCTGCAGCCCTGTGACTGGCCAGATATGGATGGCGAGGACAGATCAGAGCAGGACGAACACCATCCGGAGTTTCCTTTACTTTCACGGCACACATACACAAACAGATGCCTACATACACTTCATCAAGAATTACAAAATGCGACGCTGCAACGTACAGCATGTTTCGTACTTTATGTGAAGATACAACAGGAGTATAGTGCAATCATCCCTGCAAGGCGGCCGAGAAGGAGGAGTCACAATAAAGATAGAAGGGAGACAGACGCCGAGCCGCTACGGGGCCCCGTGCCCGCTTCCCACCGCCTTCCTGCTGGCAATCGCGATGAGATGATAGAGAAGGGATTGGGCAGAGTTTCTTTGACAGAGTGGACTCTCTTTCTTGTGAACTGTTTTTCTCCTCTGTCTCTCTTGCCCATCTTTACTCTGCTTGATATGTGCCGAGCCAATACGAGCTCGATAACACCCTTGACTTGAAAGCTTGGATCAGCTTGGCCGTACGATGAGGGCGAGGGGGTTTGGCAGAGAAAAACTAGACTAGAGGCAAGCAGAGAAAGGTGGTCCTCGTATACCAAGAAACATCCGAAGACCGGCAGAGGACGGGCGACAAAAAAAAAAAAAAAAAAACCTCCAATCGTTCGTAAATTCCAGCGGATGGGCAGACATTGAAAAGGGAACTGGGGTATTTTCTTGGTACTGTGAAAGAGAACATGCCCAAAAAAAAAAAAAAAAAAAAAAAAGGTGCGGCACCTTTGAGCGGCATTGGGTTTGGGTAGAGAAGAAAAGAAAAGAATTTTTTTCTACATATTTACTAATATCTGATTCGATGAGCATTGGGGGGAAATCTGGTGGTTCAATAAGAACAACGATTTTGATCTTTGAGAGACTGGCCCTTTCCTATTTTTTCCCTTTTCTGTCCCTTCTTTCCTTCTTCGCTTCCCTATACCCCCGCCCCCCCTTGCTCATGCCATGCCTAAACTGCCACGCTGCCATCTGCAGGTGATGACTTGACTACATTAGCGCCTCAACGGCTGTCGAGCGAGAACCGGGGAACCCTCCGCTTTGAGCATCTTCAAGCTGTGGGGGTTTTTTTACTGAAAAGGAAGCGAAGAAGAAAGAAAAACCAAAACCACCACAGCAGCCCAACCAAAAACAAGGTATGGTCATGAAATGGGCATTATTGGCATCATTGGCATCATTGGCATCCACTACCCTGTTCCTTCGGTTCGTTCTGTCGTTCGTTCGTTCGCTCGCCGAGTCCCCTCACTCACCCACCTGCTCCCCCCCTCCCCCCCCTCCCTGCCTCCCCTGGCCTTGTCTCGGAGACGAGACCCTGAGCGCGGGCGGACATGGCATGCCATGCCGTCCGTCCATCCATGCATTTCACTTTACCTCAGGGCTGAGAGGAGCTGCCGGCTGGCCCTATCACGACTTCATCCTGGCCGGCACGAGACCTGTCTGCTCCTGCTCGTGCGCAAGCAGTATACGTGTTGGTGGCCGGCAGGAATCGTGAAGGATCTCTTCATGACCATCCTTTTTCTCTTATTCTTCTCTTTTGGCCCTTGGACCTACCTTGAAGGGGACAGTTCGGTGGTCTGAACAAGTCAAGGGGGGGCAAGGACCGGCCGCACACTTGCTTAGATGCTTGCAGCCAGCCAGCCAGCCAAAAGCCAGCCAACGAGCGGGTGCTTCCGGTAGATCAAAAACTAGTAGTAATATCTATCCAATCCGTCCAGCGCCAAGTCAGCAAATCCAACCGAGCATCGACGTTGACTTGAGCAAGACGGCAACCAGAGTGGTCGGCCGATCCTCTACTGCAACAGCAACGTTTGTTGCTGTGCACTAAACTACCTCACATACGTGCCACACCTGCTACTCCACCTTGGACGTCGGTCGGCCATGCATTCGATCGCGGCAGACATACAGAACCTGTCTGTAATGCTTCCTTCCGTGCTTCCTGACCACGCAAGCCCAGCATGGACTTTTACGCACTTGGACGGCCTAAGTGTCTTGCCCTACAGGCAGACTAACTGCATTCAGTAGTCTACATATATCATCATGACTCCAGAGTAGCACATCGAGGAGACAAGAGAAACGAATACAGAGTGAAAAGAGAGAGAGAGAAAAAAAGGGTCCGGCTTAGTTCCTAACGAGGTAGCAGGTCTAAAAGAGCATGTTGGACAAAATCTACACTACAGCCGGATCTTCCCACATCGAACAAGGGCCCCGTCCCACACCACCCCTTTGACTGACGTTGATCAGATACTCCCCACACGCGCATACTTCAAGTGTGCGTGCTGCCAACCAGGGCAGAGAAACAGACGCACAGCCGACATCTAAGCTTCCGACCTTCCCCTGCTCCTGCTTCTGCCGTTGCTGCTTGCTTGCTGGCTGGCCCGCTGGTTGCTTCCGCTTCCGCATCTATCGGCCTCTTTTTATTTCTTGTTGCTCTGCTTCTCCCCCAGAGGAAGCTATATGAGACATGACAGCAGACTGGCGATCCTTTCATTCCTCTTTTGAACCAATGCCACTACTATAACAATAGCAGCAGCAGCAGACCAGCGGGACTTGTCTGTGATTCAACCTGTACATAAAAAGTTGAGCTCTTCCTGCTCTCGTTCCTTTTTTTTTTGGCCCCTCGTCAATTGGATTTTCTTTGAGGTCATACCCCACACTATTTGCAAGACCCTGAAGTAGATCTATGCCAAGGGGGCTGCAACAAAGATCAGCGGCCAACTTTTGCGACCTACTTTGCTGGCACTTTGCATTGACTGCATCTATTCTCATGTAAGCAAAGCACCATCTCAAAACCCCTCCAAGCAACCTAATATGAGGTTTACCCGTTTCGTCCTTGTTCAGCCTTATGCTCACATGAATCTGTCCTACCATGTAGTTACAGAAACTTCAGCCCCCAAACGACTGCCTCTTATATCCAGGAGCTTATCATCAAAAACAAGCCCTCGGTTAGAGTGGTTCGTGATGTGCCGCCTCGTGCTCTTTTCTGGCACATGTACACGATGCGGGGGAGACTTTCACTGGGAAGACCTGTCCCAACAGCTTCCCTGTCTCGAAGCCAAAAACAATGGCATATTTGGAGAATGCAGAAACGGCGTGAATATGGACCAACACTCATTTGATCAGGAGTGTGATTCCTGCATGGACGATGAGAGCCAAGCGCAGCAGAGTCAGAGAAATAACGACAAAGGGAAGAAGCGGCAACGCACCAGATGAGAAGACCAAAAGGGAAGAGGGAGGAGAAGAAGAAGAAGCAAAAGAAGAGACTCATGTCCTCAAGGACCGGTGATACCGTATAGGAAGGGCATACGCTAGTATGAATCATTAATGGTGGCAATCTGTTTTTTTTTTTTCTTCATTTTCGTACATTCTTGCTTCAGCTTGCTGTAGATCAACGATCGGACCCGGCATTCGATGGAAGGCATCTCGCAATCTTGTTTGCCTCTGACCTTGGGACATAATATGCAGTTGTGAACTCTCCATCTCCGTCTGCCTTTGCATGTGGATGACATGCCTAAGCGTAGTCGTATCCTCGTGGGATGGGTTGCTCTGCTGACATGGCTCTTGCCCGAATCTCGCGGGGATGCCGCAAAGCATTTAGTATAGTCAGCAGCTCTGTTTAAGAATTAATTGACTGTACTGGCAACACTTCTGTATGGCCGCCTCAAGTCTCAAGTTGGGCAAAGTCTTGAAACATGAATTTGATCTAGCAAATGCATCGATCTTTGACCCTGCGCTCAATCATTCTAGTCTTATTCAACTTTTGACGATTTTGCACAGCAAGTTGTAAGATATCCGACTTGGTAAGAAGGAATGATACGATATAGTATAGTCTCTACTTGGCGATACAAGTATTCGGCAGAAGGGGGTGAGAAAAAGGTTGTCTCCCTGCCCTCAAAACTCCGGAAAGTGGGAGCATGGGATCACCCGCTACGAGACATAGAATGAGATCGGCCGAAAAAAAGCAAATCCTCTTCCCTTTGATACTCGAAACATGCAGCAAGAAATTATGTTTATACAGCCATTGCCTATTGCGGAAGAGGAAACGCACTGATGTAGCAAAGCGCTGGTCGTCTATAAATACACATGTGCCATTTACCTCCAAGGTAGGATGACCATGTAAAGGAAGACAAAGTGAGTTTTGATCTTGCCGAGATTCTCTACTCCCAGACACCAAATGGTAAAAGCTTCCAAAAAATCATTTCCTCGATCTTTCCTACTTGTTACCGTTCCAACTGAATGCACCAGATATGAGCACTGCTATCCATGAGACTCTAAACACTCGAACGCTGTGTAAACGAAAGAATAAAAATAAAAATTATTAATACCTCTATAGTATCCGTATTATATACCAACCAGTTTCACCCAACATAGAGAATTGGCTCACGAGACGGTAGACTGACTCTTGTCCCACGTCTCGGCCACAATCCTCCAATATCGGGCCTCATCGACCCGGACATGGGCAACGTGGGTACCCTCCTCAAACACCTCGGCCCGGACATCGTAGCCCCGGGCCTCGGCCTGGCGGGCGTGCTTTTCCACGTGGCGCCAGTCGACCATGTCGTCGCCTCGGCCGTAAATGTAGGCGCGACAGGCCTGCCGCGTGCGGGCGGCATCATTGTGCCGGTCGGCGTTGATGATGAGGTTATAGGGCCTGCGCAGCGCCACGGCCACGACCCAGAGGTACATGTCCAGCAGGTGGATCAGCGGCGCCATGAGCCAGCGCAGCAGGCTGCCTCTGGGAAACCCAGCGATCGAGGCATTGTAGGCGCTCCAGTAGCTGTACAGGCCGGGACACGAGTCGTAGACGGCCGTGTGCCGGGGGAACGGCCGCCCGCCCGTCTCGGCCTCGTACGCCTCGAAGAGTTCCTTTGAGCTGGCGACGCCGCCATTGGAAAAGACGTGCAAGAGGATTTCGGGAGGTGATTGTTGTTGTTCTTTGAGGGTGGTCGAAGAAGAATCATTGTCCTCGGACTCGGAGGAAAGGACACCGCTGCTCATGAGGGACCGGATGTACGAGAGGGCCGGCCGGACGGCCGCGATGCACTCGGACCGCCAGACAATGTGGCGAAAGACAAACTTGACCAGCAGGATCCGGGACGTGGGATATAAGGTTTGGTACCGCGTTATGTACTTGGCAATGTGCAAGTCGCGGGCGTCCATCCAGCTGGCGACCAGGATCAGCTTGGGGGCTGCTGTAGTAGTACCATCTCCAATAATAGCATTTGCTGTTGCTGCCGCTGCCGGTGAACCATTTTCAGTATCGGTGACTGCAGAAGAAGAAGAAGAAGGCTCGTAAAAGTACACGAATGGTGACGCCTTGGTCATTGTCTTTAGTGGCTGCCTCTGCTCCGCCATGGTTGCCATATCGTGGGCACGGCTTGCTTTGCTTTGTTGACCCTGCTACCTGCAGGTGTGTGGTGGGTATCTTTTCCCTTAGATGCGGTGATCGACAAGGCCAAAGATGCAATGCAGGTTGACAAGAGAAAAAAAAAGAAACTTCCTGACAAGCAGTATAAATGCAATAAGCTTTTGGTGCGTTTGCAGAAGCAGAGAAATTCTGCAAGGAATGAAAGAATCGAAATCGCACACGATATTCAACCAGCCTTTCTTGTCCTTCGTCCCCTCGTGCTTCCCTTTGCTCCAGGTGACCTGGATCCTTGTACAGTTGATCAATATAGTGCTTATGCGGATTGGCGGAACGGTATCTTAGTACCTCGGCTAGGCAAGCGTCTTTGCTCTGATCTTCTGGCTTTGGTTCTGAGCAACGGCTGTTTTCTATCAAGGTCTGGGGGAGATGTGATATGAATGAGACCTCGCACAAAAATGGAGAGAAAAGAAAACAAAAATTAGACGAGTAGAGTTGTATTGGGGGTTCGGCTATAGCTGCATGATAGAGAAAGGAAGAAAGAAAAATCCAAATGTGCATACGTACTCCTTATCAAATCCTGGCCGGGGATTGCAACAATTGTGCCTCCCCGGAGCAAACACGGCGCATGTCCCTTTTTTTTACCATGTACAAACAGAAAAAAGAAGCGGCCCGTCGGTGGATCTGAGGACCCTTCCTACGGCGTTGGGGGTATTTTGCTGACAGTTGAAAAGAAAAAGTCCATGTAGGGACCAAAAAACGCAGCAACAAAAAAACACACCCCCCGTCGCAGATCATCCGGCAAAAGCCCCCCGGCCGATTAGCTTTGGGCTTTGGCGCTTTTTGACCAGTTGCAAAAGAACAGGTTACCATATTCGGCAACCAGCTCGCCCTCGCCAACGCGAAACTAATTGTCCAAGACAATTCCATTGGTTTGTTTGCCGAACAAACAACGATCTAACAAGTAGTCTTGTTTCGTAGTGGGAAATGATAAAAAAAAAACTGGGGTCCGCTACGGAATATATGATTTTAGTATAGTAACATATCACTTATTGCCTAGTTATTGCCTAGAGTCTTGCGAGACAAAAGGTCCTACACTAGAATGGTCACGAATCTTGTCTAATTTGCAAAGGAATCGAATATATTGCAGTGTTCGATTACGTTCTTGGTCCGTTCGCGATGAATCACTCACCACTACAATACACTTCCTAGTTCATATCCACCATAACGGCAACAAATAACCCTGCAAAGTTGGAGGCTCAAAGCTATAGACACTATGCGCAAGAGACGCGTCCCCAACTCGGATCCGAAGATAACGAATGCTGATCTCATCCCACGTTTGGACTCAGAGTCCGCTTTTGGTATATGATTAACTAGGTTGTCCATGAGGTTTCCTATTAGGGTATTAAAACCTCCACTTTGCTAGTTGGCTGCGTCGCAGTTGCACACGGCATGAAGGAGTATAGCAACAAATTCCAGTGTACCTCGGTCCCAGGACTGTTGTGATCCCAATATCCAAACAGCACATGTCACTATAGATCTGATTGCTTATCACTAGCTGCAAGCATTCGTTCAAGATCCCGCGGGCTCGAACACACCAGAGTAGGCTACCGAGGGAAGTTTGTCCCGTGTCGGGGGAGCAAACGTTTCCAGTGGCATCAATGGGAAGGAAGTTTCATCTGATGAGTTCAAGGATCTCCAACACCCTTTCCGAGGACTAATCGTTCGACTGGCATAAGCGAGCTGAGACTAAAACCCGTGGCGAGGCGCCATCAATGCCGGCCGGCCGAGTATAGTGCAATTCTGGGATAAGATAAGGGCAGGGGTTCAGCGATGAAGTACATGTATTACGACACGATCATGCCCCTTTCTGTCATATTCACATTGTCAAAATCATGTGCTAAAGAGATGAGACTGCATTGTCGCAGTGCTCTTTAGATCAGATGAATTCACCGCGAAAAGCCTGCCAACCCTAATCGTATTTCTCCGATACAGAGAAAGCCCACCCAACAAATTGATGGTTTGGGATGGTCGCAGCAGAACCGATCGAAGCTATATAGCGGGCGGTATCATTAAGACCTGCCAACCGCCCGACCCGGCCACGAGATGATTTGACACAGTTGGCGATACAACCCGTGTCTTGACCTGTGCATGGGAGGGAGCACAGCCAAGCCCCCATCACCTTGTAGGAGAATCGTCATCACGATATATACCATTGATACCACTAGTATACATATGTTGTTGGAAGAGCTGCGTCTTTTGGCTCGTCTCTCTCGGCAGGTGGCCATGACAATCAGGCCAGACGTACTGTGGGCGCAAAAGATTTCCCAGCCGTTCCCATGCCAGCGACTGTCTGCCAGGTATCATAGCCTGGATTCGCCCAAATTGTCAAGATTTGGAGACCCTATCATGTTCCAGCTTGGGGTTTCGACTGGCCAGCCCTCTCTTCATGTTCTTCTCTAATGGTGAGGGCTAAAACAGCCTCATGGCAACGACGAGAGTCTCCACGGCGCCTGCAAAGGAAATCGTTGTTTACAATTGCGATAATCGCTCCTTTGCCTCGTCTCTCATTGTACTATCTCCGCATACGGTTCAAAAGAATGGCTTTGGACAAGCATTGCCACGTTACGTGATATATCTCCTTCGCTGACAGAGAACCATCAAGATCGGGCGTACTTCGATTTGACAGAATGCTACGCTCGGTACAATTCCTCGCCGAATTCCTATTTTACCAAGTATCGCCACGTCGTCATGGTTATTAGTAACCAAAATGAGACAGCAGACGAGACAAAAGATTGGACTGCAACTGGGGTTTTATTGACACCACTATCGCTCTATCTCACGTGCCCGCCCCCATGCTGAGTGTCAGGAGTCCCTTGTGGCTCACGGCAGAGCTTGCCAAGACCAAACCATGGCCAGCCCCAGTGCGAATACTTATATGGATGAAAGTTTTGGCAGCTTGGTCCATGTAAATATGACTACTGGCCTTGTACAGCTTTGGAATTTCAAATCGCTGGAGGACATTTTTTTTTTACCCAGCTATTTAAATATGACGGCTTGCTACTGCCGGTTTGAAACGTATTTTGCACCACGTAGTGTTGACGTCCATGATCAGCTTCTTGGCATCGTTTGTCTACTTTGCCTGCTCAAAGTGCTACTATGCACCGGCATCTTGTTGCAATTTAGGCAACTTTTATGAGCAAGGGTCAAGAAGTGACTGCGCCCAGAACGGGCAGAATTTACTACTCAATATGGAAACAAGACCCAAAATTGTGTCTCACAAGATGTTGACATTTTCCAGGCATTGCGCAAGATGTGAAAACCACGCCAATGCTCCCGGAGACGAGATGACTCTAGGTACGGGTCATACTTTGTACACGCCTACCGATACAACCTCAATCTCTCAGAACCGTGAATTCAACGGCCAGGAATCCTCCATATGCTATCAACAACAGAGCTCCGAGCAACTGCCTCACCCCGACAACCTTGCACACGTCTTTGCTTCCGATGAAAACGACAGCCGTCAACGCAATGGACGCGGCCCACATCCACCAGGCCTCAATGCGCGACACGTCTACAAAGCTGTGCCCGCCATCCTCGGGATGGTCGTGCCACTGGTGTGCCGCAACGCTCCAGGCTGCCATGCCAAGGCAGAGCGTCAGCAGAAAGATGTTGCTGCCTACCGCGTCGGCGACGAGGAGACCGCTGTGGCCCTGGATACCGCTCGCCACGGCCACAAACTTTTCCGGCAGCGTGGTTGCAAGCGCAAGAATTGTTGCGCCAAACGCAGAGTCCGACATGTCAAAGGACGCGGCGAGGAGCGTCGAGGTGCGCGAGAGAATAAAACCGCTCAGTGCCAGAGCCAAGAAGCTGCCGAGGAGCTGCAAGATGGGCATGATGTTGTGACCAAGCCTGTGAATTTTGGAACTCGCCGGCTTCGAGAGGAGAGCAGTCGACTCATCGGCATCCTCTCCACCGCCTTCGGAGCGGCACTCGGATGACGAGCTCGAGGAGGCATCATCTAGGTGATCATGTGCAGCTCCAGACTCGATGTCCTCTGCATCGTCGTCCTTCTTGGTATAAGACATGGCCTGCCAGATGGACCACAGAACAACAAGAACATAAATAACAAAGATTACCAGTAGAATCACCGCCACGACTCGGTACCACAGGATATCAGCCAACGCAAACAGCGACACGAAGGTGGTGAGGGCCAGCAATCCCAAGCAAGCCACCTTGGAGTCGCGTTCGAACCCATCCCAGTTTCTCGTGGAGAAGATGAGGCCCAGGGCAAAGGCGCCAAAGATGTTGGCGATGGTGCTGCCAATAATGTTGCCCACTGCGAGGGCAGGGCGCTTCTGCGCTAGACTGAGCGCCACGACGGCCAGTTCCTCCCACTCGGCGCCCGCGACGAGAATGCCGACGAGCATGTCTGGGAGGCGCAGGCGCTTCGCCAGGGTGGTGGCGCTGGAGACAAAGAGTCGAGCACCGCGTTCGAGTAACGACAGGCCAGCCAGGAAGGCGGCTGCGTTGAACAAAACGTCTCCGATATCCATGGTCTAGCGATGGGACGCGTTGGGTCAGAACAATCCGGACGCGAAGAATTTATGTTGTCTCTGCTTTTATTTCCCACCGGAATGTCTCTGATTCGTAATCACGAATTTCAAATGGCGCAAAAAGCTAATAGAGGAAAAAGAAGAGGGGAAAAAAGATAATCATCCTCGCCAAGCAGGTCACCGCAAAGGAATTTTTATAGCTCGTAGTATTGGCTTCGACTGGCGACACGTCGGCAACGTTGGCCCAGGACATCCCGGAATGGTTCCACCATGCAATGAGGCTAAACGATAGCACCAGTTACGCGCAGAACCATCAGTTGGCTCATCAAGGTTGTATATTTCAGCCAGCTTGCGAAGAGACATGCCTCAACATCATCCAGTACGTTCCAGTCAGCAGGATGATTGGGGTTGAGAAGATGTACGAAGCCCCTGTACACGGTTACAAGGCTCCTTGCAATTTTTGAAGTCATCGCCGTACGTGGGGCTCGGCTTTCACAGGCCGCCCATGTTCCGGAAGCTGATTGCCACGTTGTCAAAGTGCGGAACGCCATGGATTGGATTTCGGCTCCGTAGCCTTGTGTCGAATCGGTAGAGACGTCCTGGCATGCCGTGGTTTGTCCCTCAGCAGCGGGACGGCACCAAAGATGCTGTCGCGGATCAAGGTGCTTTGAGAGCTCGTTAAGAAGTCACCGTCGATCAGTAGTTCCACACTTGCGCTGCTGGCGCGGAGGCGAACAATGTTCCTGATCCAAGCCACGCAAGCATGAGAGAGTGGACGAAGACGTTCGTTCATATTGTTTGTTTGTTTGTATGCAAGCAATGCACAATGTACGTGGTACAAGGATTACTCCGATCGGGATATAAGAGACCCTTATCAACTTATGCCGAGTATAGTACGCAAGGTAGTCTTAATGCCAGCATGCAAGTCACCGCACACACATACATAGTATTCAACAGGACTGGTGTGTTCAAATGCAAACTAGTACGAATTTGAACAAATGGACGATCATCCTTCGGTACATTGCATCAATTCAACATCATATTGCTTACCTGCGCAGCTGCCACTGATAGTGAACCATATTGAAGACCAATTCCGATTGTGGAAGCTTTCGTTGCGCTGCAGAAATGCAGCATGGCATAAGCTCATCCGAGACCATTATGACGTAACATGAGACGCGATACACATATATTCGTTATCGCCTTGGCGCCTGGAACAGACAGTGAGTGGGAAATGAGTAGTAGCACACCTACAGTATCGGGCAGAAGGAAAGACGGACGGGTTGGCGACACGGTCGTTATCTTTCCCACCGGATCCTCTTGTTGCGAAATGTAAATGACAACTGTCGTCCCTTCAACTTCTACCATCTTTTCCACCGGAAGCCATCATCGCCCAACTGGACAGACGGCAAAGAAGCAGTGCGATTAATCAATTGCTGTGAGTGGGTCTCAACTCAAAGAGAAAGTCCAGATAGCCGCGAGGACAACGTTACCCGCCTCAAATCACGCTTTTTATTTCCACGATTCGATTTCAGATGAAGGGAATCGCGGCAGGTGGCCCCTCGCACAGGGGCCACGCTTCAAACTTTAGCAAGGTACCTACGCAGATCCTATTCTCCTCCGCCCATCCAATACGCATTTCTCATGAAACTATCGTCGAATTTCCTTTCTCCTGGAATCTTCCCGTGTGAATGCCGAAAGGCGACCAGAGGCCTGGAAGGGTCTAAACATGATCACACCGCTAGAAAGCCCCTTGGAAGTCCTATACGCAGGGGGTGGAGTCAGGCCCTGCAGCGGCGTTCGAGAGCTGACCGAGGCCTCCCTGATGTGTGTGAGAGAGAGAGAGAGCAAAACTATCGTGAGGTTTCTTGCACTTGGTTCGGCCTGTCCATCGTGGGTGGGCAGCGAAGCTAGCGGTTCGCGTCTCGGGGGGTTGTTTGCCGGCCTGTCTTGCTGGCTGGGATAGCTTCCAATTCAAAACTGAAAGACAGGCTGAGAGGAGATCATCAACTGCCACATATCCCAGCTACTGCAAAGACAAGCGTCATCAGAAGCAGACTGCGGGGCATAAATGAGTGCAGAATTTTTTTGGTTTTTAATTTTTTTTTCTCTTTCCTCAGAACCACGATCCAGTATGGATTGTATGGCGATGATGTATTTGCACGAAAGTTTTACGTGCCGCGAGTCACAGCGCGTGGGTCTCTCCCAGGGTCTTCCAAGGCCTGTCTGTGATGAAGTTCCAGAAGACTCAAAAGCTAGGTCCAAGGGGCTTATCTCATCTCTTCCGACCCTGTTTCGCAATGAGAAGAAAGGGGTTGAGTAGGCGAAAAACACAAGAGCAAGGAAGAAAGAAGAAAAAGTTGAACCAAAAAGATAAAGTTGGTTATGATGGTGGTACAAGAGTCAGTTTTGAATCCAGGGTCTCCAGTCCATTCCAGCCCGAGAAATTCTCGAAATTGGGGTTTCTCTCCAGGTTGTGATGCAATTTGGCGGCTACTCCCTTGGTTACTACTACATTACCCTCCACACTGACGAACTGGCGATGCACCCTACTACTTACTTAGTGCCTCCAATTAAGGGTAGGTACTTAGCCGACGTTTGCGCTGACACTGGCGCTGAAAGCGTATTTTGGCTCCATTCATTTACGTTGCGAGTCAGCAGTCTGCCCTCAATGTTTTGCTTGCCCTCCTCTTTATTATTCTTCTTCTTCTGGAGTAGCCAAGTCGTATGGGTGTGAATGTTATACTTACCTAAATGTCAACGCACGTGCAAACTGACAGAGACACCATATATCCAAAAACCCCCCTGGTCTGCTGAGTTTTGAGATAAAATAGTACCTATTGTTTCCCTAGTATGGTCAGCATCCAAGTCGGGACCCCTGGAGGACCTGGGACCTGATAACCTGGGTGAGATTTCCCAGCAAGCTCACAGTCCAGGTCCTGAGCGGGAGCTGAGCAAAAAGGAAGGGACAGGAGACCCAGCAGCCCTCTTAGTGGGGCAGAAGGTCGTCAAGCTCGTGGAAGAAGTCGCTAATCCTGGTCCGTTGCGGGGTGCGCCGCTCTCTGCCGCCGCTGGGCCGGGTAGCGAGGCCTAGAAATCCCGAGTGACGTTCGTTCCATTCTCGTGCCTGTGTGCACATGAGAACTTTCCAGTGGACATTATTGATTCTCTCTCGGACTCGTCTGCGAGTAGTAGATCCAGCACAGACACAGCACAAACCAAACTATTGTCTGATCTGATCTGCTCTTTACTATCCCCTCTACTTTTTCCCTTTGCAAGCCTCACTACCTTTCTGGGTTGTTTTGCACAACACACATCTGCAGGGCTCCTCTAGCCAACACACACACACACACAAGCATCGTGTGGTCTGTTTTACTTTCTCTGCACGCCTCATTGCCGCGGCTCTGCTCAGCATACTCCTCTCGGGCGATCCAATACACCTAAACATCATCTGATCCTCCTCTTTTCTTTCCTGCACGCCTTCTTACTTTGGCTGCTTTGCTTATAACTCTCTCCACCCCTTCTCCCAATCTTTGGACCAGTCCCTGTCCTTGTCTCTATCTCTACAGATTCTTCAAGACCCTGACACCCCTGGTGCCGAGCTATATTTTCTCAAGCTTTTTGTTCCCGCACCCTCCACCGCCTCTTCTGCTGCATAGCCATCCTCACTCTATCAACGGTTCCCCACGGTTCGGCACGAAGAGCACAAATCATGGCACCACGCGCTAATGGCCGGGGCGTTCAGGCCGAGGACACCAAGATTTGTGTTGTAATGGTTGGTTTGCCAGCACGTGGAAAGAGTTTCATTGCCCAAAAAGGTATGCACCCCTCCCTTAATGCTCAGATTCTCGAGGCGATCAGAAAACTTACCTGCTTTTACTACCCAGCTCAACGATACCTGCAATGGCTCTCCATTGACGCCAAGACCTTCAACGTGGGCAACTACCGACGTCATGACGCTCCTCAACCCTCGGCCGACTTCTTTGACACGGGCAACGCCGAGGGCGAGCGCCGAAGAAGGGCGGCCGCCGAAGCTGCCATAGCCGATATGCTGGAGTGGTTCAAGCAGGGCGGTACTATTGGAATCCTGGATGCAACAAACTCTACCAAGGAGCGGCGGAAGTGGGTGTCTGACGTCTGCGCACGTGAGGGCGTTGAAGTACTCTTTGTCGAGTCCAAGTGCGACGATGAGGACCTGATTATGGCCAACATTCGCGACGTGAAAGCCACGAGCCCCGACTACAAAGGACAAGACCCCGAGCAGGCTGCACTCGACTTCAGGAATCGAATCAAGAATTACGAAAAGGTCTACAAGACCATTGACGGCGATGGCGACGAGAGCGAGTACACGTACCTCAAGATATTGAACGTTGGCAGCCAGGTCATTATAAATCGCATCAAGGACTACCTGCAAAGTCGCGTTGTATACTACTTGATGAATCTGCATATTCGACCGCGGTCCATTTGGCTGTCGAGACATGGCGAGTCAATGTACAACTTGGACGGTCGCATTGGTGGAGATGCCGACCTCTCCCCTCGAGGACAACAGTATGCCCAAAAGTTGCCAGAGCTCGTGCGACAATCAGTTGGTGTAAGTCTGCTATAATCATAAATGTGCCATGGCTGCGAAACTTGAGTTTGCTAACTAGGTATGAACAGAGCGATCGACCATTGACGGTCTGGACCTCGACGCTCAAGCGTACGATCCAGACTGCCCGTTTTCTGCCAGAAAATTACAATCAATTACAATGGAAGGCTCTGGATGAGCTTGATGCTGGCCTTTGCGATGGCATGACCTATCAAGAAATCAAGAACCAGTACCCCGAGGACTTTATCGCGCGAGACGAGGACAAGTACAACTACCGATACAGGGGCGGTGAGTCGTACCGCGATGTGGTTATCCGATTAGAGCCCATCATCATGGAGTTGGAACGATCAGAGGACATCTTGATTGTCACCCACCAAGCCATCCTGCGATGCATATATGCATACTTTATGAAGAAGGACCAGGCTCAATCGCCCTGGATGAACGTGCCTCTGCACTGCCTCATCAAGCTGACCCCCAAGGCTTATGGCACAGAAGAGGAACGATGGCAGGCCGACATTCCAGCTGTCAGCACGTGGAGAGCAAAGGGTAGCACAGCAAAGCATGAGGACCCAGTGCCTAGCGCATAATGATAGGGATTCTCTAAATCTTCAGTTGCGGGCTTCCACATATATTGGCATGTGATATCATGCAATCAGCACCAGTCCCACATTAGGGTCAAGCTTGATGAGTGGTATCTACCTACTTTGCGATTGGGGTTCGCCATAGCCTTGGGGAGACATATTGGTACATGGAAAAGAACACTCGATTCATAACTTTAGACGGCAAGGGCATGGTATGGATGCATCTGAATGGGGTCTCGAGGGCGAATTTCTTTGCATGATTTTAGAGCTTGGACGGTACTGGGCAACAGCAATTATTCTGATGACTCAGGAAACACGGATAACAAAACATGGGATGAGGACGAGGTGTATCGGCATCTCTTTTTTGAAGCTAGGTCGTTGATTAAACGAAGCGGACATGTCACTGTGAACTTGTCTTTATGCATCTTTATCCATGCTCCCCGTTCCAATGTACTTTTTTGTCTTGCCTGATGTTGATCATGATGAGTGACGATTCTCTGTTGCAATTTAAGCCGCCAAAAGCAACTAGTGGCTGCGTTATGACTGATGTTTTCTCTAAGATTTGTGACTGTATATTCAAAATATGGTCAAGAGGCGATAAATGAAGATCTTTCCAGCGCTGCGAATTAAGTATCAAAAGTGACAAGAAGACTGAAATGATCAATCATGGGGCGGCTCTAAATGTCTGTCAATACGCCAAGACGGTACGAAGGTACTTGGGCAGGCCCGTATAATATTTGGAGTGGGGCAGGCCCAGGCTAGTCTTATCGATTGGCGACAACAGCAGTTGGCAGAAAAAAAAAGTTCGGAGCAGGTATCCCACCCACCACTAAAGGCGCCCGCCAATTTACTTGCAGTCTCATACCACCTCGACAATTCGCTCGCAAACATCCGCAACGAAAGACGAGGCTGATTTCGAATATGGGTTCGCAAAAGCGAAAGTTCTCGGATGCCAATGGCTCCAAGCCTGCCAAGTCCACCAAGGCTGCTCCCGCTGTGCCTGCGCAGAAGAAATCCAAGAAGGTGAAGCGCGTTGAGCCGGAAGAGCCCGTGGAGGAGGAGTCGAGCGAGGACGAGGTCGAGGATGAAGCCGAGGAGGACGCCTCTGACGACGATGACATTGAAGACGTAGACGAGGATGAGGATGCCGCCGCCGAAAGCGAAGAAGACGACGAGGACGACAACGAGACCGACGAGGTTGCCAAAGTCACAGCCAACGGCGACGACCCGCTCCAAGATGGCAGCCTCACCCTGCCTCCCGGCGCCGAGTCGAATGCGAACACGTTTGACGAGCTGAAGCTCTCGGAGCGCACCATGAAGGCAATCAAGGAAATGGGATTCACCAAGATGACCGAGATCCAGCGCCGTGGTATCCCCCCTCTGCTCGCTGGCAAGGACGTGCTGGGAGCCGCCAAGACCGGCAGTGGAAAGACCCTGGCTTTCTTGATCCCGGCTGTGGAAATGCTCAACTCGTTGCGCTTCAAGCCGCGCAACGGAACCGGTGTCATCATTGTGTCCCCCACCCGCGAGCTGGCACTACAGATCTTTGGTGTCGCAAGAGAATTGATGGCGCACCACTCTCAGACCTACGGAATCGTCATTGGTGGTGCCAATCGGAGGGCCGAGGCTGACAAGCTCGCCAAGGGTGTCAACCTCCTGGTTGCGACGCCAGGACGTCTGCTTGATCACCTGCAAAACACGCCCTTTGTCTTCAAGAACTTGGTACGGGACACTCGGTCACAACACTGTGCAACTCATGCTAACTGTGCGTCAGAAATCCTTGGTCATTGACGAGGCCGACAGAATTCTTGAGATTGGTTTCGAAGACGAAATGAAGCAAATTATCAAGATTTGTAAGCGTCTTGCTTCTTGTGACATGGAGATTCACCCGCTAATGCGACAATTGCAGTGCCTTCGGAGGACCGACAAAGTATGCTTTTCAGTGCGACACAAACAACCAAGGTCGAGGATCTCGCCAGAATTTCGCTCCGCCCCGGACCTCTGTATATCAATGTGGACGAGGAGAAGCAGTTCAGTACAGCCGAGGGTCTGGAGCAAGGATATGTGCTCTGCGAGCCCGACAAGCGATTCTTGCTCCTGTTCAGTTTCCTAAAGAGGAACCAAAAGAAGAAGATCATTGTCTTCTTTAGCAGTTGTGCATGTGTCAAGTGAGTTTTTTCCAGGTTGTAAACTCAAATAACATTAACTAACATTATCGTTTTAGGTATCACTCTGAGCTCCTCAATTACATTGATCTTCCGGTGCTCGACCTTCACGGAAAGCAAAAACAACAAAAGAGAACCAACACCTTTTTTGAATTCTCGAATGCCAAGCAGGGTACACTGCTTTGCACAGATGTTGCTGCTCGTGGTCTCGATATTCCTGCTGTTGACTGGATTGTCCAGTTTGACCCTCCGGAGTAAGTTTGTCCCAGGAGGACTGCTAGGACGCAATTGCTAACTATAGAACCCTCTAGTGATCCCCGTGACTACATTCACCGCGTGGGCCGAACAGCTCGTGCCAACACCAAGGGCCGAAGTCTGATGTTCTTGCAGCCCTCGGAAGCTGCTTTCCTGGGTCACCTCAAGCAGGCCCGCGTTCCCGTCTCCGAGTTCGAGTTCCCGGCCAACAAGATCATCAACATCCAGAGCCAACTCGAGAAGCTGGTGTCGCAGAACTACTACCTCCACCAGTCTGCCAAGGACGGTTTCAAGAGTTATATCCACGCATACGCCAGCCACAGCTTGAGATCCGTGTTTGATGTTTCCAAGCTCGACTTGAAGAAGGTTGCAAAGTCTTTCGGATTCAACGCTCCCCCGCGAGTCGACATTTCATTGAATGCAAGCATGAAGAATGACAAGGTGCAAGGAAGAAGAGCCTACGGATCTCAGCCCCGACAGGGCTCGAAGCAGCAGTTCAACAAGAGAAGGTAAAATGTAGGCGCATTAGTGATAGTGCCTGACTGTAATGCTGGCGGCTGGGGGAGCGTCATCAGGTGTGGTTATACCCCGTCGGTCAAGAAGAGATGCAAGTAAGAAGCACGGTGTTGAGACGCAAAAAAAGACTTGGGACTGTGCAATGATTTCCGGAGTTCTGGCATGGCTCGAGAATACCATTTGGGTATTGAGCAAATTCATAGGCAAATAAAGCGTTTGAGCATATTCAAATAATACAATGCGTACTACTAATCATTTCCGTGGGTTGCACCGTACCGGAGTGGGTTCCGTTTGAATCGGAGATCTTGAGATGTCCGGAAAGCTGACGACGGCGTGGCAATACTCGACCCACTTATTTTGGAGATGTGCTATCACCTCTTCCAGGATATCTCATAGCAAATGTCCGCTGAAATGTCCGAATGGGGTGAGATTTCTGTCACGCCCAAATTGTTTCATTAGTTGTCCGCTCAATTGTCCGAATAAGGCCACCCAAAAGTATAAAAGCATTCATGGCAAGATATTCACGCCATGAATTTTGCGGCATCATCAAATACTACTACAAATCAATCAAGCCTATAATATTCGAAAGGCAGTTCTCTAGAAAGATTTTCTCATTATAGTCACAAACGAAATTGGACTAGCTATCAATAAGCTGCAAAGATACAACCTTGCATCATGACAACACTAACCAGCCCGCTTCCACTGGCCGCAACGGCCAGCATCATTGCCTCTGCATGGGCATCTGGTAAGTCGACTAGTCCACCATATCTCCATGATGTAGACCCCGACTGACAAAATCCCAACTTTCATAGGCGCCGGCGCCGCCATTTCCTTCTTCACCATCACACCCATTCTCCAGTCCTCTGCGCCGCGCGAGGTTCTTCTCCAGCAATGGCACCTGGCCTACAACCTGGGCAAGTCATACATGCCACCGGCGGCAGGGGCCATTGCGGCATCGTACCTGGGCGTGGCGTGGACCGTGGCAAAGCACCCGGCTCAGTACGGGGGCGGAAGCGGCGAGTGGCGCGGATTCGCGGCCGCGGCGGCGCTCATGGTGGGCATTGTTCCGTTTACGCTCTTGTTCATTATGCGGACGATTCGCGAGCTCGAGGGCTTGATGATTGCCGGGGATGCCAAAGATACCGACAGTAATACTCGGGAGAGCGACAGGGACGAGGTCCAGGCCATGGAAGAGGCGCGGAGGCTTTTGACTCGTTGGAGTAGGTTGAATTTTGCGCGGGCTATGCTCCCGCTGATTGGGACTGGATTTGCAGTCTGGAACTTGTCAAAAGTCTTGTCTGCATGATCAATACCTATAGTAGAGAGGTCTAAGTACAATGCTATATAGCCAATCTATTTTATACTACTGAAGTGTAGTATAAACCCAACAGGTGTACAGTAATGTAAAACTATTCCCATTTTCCTCAACCGATACTTTCCGAAACATCCTTCAAATCACTATACAGACCAGAAAACTCCGCCCCCTTCTTCTGAAACGTCTCGGCCGCATCCGCGCCCAGTGGCAGCCTAAGTTTGACGCTATCTTGTCTACCCTCCAGAAGCCCGGTGCCGTCGACCGCCTCGACGATTCGGAGCGCCGTCTTTTCGGCGCTGGCTCCCATCCCGGCGGCGTAGGCGCCCAGGATCCCTTGCATAGTCTGGTCGACAAGCGAGTCCCGGTACGGCTCGCTCAGCGGGACAATGGTGCCGGAGCCCTTGGGGTCGGCTAGGCGGGTAGCCACCATGCCCGGCTCGACGAGCAGGACGCGGATGCCAAAGGGTGCCACCTCCATCTGAAGACCCTCGGTAAGGCCTGTTATAGTAAGGAGTGTTAGCCAAGGTGTAATTGTTTGTTATATGAAAAGAGTAGAAAATAGAAAAGGGGAGAATCATACCCTCTAGAGCAAATTTGCTGGCGCCATAGACTCCAAGACCGGGCATGGAGGTGATGCCGTTTGTACTGGAGATGTTGACAATGGTGCCAGATCTGCGATCGCGCATCGAAGGGAGCACGGCTTGAATGGTGCGCAAGGGGCCGAGCAAGTTGACGTTGAACTGAGCCGTGACTTGACTAATGCTATACCATAAAGACAAGAGTTTAGTGGTTTGATTTTCACATAAGAACTGATCTGGTTTCCAAGAAGACTTGCTCACCTGATATCCTCGATAGCCCCCATGACTCCATATCCGGCATTGTTGACGAGAACATCGATGCGGCCGAACTTGGCGATGCATTCCTGTATTTTAGCCTCGACTACATCGTCAGCTCCCACATCCAGGGTCAGCCAAGTGACGCCGCGCTGTTCCAGCTCAGCTGCCACGGTGGCAATCTTGGAGGTATCACGACAGCCGGCAATCACCGTGTGGCCGGCGGCCAGAGCGGCCTTGGCCAGGTCTAGCCCTATGCCGCTCGTCGCGCCCGTGATGAGCCAGACGGAGGAGGTAGACATTTTGAAGTTTTGGTCTAGGGGATTTGATATTGCTGAAGTAGTGTATCTGACGCCCGTGTAATGGGTGTAATGCTTTTGATGATCTTATGTTCACGACACGATTTCTTTCTTTGCTTTGAAGACGAGGTCATTTATATACATATATAGAGTTCTGATGTACCTACCTATGTAGCTATTTAAAAAGCAACAGTTCATGCTTTTACCTTGTGGAGAGATTGGTCATCAACAGATGAGTATCACATTGCCACGTACGTGCTGTAGTAACGGGATGACCTCTTTTCCATCAACGGGATTCAAGTTGAGGCGGAACCAGAGACATGGTAAGCTACCGGAGAGTTTTCTTTCCGTCTACGGACCATTGGGTTGACTTGGCAGACAGAGTTTCCTGTGCCACAAGTCGGATTCGGACGTTGTGGTTGCCAACTAACTCCGATGGCGTGTGGATTTAGTGTTGGTTCTAGTCAAAGTGATGTTGCTAGGCTTCTTCAAGTCTTATTGGCTGGAACAAGGCAACTGCTTTAGCGAAGACGATTGTTATGATGATCAAATGAATTGCCTTTATACTATAGCACGATGTCTGTCAGCTCATGATTCCATCTTCAAGATTGTGACAGAAATGGCAAATGTATAGGAGCCTGGTAATTACAGGCATTGCTAAAAGCGGGCCCCGGTATACTACCCAAGGTTAGGAGTCCCGCAGGTTGGAACCTAGAATAAACCCCGCATGTTCTTTCTGACCCCTAACCCATTTCCCCATGTTCATTCATAAGCGGAAACTGATGTTCTTGACAGCCACTCAGAACAAATACATGACACGCTAGGATCGTTCCATTGAGTATACTCGAAACCTTTGTTGATAAACGCCTTTGTGAGAGAAAAGACGCTGCCATGACTGTCGATCCTGCTAGTCCCAAGAGGGGCTTCCGATTTCAGAGCCTCAAGGGCTACTTCATCGCCCAAGAGTCCATGGAAGGGGACGTGGAGAATACCGCTCAAAAGGTCTCTCACCTCGACCCTCCTATTTCTCATTCCTTGGGCTTATTCTCTCAATCAGATTACTCAGAAGGACCTTGGGTTGCTACCCCGGACCTATTTGGAGGAGGTCACTTCATCTGAGCATGACGGCTCCAAAGCCTCATGGCCAGCCTTTGCCGAACATGTCAAGGAACTGAACAAGAACGCCCCGGATGGCGTCTCATACAAGGTCGTATTCGTCACACGCCATGGTCAGGGACATCATAATGTGCAGGAAGCCAAAGTCGGGACAAAAGAATGGGAGGTAAGTTTGAACATCTCACAATTCCCGGAAACAGTCGGTGAGTAAAGGCTGACATGGCGGTTCATAAATTCTAGGGTCACTGGGCCCTCCTAGACGGCGACGGAACCGTAACCTGGGCCGACGCCGACCTGACCGAAAAGGGCCAGCAGCAGGCCGTCGAGACGGGACGCATCTGGGCCGAGCTCATACAAGAGCGCGAGATGCCGTTTCCGGTGCTGTACTGCAGCCCCCTGCAGCGCTGCCTCAAGACGTCGCGCATCATTTACCAAGACCTGTCCGCCAAGCGCGGCCGCCTTTACCGCCCCATTGTCAAGGAGCTCTTGCGCGAGCAAATGGGCCGCCACACGTGCGACCGCCGGAGTCCCCGGTCTTGGATCCAGGCCAACTTTCCCGAGTGCGTCTTTGAGGACGGGTTCACCGAGGCCGACGAGCTGTTTCGCTCCGATGTGCGCGAGACGGATGACGAGGGCATCGCCCGGGAGCATGTCGTGCTCGAGGACATCTTTGCTCATGAGCCGGCCGATTTTATCGCCCTGACTATGCATTCGGCGGCGTCTCGGTTTCTGATGGAAGCCATTGGTCACGAGGTTGTCCGGCTGGCGCCTGCGGCGTCTATTGTATTCTTGATCAAGGGCGAAAATGTAACGGAATAATGAGCGTGGGAACTTGTGCCCCGATTCCGTCCGAGAAGGGATGCTAGCAAATCAGGATAAAAATAGATTTCTTCTTAGAGTGAAAGCGTGATGGCGGTCCAGACTTGGCCGTAATATCGACGAACATTTGAATTGAATCTAAACGCTAAGCCGTGTGAAAGAAGCTCATGGCAGCGTCACTATACTAATCCGTTCCTTCACAATATAGAAGGAAATTTTGGACTGAGAAATTAATTACATTAATTGAATGAATCATTCGCCCTCTGAAAGCTTTTTATAAAGACTGTCCATGCGTTCTGATGCTCCTCTAATACCCTTAATATAGTCCATCTCTTTCAACAATGCAGGTTTATCAACATCCGTTAAACGAAGTCGCGTTTCTGATTCAAGAAGAATTAAAGAAGCTGACACCACGTGGTCTGTCCAACTGTGAAATCGGTGCAATGCCTCTTTCTCATAAAGATCTGGCCGAGCCCCAGAAACCTCCATACGGAAATCGTGCCATATTCCAACGAGTAAATGCTTTCCACTGCTGTGGTTCACAGAGAGGCACTGTGGCGCGACTTGGGAAATCATTCTCAGTATAGAAAGCTTTCCTGGGTGATAGGCTTTAGAGAGGATGTAATGTCTGAAAAACCTATTTGGTAAGACTTCTATCGTGTCCTTAATTGGCCCACATAACTCTTCAAGTGCTGTATGGTTGTTGACTGAGCAGATGCGGACTGGATTTGCACCATTTTCAAGCATGACTTTTGCAAGGTCACTGTTAAAATGCGTTTCCTCGTGTTGGATATATCCACGGCAAATCATCCAGAACAAGTCGGTTTTTGCTTCGGTTTGGAAAGGTTTGCGTATTGGGTACAGTTGATGCACATCTGCCCCAGCTGCAATCAGTGACTGTGTTACATCCAACCTTGACTCTAGTATGGACATTAGCAAAGGGGTTCGAGGGACTTTTGTATCTTTTGTTACGTGTCCCTGTGACAATATCAAGAGGCTTGTCTTCTCCGACTGGGTATTCACAGGCGCTCCGTGACTCAAAAGTAATTTAACAGCGATCACGTCTCCCCTCGAAACAGCCGATACCAAGGGTTGCTCGCCCGAGGAATTTTTGGCGTATATGACTGCTCCGGAGGATAACAGAGTCGAAACAGTCTCTCCAGCCGCCATATGCAAGGGAGTCTCTCCGTTTAGTCCCGGTGCGTGTACATCGGCTGAATGTTTGATGAGCAGCTGCACTAACTCAACAGACCCCAGACCTGCAGCACGGTGCAACGCCGAATTGCCTTGAGCATCCAGTTTTTGAATAGCAGCATTGTGGTTGATCAGGAGTTCGGTGATCTCGACAGACCTCATTGATACAGCGAGGTGGAGAGGCTTGGTGATACCCGTCGCCTTGTTTTTGTCATCCTTCATCGGACTATTTGCATCGGCACCGGCGCCAAGCAAGATGCGAACAGCCTCGACCTGACCGTGTCTAACAGCTACCTCGAGGGGGCCAGCACCTCGCCAGTTCCGACCATGAACGTCAGCTCCATTGTCGATCGAGGCCTTCATGTGAGCAATTCCTCCATATTCTGCATGAAGACAGAGCTGTGAGACTTTCTCATTGTACTGTCTGACTTTTTCATTGTGCTGCCTGGTATTTTCTTCTTCCCTAAGTCGATATTCCTTTGAAAACTGCATTTGGGCCCAGTGCGGTAATAGATTCAATGGTTTCCTTGGAACAACACTAGAGATCGCTTTGGCATCGAGTCTCGGAACAGCTGTGGGGGTCATAGTGACACCAAGACTTGATCGAGGGGTAGTGGATGTGTCTTCATCAGTTCTCGAGGAAGATGATACCGGTTTCAGGTCAGATGTCGCATCGGGTTTACTGTTTCTGAGCCGATGCACCAGACTACGGTAGTTTTCAAGGTAAGGCCCCGTCTGTGTGATCTCGGCATCAATAGAGAGCTCCTGGTCTAGACCCAGGTCACCATCGATGGTGATTTGCCCAAATCGCGACGAATTGTCTCTTGCGCTTAGAATTGACTGAGCATCCGCTTGACCTCTTTTCAACAGTTCTCTATTGGGCTCATCTTGAACAATGGATTCAACGTTCCACTTGGCACTATGGTGATGTCAGGCAACGATAGTCGCAAATTGATGTCTATGATTCAACGGGTTAGGCTCACATTGGTGTCAGGCTCACCAGCAGAGTGAAGATATGAAACTGTGACGAGATCATTCTCTCATGCTCCTTCACATGGTCCTCGGCCCACAGGTGCCGTATCCTCCGCCAAAACCCGATGGAATCTTCACCGGGCTTAGGTGATACACTGAGAACATGACTGTGAATATCTTCAATGATGATAGCACATTCGGTCAATGATTTTCTGACTGTACCGCTCATACTGAGCGAAATGTCAGGTCGTTGCTTTAGCCATGCCTCCAATTGTGCTAATACCTCTCGAAAGATGGACAGCTGTTCCGAGAGACGAATTATGTCTTTCGGCGCCGAACGGAAATCTTTCACGAACGTGTCAAGCTGTTTGCCCATGGAAACAATCTTGGTTATGATTCCCAGGCATGACGACGCAAGGCCAATCCCGGTGACAGGGTCCATTTTCGCAGGAGATCTGGGTTGATTCTAGCATCAATATAGCATATGATTTAGGAGCGAGAGCTATCTTGCGACTGAAAAATCGTAAGGCTTAGTGAGAAGAAGATCAAAAGAGGGGTAAATCAGTTGCGAAGTCATTCGCTTGGAGGTTCAGCCTTACATGGCACATGCCACCTGGATTTGCCCTGGTCTGATGGGTTGAAAGTGCCCAACCCAATAGGTAGCCCCCAAGATCGGTAAATACCCTCCGGAGCTCCAATCCAACGTATCAGAGTCGACGTTTTTATTACTTGATGCAATGCATACCATCATAGGCGCAGAGTTGACAGCCAAGTCAACCGATAAAGGGGTATTAACAAAACCCCAGTACGAGGCCAGGTCAGACCCCCAAGTATATAATGTCTCTAAAACACTATGACAGACCTGCATACTTCATATTATCTTTCAGTAGTGCAACAACACCTGCATTGAACTCTTGCCGGAACTCCTCGTCTTCTAGGCTGATATTCGCACAGTCAAAATCGCCCGTGACACAACGCCGTATCGCGCTGCCCACCATCGAGCCAAACTCGTTATGGACACGATGGGCCAGCTTTTGCGCAGCTTCCAGGTCCGACCGTGCGTCGGTAATGGCAGCCACATTCCAAGGTGTAGTCTCGGCGCGCAGCTCTTCAAACGGCCTGGCCAGCATGATCTCGACGAGGACAATGGCCAAGGCTAGCAAGGCTGGATTCCTAACATGTCGTCGGGGGTCAATCATGAGCTTGTTGAGGAGCGCTGGCGGGGTTTGGTCGACGGCGTCTCGCCCGATAAAGACGCGTTGGAAGTCTATGAACCCTTGCTTTTGAATAAAGATGATATCTCTGCTCAATGAAGTATCCGTCCACCATGAGCTTTCGGGTATTTGCAGTACTGCCGTCGAAACCAAGTAAACTAGTCGGATCTTTTGTGTATAGGAGAGTTGGTTGGATGAACTGTCGTTCCGTCTGAGCACTTGATCGAGCGTGATCAGATCAGAGCCATGACCGTTGGAGGTTGTGGCAGTGTGAACATCGAAGTTCGAGAACTTGGCTTGATGATAGGTAGAAATGGAGCCGTAAAACGACGAGGCTGGCCTATTAGAATTGACGATTGTTGAGCATATATCGTCGATCGGAATTGATGGCGGGTTGATTCCCAATTTCGTTGACTTGTCTGTCGTTTCCGGCGACTGTGGAGGAGTCAAGTCCACTTGATTTGTTTCTGCACATGTCATATCTTGCTCCGAGTGGATTGAAACCGAGCTACTTCTACGAAATCGTCTCCAGTAGCTTTTCTGAACCTTGATAGAGCTCGGTGATACAAGTGTCCGTGACGATGAGATGCTGGTCTTCTGGCTGTCTTGTATACCTATCGAGGGTAAAAGAAGCAACTCTTTCCAGATGTTCCATGACAGTCCTGCCCCTGAGATACCTACCCGAAACTCAAATCCAGAAACTATATCACAATCATGCTCCTTTAGCTCTCCATGTCTCTTGACTGGGCAGAGCTCCAGGCCGAGGGCGTGATTGCATGAGCATGCAATGCTATTTTGTAGAGCCCGAAAGACATTTTGGGAGACGACTCGGAGCAGACCGAGTTCACGTGTTTGAAACCTCTGCTTTCGTCTTGGCTCCAAGTCCTTGTTGTGTCGGATCAAGCTCTCAAGACACTCGTTGCCATCTCTGAGTATGCGCATGAGGTCTGCATACTCGCTCCTGTTGAATGTAAAGGAGAAGCGCTTCAGTTCACGTTTCCATAATGTGATATCAATTCCATTCATCTGAGTCATTGTCAGGATACATTCTCAATTGACAAGTTGCAGCCGCAAAGGACAAATTTATGACTTACTTCGCCGTCCGGACCGAGGCCAATCCTCTTCTTCAGATCATCCATCGCAATAGACATTTCCTTGATGGTTTCCTGAAAGACGGTGTAGTCTCTATACAAAAGCTGTCGCAGCCTTTCCTTGGTGCCATCATCTTGCCACAGAGGGCCGAACGGCTCCTTGATCATGGCATCAATCCTTGACCCGAGACCGAGATCTTCGAGTAGCTTTTCGCACAAGTCTGTCAGGATACATTCCTGTGACTGTAGTTGTCGAATTATGCTGGCTATCTCGCTGGTATATCTTCGCCATCTGCCAATTCCTTGTGGAACCCGTTTATAGTTCTGAAGGGCTGATATGACCAGGGGTAGACCGCCGAGGACGAGGCCAAGTACCTCTAGACCTGACATTTCTAAGAGGTCTTCTCAATCAGTCGAAGGCAGTTAGTGATTGGACTAAGATCCACTATAATGTTGACTTGCGTTGTTTATTGCTTGAGCAGACGAAAAAGATCGTTTGGGGGCCCAGGCAGCCGCCCGTCGTTGATGAAGAGGGAGAGGGGTGTCAGCCAAGCAGATCTCAGCCGCACGCATCGAAATGGCTCGCCGGTTCGCATGCGCGAGACAACTGAGGGCGGGGTATATTCCGCTTCTGGAGACGTTTCTCTTCCCTACTTATCTGTCTGCAATATTTTGCACGTCATAGTGTTCGTGGTTTCTTCATCCCTTTCCAGTGTATTCAATTTATTTCTTGCAATGAAGGACGATGTCATCTACCAAGCGGCTTTTCAGTGTACAAAGTCGTTTGAGCCTCTACTGTCTGACCCCAAGATCATAGAAGACAGTGCTCGATTCAAGGTCTGGGTCGGTAATGTTGGTGCCTCACGAATCGGAGTAAATTCGTTAGATTTCAAGCTTCGCGATTCTTCACACATTAAAAACCGAATTCTCAGCCTGTTGGACGACCTTCATGAGTGTCTGAATAATGGTGAGATAAAATGTGCCTTGGAAAACGCGACTTGTGCGGGCATTGATCAAATTTGAAGCGGATGCTATCATCAAGGGAGAAAGGAAACCTTGGGACCAATGCCTAGAGGATTCCCAGGTAGACGACAATGAAGATGAGTACATCGACGCACTGGCAAAAGACAGCAGCAACACCTCTGGCTTTGGTACCGAGCTGGACCAGATCCGCGCCGATGTGGCCGAGATTGTGAACTGCTTGTATCAGCTCTCCACCACCACTCAGGCCCCGGCACCCCATGATCAGTACATGATTGCGCATCACCTAGTCATTGAGGATGCATACATTCGTCTCGATATATCCGCCATCATGGTTTATGAACTACGAGAAACCTCACTAGCTCTGGCCACGCGGCTGGCCGAAGCCAATGCGCGGCGCCGTCGGTATTGGACATTTCGGCAAACTCGCAACAATCACAAAAAGGATTATCCGCAATTTCAACTCGCCGCTCAAGAAGATGACCCGGAAATCAGCAGTGCTATACCTTTGCCGGAGTCGAGGAAAATCAACACTCTTGACATTCCTGTCCCGCCACCACAATCAGAAGATGGAACTTTGGAATGCCCATACTGCTTCACTGTAATCTTCATAAGCACGCCTCAAACATGGAGGTATGTTTTGCCCCCGTCCCTCCTCATCGAAAGGTCTTCGTTTCAGCTAATAAGCGTGGCAGAGAACACATATACTCCGATCTGAGGCCATACATCTGTCTCGAAGAGTCCTGTCGTAGTGCCGGCCAGCACTATCTAACCCAAAATCAGTGGATGGAGCATGTCCTACAACATCATTGGCGAAACTGGAGGTGTGTCTTTTGCCCCAGCGCGACATCCTTTGAGTCTTCACTGGATCTAAGACGTCACCTGGAATCGAGACATGAAGATTCTGTCAGCAATTCCAGCCAGGTTGATATTCTCGTTCAATCTGGAAAGCAGGCCAAGAAGCTCGATACTTGCACGGCATGTCCCCTCTGTGCCGAGACCCTGCAAGATGCCGGCGTATATCGCCAGCATGTTGGAAGACATCAAGAACAAGTAGCACTACTGGTATTTAAAGACATAAAAAAGTAGGGAGCACCAAAGGGCAAACTGTTCAAAACCCCTGATTTTGACCATTACACTTACGTCCTTGTGGCTATAAGAATACAATTGAAATGAATGATATTACCAAGAAATTCTAAAATTCTTATTGTTATAGCCACAGGGGCGAAAGTGTATACGGTCAAAACCGGGGGTCTCAACAGTTTGCCCTGTGGACATCCGTAAAATATCGGACTGAATGAAGCAATAATGAAAAGCACATCACACCAAGCTTGCATGTAGTCACTCGAATCAAACACAATCGTCTCTCATTACGAACCGTTTATCATGCCTCGCATGTATGCAAGTCTAGGTATTACACGAGAAATCAATATACACTCCTGACGCCGATCCGAGCGAGCTCATTTGCTAAAAAGGCTGGCTGCTTTTCTCTGGAACGCCGAAGCAAGCATCATCCCCAAACGTTGATGCAAAAACAAATAATTCCAACAATGACCTGATATATCCATGCGCTCACACAGCCCGCCGGCATTGACGCCTCCCAGCGGCTCACTCCAAACTCCGTATTCATATACTTCATATTTCGTGCGTTTCACCTGTCGCTTCAGGGGTGCGTATTGTTCCATCTCCCTCTGTGTCCTTCTTGCTGACGTGGGAGATGACGCCGCAATCCAGCAGTGCTTGCCAGACATGGTCCTTCTGGCGGATACGCTGCCTGTCAACGGATAGTCCGTCTAGTGTTTTGAGTCGTCCACAGCGCTGCGTAACGGCGATCTCGTAGAATCGCCTCTTTTGTTTTGTGCCTAAATCCAGTCTTTTGGAAAAGCTATCATCTCGCTCCTTGTTCGCATCTGGCAAGACAAATGGATCCAAGTCCGACTCTTGTTCCACAGAGACCAAGCTCTGAATAGGTGGGTAGAAACCCAATGTGGCGATATTGTCTCGCAAATCTAGCTTGGCCAGGTGTGGAAACTCTGGTAATAGGTTGGCCAAGGCGATTGTATCCGACAATCTGTTGCCTGCCACGAGAAGCTTCTTCAGCCTGGGGATGAAGCGTAGGGCAGACAAGTCCTCCAGTGCATTGAAATTCAGATTCAAGGTTCTCAAGTTGGGCATTAGCTGCCCAAAATTTGCACCCAATGACTGCAATCCACAGTTTGCGAGTTCAAGATACTGCAAGTTGAGAAAATCCACCTTTGGATCAAAAGTCGCCAGAAGGTTACCAGACAGGAAAAGCTTGCGAACCTCGTACGCAGCAGTCAAGAATGATATGTTTAGCGGTTCTTCGCCCCTCTGCTCTCGGAGAGAGAGACTATCAAGTCTGCGAGTGCGAGAAAATCCCTTCAAGGTGGTTAATTGGTTTCGATCTGCATGAAGCAGCCGTAGTGAGGGAAAAGATGCAAGGCTTAATTCTGTAATGGCATTGCCAGACAATTGCAGATAGCGCAGCGAAGGCATATCATCTGTTGTAGTTGCGAACGATGTCAGATAATTGTCTTCGAGATTGAGGGTTGACAGACAAGACAGCTGCTCAATGTTGGCCACGGCGCGAATGTGGTTGCCTTGCAAGTCAAGTTCAGTCAAACGATGGAGCCTTGTTCCTTCAAGATCGACTTCCTCTATCATGTTATTGCGCGCACGAAGCACTTGGAGAGAATCGTGAAACTTGATTCCGTCCAAACCTGTGATAAGGTTGTTATCCGCGCGGAGGTTTCGGAGGTGAACAAGGTCCTTGAAAGCGTGCAGACTGTTAATCTGATTGTTGGAAATGTCCACATACTGCAGATTCAGTAAGTGACCCCAAGCAGTGAGCTCAGATAGATGATTATGTGTGATCTTGAGGTTTCGAACAGATGGTGGCACGCCATCTAGGTGACTGAGCAAGTTGTCAGAAGCATCCATAGTAACGATACTACCACAGAACTCGTCCAACTTGTGCAAACTTCCCAACCGTTTGCCATTGATGTTCAGAACGCTGATAGAGTCCCAATCCGGCTCAAAAGGTTCAACCTCTGTGATTTTCTCGACTAGAGCGCGAATAGCCTGTGACATGACACGCTTGGATTTGTCTCCAGTCACCAGGTAATCATCGCCAACGACATAGCTGACTTCCAGAGCATTGGACCGATCGCCGTGATTGAAAGTCAATTCGGACAGTGGGCTGAGCGACAGCATTCCGACATGTTCTGCGATGATTGGTGTCGCCAGTCTCTGAGGAATCTGTCGAATGGGAGCGGGCGTTGTAAACAAGAAACTGACACTGTTCCGTCGCTGCTCGGCACCATTTGGCAGAATGACACTTGATTCACCAAGAATGCTGAGCTGCCCTTGTTCAAGCACCGATACTTCAACAGCCGCCGTCTCTTCATCCTGCTCATCGATACGAGATACAGGCCTGGGAATAAATGTTCTGCCTCTGACAGACAGGCTTCGTCTCACACTCTTGGAACGGCTTCGAGATCTCGATTGGTCGACATTGCGAATAGCAGAAGCACCAGGCTTCACCCCCCTCCCTCGATCTGAAGAATGTGCTGAATCGTCATCGACCAGACTTTCCTCGGCACTGATTTCGTCAATGGTGGTATCCCCATGTAACTCTTGTGGCAATGCATCTTGAATGAAAGAAGCGACGGGCGATGAGAATGTGATGGTCAAGTTCCGTTTCCGAGCTGGACTCGACTTCTGTACTCGATCCTCGTCCAGTGTAATTTCGTGCTCAACCTCCTCATCCTCTTCAACCTCTTTGGCAGCATCGGGCATGCTCTTGTTTTTGCCTTGAAAGGTTTGCTTCGCGTAGCTCAGCAAGGTGCCGAGATCGACGGGCTTGTCCGTGGCAGTAGGCTTTTTACCGGACGCAGGTGGGTGCGGAAAGTCCTCTTTGACGTACTCTTGCAAATCATCGAGAGGTCCGGTCTTGAGATTGAGATGTTGCTTTTCTTTGTTTACATCGACGGAGAGATCCGGAATGCTAGCGAATGGATCTTCCTCGCTGTCCTCAGATGGCAGGATGTTCAAGCCCAAGGGCTCTCGCCTCGGAGTCTTTACTTTCATCCAAACATTTTTTTCCTTGTCCAGTTGCATATTGCCAACATGGTCCCCAATAACTTGGCTAACTGCATCGGGTGCAATTAATCTCCTGAACTCCGAGCCGCGCGACGAAGAAGCAGTAGGTATGGAGTTAGTGGAGCCACTAGAGGACCCTGATCCATGCGACGCGATGGGTCCAAGCTCATCATCAATGGAGGCGTCAGGGTTCCGAGACAACCGCACGTTGGAGAGGTCACTAATGACTTCCCCTTCCTCTGGAGTGCTGCTTCGCGTATGATTATATTGAAGGTCCGCCTTCAGAGCTTTGTTGAGTCTCTTGACCTCCCGAGTGGCCTCCTTGGCCAACCCCATAGAGCGCATGGAGTACGTGATGAGGTCTCCCATGTCGCTTTTCTCTTCATACTGCTTTAGTTTGTCAGCAATTGCAGGGTCCTGTTGTCGAGTGGCTAGATGCAGGACGGGGCCGCCTTCGCGACTGGGGGGTCTCAAGAAAGGCTCCTGGAAAGAGTCTTCATAAGAGTCGTCGTATGATTCTTCTGCCGATGCGGTCTTGCGTCGACTTGAAATGTCTGCTTTAGACTCATCGACGCTGTCAAGGCCATCGTATAGGTTGGATGGTCGTGCCTTGTTTCTGATCATTGCCATGATTTTTTCTGCTTCCACAAAAAAGTCTTGCGTCTTTATCGAGACCCTCCGAGAACCATTTGGTTGAAAATCCTGACTGACCATATCAGAGCCCTCCGAAGAAGGCCGTGACAAGGCGGCGTTGATACTCTCACGAGAGAAACCGGTAGAGAACTCTTGCTCGCGTTGGACAGAGGACCTCTGGCTGGGTGTTGGTGTACGAGGTCGAATCACCTGTCGGTTTGCCATGACAGCAGAATTGGCAGACTGCTGCAACTCACTAGGTCGTGCATCCTTGCGCTTCCTGCCAATGCCGGACTGCATCTGGCAGTGCACGTTCCGAACAGCTTCGATAGCTGCAGGGTGTGCTTCCAGGCCATATGCAATATCAGATCTGTGCAAAGTCCTTCTTCGCTTGGGCGTGGGATCCTTCGATGGGGAAGTACGTGGTCGTTTTGTCTCCGAACTGTCCCTTTTGGGGGTTCCGAGAACGAAGCGGCTGCCCAAGGCCCTCTCGGGCGAGCTTGCCGGGCGTGATGACCTGAGACCGCTAGCAGAATGCTTTGAAGAGCTTGCATTGGTGCTGGTTCTCGTTCGCCGCAGTTCCAACTTCAGTTCCTCGTCTTCAAGTACGGACGATGATGATTTATGTCCAAGGTCGAAAACAACACCGCGGGTCTGCGAGCTTCTGATAGGAGCAACATTCTCCTTATCACGCAACTCTGACCGCTCAACAGGTCCCAATGAAATATCTTCGCTGAAGACATAGTCATCCAGGTCACCCGCACCAAAATTGTTGACAATTCCCAAGACTTCATCGTGACCGCAGCTGAGTTGTTGCTTTCTTGGCTGGCCAGCGACAGTGGGAGGAATCATGGAATTGCTCGAGTTGCCCTCTTGTGCTGACAGCAATGACGAATGCGAATTGTCCAGTGATGCATCATAGGAAGGGTTCTCAGTTACAGGATCCTCAAACTGACTTATTCGTCGCATCAACGTTTGGTTTGTAAAGGTGTCATATGGCCCAAAAAGCTTGAGTGGGCTTCCTCCGATACTATGGCTATGCTCAGGGCGCTTATCTGGACTCGGGTCTGGTCCGCGTGGAAAATCGGGACTCTCTGAGGACGTATGATCATTGGATTCCGTAGGTGCTATAATTCTGATGGTGGCTGGAAAGTGCTTCGGCGTACTGGCCTGTAATGAAGACTCGGGCAGCATTTCAGACGTATCTGCCTGTGCTGCAGGGCTCAGTGGGCGACGCCTGAAGGATCCTTCTGCGGAATAGCCTCCTCGCTTGATATTCAAGAAAGCACCCTGCCGGGCATAATCTTGAGTCGAGTCGAGATCGTCTTGTGGCATGGTTGACTCTTGTTCGCGTGAATCCGACTTCATAAACGAGTGATCTTGACGGATCTCGTCTAACCGTTTCCGCAGTGAGTCTGCAGAGAGCTCTGTGGGGGCAAAAGTAATCTTGCCATCTTCTTTGCTGAGTCGCGTGAGATAGATGGGGCTGAAGTCTTCGTTCCGGGTGTCGCTCCTGCCGCTAACCCGACGCGACACATCAAGATATTGTTTGGAAGTCGCTGAGATGGAGGATCTCTGTCCTTGATTCTTGGTCGCATCGTCTCGCGACTGAGTGGCTCGGTCGACGAACGAGTTATCTAGCATACTCGAGCCACTATCGTTTTCGTTGTTGATTCTTTGCGCAATGCCTTGTTTGAGAAGCGCCGGTTGGATCTCGGAAAACTCCAAGCTGGACTCTTCAAATGTACCGCCAGAAACATTTTGCGAACGAGATTTGAAATAGGGAGGGGGGCTGGACGGCATAGTCATGTCATGGGCTGTGTGGTCCTCATCGTGGGCCTCCTCAGGGATAGCATCTGCCCGAGGTGGTGGGCGGAACATGCTTTCTAAACCGGCGCCGGCTGAGCTGAACAAATTCAGCGGTTCTGCATAGTCTCCCTCTCGGTGTAGCAGCCTCCTCCTCCACTCAGGTATGTCAGCTCTATTCTTGGCCGGTGATGCACTCAGCGATTTGTGCTCTATAGTGTTGTGCTGAACGGAGCCAGATGCCGAGGCTGAGTGGGATCGACTGATGTGTCTACCTCTTTGCGACGATTTTACGTCATCAGAGCCTCTGGATGACTGGCGTTGCGACGCTTGGATATTGATGTTATTTGAGCTTCTCTCGCCGAGCGCATCGGTCGTTGATAGGTCGGGCTTGTGTATTGATTGGGACGGAGTCGGTAGCGATATGCCTGCTGCGCGGGAGTCGCTCTGTTGTGAGGCGGCGCGCGAGTCTGAAAAGACGGATAATTGTGCCTGGGAGGAGTCGTCTCTGGGCTGGGAGACCCAGTCCTCTGAGAGGGAATCGAGCCAGGCATGGGGCGCCATGGCTTCAAGGCGACCGACAGTGGTGTCGGCGAGGAGCGGCGGCGAATGGTCAAATTGGTACAAATTCCATATGAGATTGTATGTGAAGATCCGTGGCTAGGATGATGCTTCTCGCCAAAGTGGGCTGTAAGTAGTCGCAAAAAGATGGTTAGCTAGTTCCTACTTTTATGATGTTTACTTATTACGGCGCAAAAGTCGCGTGGGGCTGAGTGGAGGAGAACAAAACAGAGGCGGGACGGTCTGGGCAACAGTAATTACCTCCAGGGCACCAGGCGCGGCAAAATAAAAACTTAGGTGCGTTGTTGTGATGAAGCAAACGGCTGGGAAAAGAAGAAGAGCTTGAAGTGGTAAGCTGATGAAACAAAGTGAAAAAAGTATACTGCCAACGCTTGGAACAACGGTTCAAAGTCCCATGCTTGATCGATGACGATGTTGCGGCTCTATCACCATTGATAACCAAGATGCACACGCGCGAAATGGCGCCCACTACACTGTCCAAGTGGGAACAACATGAGCTGGTCCCAGCTGGACGAGGATCGATAGCCGGTTGCCACAGCGACGGGGCTACCTCAAAGATGTGCGGCAGCTATCCCAATGGGCCCGGTCCATCGCAGGCGGGCGAGAAGGAGTTCTGCCCCACCTGCAATTGACTTTATTGCACTTGCACCCAATCAAAGACTGCACCCGACTCTCCTCGTATCGGCGCTTCAAGGTGAGACAATATTCCGAACTTTTTGAGTGATGGCTTGCGTTTGTAAAAAAGAAATGCATCAATGAAGAAGCAGCACGTCGTGGTTTTATTATTCTCTATGCAAAGTTGTATGTCTAATATACATATTTGACATTATTGATGTTTTAACTTGATTCCGCATCTAGAGAGAAACTTGGCAGTAGACCGGCTGACGAGTGGTACTCTCAGTGTAGGTAAGTAGGTACACTAGGTACCTCGCATAGTATTTAGCAGGCATACGGCAGCCCTCCAAAAATGGTCCGTGCTCAAAATCAATTAACGCGTCCACGACTTGCAACCAGCGCGTCGTCCAGTGAACGGTTTTGTCCCACTTCTGAATTTAGAGCAGGTCGAGAGTTTGCCAAACTCCAGGCAGTGGCGCTTGTGGAATCGGCAAACATTCGCCGATTCAAACCTCCACATTCTGTCAAACCAGTCCGACCAACCCCGTGCAAATCCAAGCTCTTTCTGGAAGTCATCGTAACGCAGCTCGACAACAATGTCAGCATTACGCCAGTGCTGTTATCCCTGATGCAATGGCCTCCGGTGATATCGAAATGGAAAATCTGATGGGAGAGCGGAAGGATCTCGGCGAGGAGCCCATATACTGTGCAGCCTACGACGATGGCGAGGAGATTCTCTACCATAGGTCAGAGCATCATCGGACCCAGTCCGAACGGGTTGCCCAACGACTACGCTACGAAGAACATGCCCTCAGATTCCTCAGGGGCCAGCGTCCGAGGCTTATATCCGCCGCATTACGAGGCCCCTTCGATCAAGCTTCCGGCTGGCGAAACCCGTGGCTTCCAGCTCGTCAATCCTCAAATGTCCAAGCAAATGCTACAAATCATACACGCAAGCGATACTCCACCAAATCGACAAATGCTTTGGCAAAAGCTGCAATTCAGACACATCCGAAAAATGTTGGAGGATTGACGAATACCGCACCTGACATGCAGGACTCCATGCAATGTCATTTGCCAAGTCCACAGAGTCATCGCGAGCTTGAGCTTGTCGAAAATGCTCACTTTGATTCTTCGGCAAGTGCCCGCATACGAGATTGGGCCCGAAATGTGCAAAGAGACACGCTGGAGCGAGATGATTTTTGGGCACCTGACGTTGGGACTGATGATGCCTCCGATGGAAGCAGCAATGCAAAGAGACCCGCCAAGAAAGATTGGCTCAAGAGCAAGCTCAACAAGCGCAGGAGAACAGAGAACGTGTCTTTTGCTTCTGTGTCGACCCCAACCCCCACTCCTGCTGCTCCTGCTGCCAGCGAATTGCCCATTTTCACAGGACTTGCCCCAGATCATCAGTCGAACAACCGCACGAATGCAAATCAGAGTTTCGAGCAAACTACGCCGTCTTCTATTGCCAAGCAGCAGCCAGAGGAGTCACCCGAGGAAGTTGTGTCCATGACAGCATCCCATAAGTCATCAGCATCAAGGGTTAGACCTCGTAAAAAAGTGGCAGTCAAAGCTCATGCACTACGCAGGAGTAGTCGTCGCCAATCAAAGCAGCCATCTAAAAACCTCGATGATGCAATCAATCAGCCGGCTTGCCAGCCAATGGAATGTCAAGATGCATCAGGCATGGGCATGAACAGTGCAGCTCAGCCACAAGCAGCGCCTCCAGGACAAGGAAAGGAAGATATGATTTCCGAGCAGGAAAACCCACATGGAGCTGCAAGCCCGCGGCAACTTCTTGAACATGGCGATACCAGCTTCGAAAGCCATCAAGACCAAAGTTTCCGATACAGAGCCAAAAGCACCAAGCTTCCTCCTATCCAGATAACCCAGAGCAATCTAGTCAGTCAACAGTCACAAATCACTCAAACAGGAACCCCAGATTCGGATGAGCAACATGAAGCGAACCTTGATGAAAACTCCGTTACTGGTTGTCATGATTTTGATGTCGTCGACTACCCCATGTACGACCAAAGTGCAACGGACATGCTGGTTGATTTCACACTACAAGACGATACAGAAGTGGCTCAAGATTTTATTCCCACAGAACCCACAGAGACTTTGACAGAGGATTGTCGACCTGAAGCTCATTCAATTGAGAAGAGGCTCTGTGAAGAAACTTCGACCCTTGACAACCTTGTCTCCGAGGAAGGCGAACAAGACCTTGATCATCATCAACAGGCTAGTCACGAAAACCCGGTTGACCAACCAGGTCTTGATCAAGCAATGCTATTTCTAGGTGTGGAAAATCAGCCCACGCCATTGCACATTTCCATATTTAGAGCGCTTGAGGCAGGGTCTGCACTTGTTGCAAACGCAGTGGAAGTTGATACGGGTAGAACTTTGCCCCTTGTCGATGCTCCTGCAAGGCCTGAACTCCCCAAATATTCCTTGCCAGTCGCCGGAATAGCAGAAGGCAACGAGCAAACGCACCCGGCAGAAGATGGAGAGGCCGTATTGGTAGCCGATCAGGAGGAAACATCAGGCCCTGGTGGCGTTGAGAGCAAATCACCCATTGAGTGTCAAAATCCCGAGCCATGCGATCGAGATGAATCGTCCACGCCCCACGGCGACGGCGACGGATGCAGTGTCGGCGGGCCTGTGGAGATAATGCAAGAGCAGAATGAAGGTTCTGAGGCCTCAATTGAAGTCTCAGAAGATGAAGAAAACCAAGAAATTCCGGTTCCTATCTCTAAAGCGGAATGGGTAAGAAAGGAGTCGGTAGACGACCCCTCGGATCCTATCCAAAACACCCCACCGCTTCTGGAAACAACTCACACACTGGCTGACGCCAATGTCACAACGGCCGGCAACGAGGAAGGCGAACTTCAGAGTGATCAAGTAACCCTGCAAAGCCCTTGGGTATCTGAGGGTGCGCAAGTCAAAATCGAACCTATGGCAGAAGAGGCGTGGGTGTCTAGCTCACGACCTATCAGTATCGCAAGTTCGCCAATAGAGGTGGTACCACAGCTTGCCGTACCACTTTCGCAGCAACAGCCATGGACCTCTTTGGAGACTGAGCCACCCTATTCCGCTGGCCTACAAGCTTCAGAATCCTTGCAACAGGTCGTTTTACAAGAACCATTGCGACTGTCTCTGCAGAGTTTGCCGGAGAAGCAAAGTCTATGGGCTTGTTGTGACCATCAATCTGCATATGCCGATCAACAAGCACGTTTGTCGGTTTCCCAAAGCCTACAAGACCGACGGCCACCTACACAAGCACCGAGGTTCAATAGCGAGCCACTGGCACCCGTGCCACCTATGTCTCTACTCCCACATCTTGAACAGATTGGATCTCTTACACAGCCGGCTACACCTGTACACATGGCCCAACGTCAAACGACTCCCGAACCGATCCTATCAATCAAATCCTTTGCGACATTTAACACGCCGTCTCCGAAATATGATCGCAACTCGAGGAACCACAGAGTGTCTGGTGAAGGCTTGCCCAGTACACAATTTTTGACCGATGCAACAGGTGCCAACCCTTGGACAAGTAGTGCTCGATCGAGCTTACGATCGATTGTGAGACCTCGGTCACATTTGCGGGTATCCTTTGCACCACTACCTCATGAGAGCGACGACACCGGAGATTCGGTGCTCGCTTCCAATGTCCGGAAAGCAGCATCTCCTCCGCCGCAGTTCCGCCGTGAAGCTGATGATGAAGACGTGGGTGCAAATTTCCAGAAACACTTTGACGCTACGAGTCGGAGGTCTTCAAATGGGACGAAGATCCTGCAGCCCCGGGCCGCAACTCGCCTTCTGCCCAGCGAGTCACAACAAATTCCAATGAGTCCTGGGATTGGTCTAATGGCACAGGCGTTCCGAGAGGCCGACGAGGGCCAAGGCATCAAGAGCTCTCCTGGACCTTTCATCGCAGTCGATGAGTCCTGCCAGATCCCAGATACCGAAAATCATACTCAAGAGCAGTCACCATGGCGCGCTGAATCCCAAAGCCAGGGTGTTGATGATGTCGCTGCGGTTCTGCAGAACCTTGACGACTTTCTCAACCCGAGATGGGACGCTGAGGTGGACGTGAATAAGACCAGGGTTGCGGATGGAGAAGAAAACTTTAGATTGGAACAGAGTCCAGGTTTCTTGGGGGCGATTTGGGATGCATTATGAGGAGTTATATGATTCTTGTTTACCCCTGTAGAGGGCGTTCTGTTGTCCTTTGATTTTGTTTCTGGCATTTGATACCCCTTTCCAGTCCTCCCAATGAAGGATAGGCATTGTGAGCTTTACATTCGGTTACAATATGGCTCCAAGTGACAGGAAAGAAGTATAGATGTCAGCATGAACCAGAAGTTCTCTGCGTACTTAGCTTCATGGCCAGCCAACAGTGATATCTAGTCTAATGTTTCCATCATCAAGTTGATAAAATGAGCAAGATGTCATTTGCGCATTGTGAGCTTGGTCCAAAGTAGCACTGTCACGCATCTAAACATGTAAATTGATAGAACCTCAACTGTCCTTGTGCACATCAAAGGCACCTGCTGGACACATACCACTGAAGGACCTGCCATTAGTGATGTGAAAGAAATTCAGGGCATCCTTTTGAGATGCACGGCATAAAGGTACATTCTAAACAATGCGTCAAGAAAAAAAATCCACTTTTGCGAATCGAAATGACCTTGTCATTTCTTCTGGTAGCAGTGGTAGGTCAAATTGATTGAAGCTAATGATCAATCAACTTAACCTGCTCGCATGTGTCATATTCTCGTGTTCTATTAAAGCTTGTTCCCTCCTTGATTCCCTCTGATCACCAGAGAGAATAACAAATTATACAAGCGCAAAGCTTATCGTGCACGTCTTGCATATTTCGGATGCGCGGCTACAAACGCTGACGCTGCTTGGGATACCAAACATCTTACCAAAGTTCTTATCCGAAAATTGGTCAACTTGTAAAGATCTCACACCAGGTCAAGAAATCATTTTTTTCCCCTTTTCCTTCGGGGTAAGTGATGTCAGCAAGAAGGAAACTCCGAAACGCCACGTAGCTGAAGACAAATCTACTACTCTGTGCAGAATACGTCTACATTTAGCAATATTTCCAAGCGTTGCTGGCAGTGGCAGATATGATGAGCATTGGGAAACTCTCCGTACTCCAGCGGTCTAATGTCCACGTTGTCAAATGATTGGCCTGGAGGACATCTCGAGTTTGACTTGCAGGGTTGGGCTTCGCAGCAAGCAGCAAGCAGTAGCCCCTCCCCCATCTCGACCGAAAGCTGGCACGCAACGGCAATGGCGATTGGTCCACGATCAGAAAGAATGCTACCTTGTCGTATTATCTCTCATACCTTTCCCTTTTCCAGTGACTATATCTGATGGGGGTGTCTGTATTGGGGCAACTGTGGAGGGCGTCCCGTCCCGTTGTGGTCTTCCTATCTATGGCTGGGGGACTAACAAGGGTATGGGGTGTGTGGTTCCTCTGTTCCTGGAACGGGCTTGACGGGTGAGATATTAGAGCTCATTCCTGCTGAGCAAAGGCAAGTAGCGCGCCATTGAAACTCAATTGAGCCATTCATCAAGCATTACGCACCGCTGTTTTTTTGGGCCCCCCCAGAGCCTCGAGCTATGGTCGGGATTGTGGCTTATAGTAGCCTTGGGGAAACGGAGCTTGGATGAGGGGAGCTCGTTTGAGCCAATCGGAAGCCACAGCGCAACTGTGTGGGCATGCTGAATGGGATATGGGACCTCTGGGTCGTAAGATTAGAATAACATATTCATTCGTAGATTGATGAATCATGGTCTGTAGATCATGATGGCGAGGCTTTCTTTCCCCTGAAAGAAGTTTTGTTGAGATTTGCTTTCGTGACCGCTTTTTGTTTATTGCGTACGGCCTGTCGGAGACGTGATGGACACAACGTGGTGTTCCGGGATTAGCGATGATCAGTCAGCTCAGTGGGGAGCAACTGTAGTGCTGAGTGTACATTGGGCATAGCCTTTGCCGAATGCCTTCGATGCGTACAAACAATAACAACAAGGTTGGCACTGAGGCCTTGGCGTTCGCAATTCCAGTTGGAGATCGTCCAGACTGCACAACGATGAGCGATTGGCTGTCGTATCGAGACCGGTAGCGTGCTCGGGAATATGGAGTAGTATTCGACGTGTCAGTGGTGTATGTAGTATGTACTCCATATCAGCCCTAAAAACTACTACAGCCGAAAGATCATTGCCTGTTCCTACCTGTATGGAGCACATCCACAGTGGGCTTTTTTTCCAGTGTAGAAACGAATTGTTTCTAGAAGGACTGGAAACACGTAGTGTATATCTACTAGTATCGCCAGAAAGACGAGCGCATTACCTAACCACGTGTCACTGTACAGGCACAATAGAGGGCACCATGCAAGATACGGAGTCCACAAAGGGCTCTGATTGTCCGTCTCTTTGTGCTTAGATTGCCTCGACCGACAGACATATTATCGGAGGTCGAAGCCCCAACGCGCTATGGCTGCACCTGACACATGGGAACTCTTGAAAGGCGCACCTATGTTCCAATAGGCTAGCACGGACGCGGGGAGCCGAGCGTGTCCCGAATGACGTTGGAATTTGATCGGATGGTGTCAGGTGATGAAAGCAGTTCGTAAAGCGTCAACTTAATTAGCATATATTTGCGGTATCGGTAAGAGATATGAAACGCACGGTAATCTCGACGGGCAAGCAGTTTCCGCAGGTAAGCAATTGGTATATTTTTTGGGCCGTGTCCGGTGCAATCGAGAACTCAACATTGTAGTCCATCGAAATGCCATGCTCCATGTTCAAATACTGTTGGAGGCCTGTTGCCGTTGGTACCCGTGCCCTCCATCCATCCCTCTCTCCCTTTCTTACCTCATAGGTTGTACTTGGGCCGCGCCTTATCTATATACATGGACCACATGTGCAACTGAATGTCAATGCTGGAGGGTTCAGAATGGTACCTGTACTATTGTTTACCCAATTGAAATGTTTCAGCGCTCTGTTTAGCACTCGTAGCATGTGCATTACCTACATTACATTGGAGGAAGGGGGGGAGGGCCTCCTGTTGTGGCTTGCTATTACCGGAGCTGTCTAACTCGTTACAGCAGGCCTGTTTCTCCACTAGCCCCTCCTCTCTTGTTGATAACGAGGCCCGATTTGCGCCCGAGGGGTCCCTTTTTTGCTTTCTAGAAGCCGCGCTTGCAACTGGCGTATGTTTTCTCTTTTTTTAATTGTGGGCACCTGGAAGGCACTTCCCCGAGGTACTTAACCAACAGGTCGCCGCCAAATTGAAATGTCAGGTACCTGCCTGCCCTCACTGGATCTGTCCCTCTGACGTTGCTCTCGCCTGTCACCCACCCATCCACCCCCTACCCACCTTTGATTCAATTCGCCTTTCCCTTTTGCTCCTGGGCTCAATCAATCAGTCGTGCGCTACCACCCGACCGACCCCAAACGCCCAAAAGTCGCCTTTTTTGTGATTTTTCCGAATTTCCACACCACACATGGGTCGTACTTCTATCGCGCCCACGACTGCGAATCATCCCACCCACACTTTCGCAGCACTCGCCAGATGTTTACCTCATGTCCAGTCCCGACGGTAAGCTCGAAAATGCCGCACCCGCTGCATCGCTGAGCTCTGATACTCTGTCGGCCCTGTCGTCGTTGAACCAACAAGAAGAACAACTTCAGCAGCAGCAGGAGCAGCCGAACCCAGAGCCAGAGCCAGAATCAGTGTTGGCGCAGCAGCAAAACAACCCTCTTCCTTTACCACCTCCTCAACCCTCCTCTACTACTACTACTACCCCCTCGGCGGACGATACTATCTCCCCTGTCACTGCTACTCCTGCTCCTGCTTCTGAGGACGTGAACGTGGACGTCGATGTGGATGTACATGTGGATGCCGCGACTGGCACCACGAATGATGTTATTGACTCTTCTTTGGTGACTGGTCATTCTGTTGAGGACTCTGTACATGTACCTGTATCTCTCCCTGCACGCCCGGCGCATGTCTCGCCGTCGGACGTGCCAGGTACCCCAGAATCCAATCATGCATCTTCTACCACACCTACCGTCCCGTCTGCCGCAGATCAGGGCAGTAATAAAAAGTCTCGTCCTTCCATGTCAAGTCTGAGATCCAGTGGCCCGTCATTGTTGACACAAGCTCTTGCAACTGCTAGAGGCATAATTCCAGCTTCCGCTTCTGCACAGCATCTCGACCCTCGGCGACCAGAGCAGAAGTCGTCGCATTCTTTCGGAGGCACTCCCTCCAACGCCCTGGGCAAGCCACATGGTAGCCCATCCGACCCCATCGATAGAGAACCTCACGATGACATCGCCATACGAGGCGATGGCGCACCCTTGATAACTCGAGTACGTTCGCACGACCAGGCAGTATCCGGCTCGAGCAAAACGATTTCTCTTCCGACATCCCCGCCCACCCCAGCCAACATTTGCATTGCCGCACCCAGTCCCGATATGCCCGGCCGCACGAGCGAAAGGTTCGTGCCCAGTGATCACCGAGATGTGTTCATGGGTGCGAAGGATAGACCCAGATCGTTGGAGCGTACCGAAAAGGAGATCAGAACCCATCAGCTCAATGTTAATGGCACGAGCTCGGCCACCGTCGACAACACTCCTCTGTCGTCTGCCATAACAACACCAGAGCAGGCCCAGCTCGCTGCCGACCAGGAAAGTTCTGATGCCCGTCAACAATATAGAACATGGAGGGCAGAGAGAACTGTATCTGTCGGTCCTGAAAAGGCCTGGTCCATTGGCAAAGGAGACATGGCTGGAGCCGAGCCTGGCCAAGTCGAAAAGTCAATCGCCGAAGCAATTGCTGGCGTGGAGCCAACGCGCAGTCGTAAAGCTAGCCACAGTCTTCGATTCTTCAAGGAGGGCCTGCCAGACGAAAAGGGCAAGCGCAAGGACACGAAACGGAAAGATGATTTGGGCACTCACCAGGAACAGGATGAGGCTGCTCGTGCCCAACACCCCGCCGTCCCCTCGCCCATATACGTTCAAGATTTGATCGGACTTCCGCCCGATGCCATCTTCCCGTCCGCCGGCTCGGCCGTGGAATCCCCTGTCGATGAAGAACCTGCTTCGGACTACTTTGGCATAAAGCCACATCCGGTGGGCCATGATCACCATCCGCAATTATCGCCTGGCCTTGAGCAGCGTAAAGCGATGCCGAGTTACCACGAGCCGGCCTCTGATACTGCTCCAGTGATTGTAAATGGGGTTCGGCACGAGTCTGAGAGTGTGGAAAACGTCGCAGACGCCCCAGAGGAGGGCGAAGATTCTGGCGAAGAGAAGATTTCGTCTGCCTTCTTCGTGCCTCATCAAGAGGCTCCAGAAGTCATAAAGCCTGAACATCATGTTGGCCGGCCTGGACCAATACATCGACAGTCAATTGTCAAGGATGCTAGCCCTTGGCTTGTCAAGGCGGACGAGCCAGAAGTCGAAGACGGACATTTGAGCCAAGATGGTGGGCAGGCCAGCAAGTCTGACCATGGCGTCGTAAGTCAAGTTGGTGACGACTTTGCAGTCCAAGACGATCTTGCTCTTGAGAAATCCCACACTGTGCCAGCCAGTCTTTCACTCCCAGTGCCTCAATACTATGACGACGTGCATGATCATCAGTTTGCGCCCAAAAGACCCCTCGAGGCTATTGAACTCATTCCTTATAAGCACCAAGTTGGTGGCCACACAACCCTGTGGAGGTTCTCCAAGCGTGCCGTCTGCAAAGAATTGAACAACAGTGAAAATAAGTTCTACGAAAATATTGAGCGCTACCATCGCGACCTCCTGCCATTTCTACCCAGGTATGTGTGCCATTTCTGCTTCTGAGTTCTGTGTATTTGTGTCCTGGGGTTATACTGATCAGAGCCTGTTGCAAAACAGATACATTGGCGTGCTTAATGTTACGTTCCAAAAGAAACCGCGACGTCGATCTATCATCAAGAAGGATGAACCAGAGTACATGATTGTGGCCCAGGATGCTCATGCGCCTAGAAATGATGAGAACTTACGCTTGGAGGTGTTGGAGCAACCAAATGAAGCACGAAATGAAAGCAAAGAACACCGCCGGATCATAAGTCAGTCGTTGCAATCATCGCAAACGCACATTCCGACCGTGACCTTTGTGGACAACCAGCACATCCTTCCGAGAAGCCTGCTCGAGCCGTCAGGTGACATTCCTCAGCGTGGTAGAAGCGCGTCTGAGGCCGTGTTGCATGACATGGTTGAAGTGGATAAGGAACAGAGCGCACTCATCAGACGACCCAATTTGGAGACTCGCCATGCTAACAGCTGGGGAGCTACAACGGTCAATAAACGCTTACGAAATGAGGTTTTCAACGATGCTTTTCTGAAGCGACCGATTCCGGTGCAAAAACATCAGAAACCAGCATCTCACTCGAGAGTGATTCCCCGCCGTGCCGTTCAGGGACAGGCTGCTCGGCCTAGCACTGCCGATGCCGATCTCATGTCCTCCCGAGCCATGTCAAGTGCAACTACGGGAGGTCCCCATGGACCCAGCCCCCTTCGAATGATGCCGGGCCTGACGCAGATACAGAGCGACCTTGCCAATGACGAGAGTAGCCTCAAAGTTGAAGCAGCGGATCAGGTCAAAGATGTCACAGGTACTAGTGCTCCTGAGCCTGACACGTTGGACGAGCGCTTCCCTCAGCAACAAAGGCGAAAACGTAGGTATTCTGGGACCAATCTGAGGAGGAAGCCTGAGGATGTCGATGGATCTCGTGGCGATCTCAAATATTTCGAAAACGTTGACGAGGCCGGCTACAAGGGTGATATTGAGGCTCCATTGTCGCCCTCGGAAGCTAGTACTTTGACTGGAGCAAGCCACACACCCACGGATATCAACCAAATATTACACGGTGACGTGCATTCAGCTCAATCAGCCATCTCATCAGCCATCACATCTGAACTTCCTAGCCCAGCTATGGAAGTGAGAAGAATTTCGCGACCAATCAATCCCAAGGAAGCGCAAACGCAGCAAGAATCAATCAAATTCTTCCTGCTTTTGGAGGATTTGACGGCTGGAATGAAGCACCCGTGCATCATGGACTTGAAGATGGGCACCCGCCAATACGGTGTCGAAGCCACTGCCAAGAAACGAGACTCCCAGCGCCGGAAATGTGCAGGCACTACATCAAAGGAACTGGGTGTTAGAGTATGCGGTTTGCAGACATGGGACGTCAAGGAACAAAAGTACATATTCAAGGACAAGTACTATGGACGAGACATTAAGGCGGGACAAGAGTTTCAAGCCGCTTTGAGGCTGTTCCTATCCAACGGAGCTGATGATGCCAGCGTGTTGCGGCATATCCCGACCATTCTCCAGAAGCTGAATCAGCTAGAGGAAACGGTACGCCGTCTACGAGGCTATCGGTTCTACGCAGCGAGTCTCCTGATGTTCTACGACGAGGACACTACCGTAGATGGCTACGACACAGTCATTGAGGATTCGACGACAGACTTCCCTACAGACACTGAAGACGCACCGGGCGCGAGGCGCAAACGCAAGAAGGAGATTGACTTCAAGATTGCCGACTTTGCCAACAGCGTCACTCCGAATGACATAAGCAAGGACAAGCCTTGCCCCCCAAAGTACCCAGACGAGCCCGATCGAGGGTTTCTACGTGGTCTTTGCAGCCTGAAGAAGTATTTCCTCCAAATTCAAAAGGAAATAAGGGCAGAGTTGGGTTTGATTTCGCACTATAGGCAAGAGCGATGCCAAGAGGTGCTCGATGCCGTGGAGGAGATTTATGATTCTGCCAGCGACTAAGTCATCATTCATGACTTCGGTTACGGATACCCATTGATTTGCAAGTTTTGCGTGTCATTAGATAGGAGTTTTTCTTTTTCTTTCTATTCTTGGTCTGCATTTTCATACTGGATTACGAGGAGTCAGTGGTTCGTTATTCATTGGGGGCGTCTTGGTACGGCATCTCCTAGAAATACCCCCGATTGTGCTGTCACAGGTGTTTGCCGGTTCTTGTTTTCTCTTTCTTCCTTTCGTTCTTTCTTGTAATCATTTTACGACGATACGAGATTGATTCTGTTTCGGTGGAGCATGTTCTATCGCCTTCATGAGCTAGGATGGATACATGGGCTTGACAGCCAGTCGTAAGAAACCCGATCAAGGCGATCCATCAGCATCAGTAGATTGACTGGGAAGAGAGAGTTTCTGTTTATTGGGGCAAGATATTGAGAATGTGACTGCTGTCCAGTTGACAGCTTTGCCTGGTACTACACATAGAGTGGTAGAGAAAATAATTTCGATTTTTTTTTTAAACTTTCGTCAGTTTTTAAAGGGGGCCGCTTAATGCACACATTTGTGCCATTCTAGTAAATCACGTCGACAATATGAAGACGACCAGTTGCATATTGTGGACTTCATCCTCCACGATCATGCGAGCGAGACAATTACATTCCAACGGCAGCCACATCCAAAAACGGCCCTCGACAAAGAATCGCCGGGTCGAGCGACACAGTCGACGTTAACAACAACAAAGAAGCGGATCTGCGATGGAGATGCCTTGGGAGGTAATGGGCAAAATATTTGAAGCATCGCAATGTATGAGTCGCAGGTTGAGGTTAAACTTCGCAGAAATGCAGCGCATTCTTGATCGGGGCTAATTTATATGATTGATTCAAACAACATATACGAGCCCACCGTCCAGATGCAGAAAAGAAAGAGACCAGCCAAAGAGAAGCAGCAGAAAATCTGGAAGAAAAAGGACCAGACTGGAATCTACTCGTCTCGGTTGAAACGGGCCAGGGTTCTCCCTTTCCAGCAGGCCTCACTTCTACAATCACTGCCCGACGATGTTCTGTATTACCTGGCGCGCACTTTTCTCTGGGAACCCACGGACATATTCGACCTGGCGCGCACGAGTCGCAGTCTCTGGGGTATACTGGAAAGGGAAATATACATCACTGATGTATTTGCCGTCCAGTACCACGTCTCGCGCGGCCTCGAGGCCCCGAGGACGACGTTGCTGCACTGGGCCGCGCTGGCCGGGAGGACGGATATACTGAGCAAGGCGCTGGCCGCGGCCAAATTGGTATGGACTGGGTACATGAATTTCCAACATTCCAAGTGCGGACACGCGGCCATTCACTTTGCGGCACACTATGGGCGTCTCGAGGTGGTGCGGGCGCTCCAGCGGGAGAAGGAGGAGGGGAGGGCATCATCAGTCGACATGACGGCAGCGTCGGGCTGGATGTGCCCGGCACCGCAGCGTCTACAAAGTATCTTGCAGCGCCTGACGCCAGGCCAGTTTCGTGTGCCCCCAGAGTACATGTTGCAGGACGAAGACTTTCCGTTCAAGATTGATGCGCTGGGTTTGGCGATTCTCAAGGGACATCGGGACGTGGCTATGCACCTCTTGGATATTTACGACGCAGAGCGGATCGAGGAGGAAAAGATATTTCCACCGCTTCATCTGGCAGCCTTTGTGGGCATGGCCGAGGTTGTTGAATCCATTCTGAGTAGGGGAATTAATGTGAGTGCCGTGTGTAAGCATGTGGCCAACAGCGTCGCAATACACTGGGCGGCGGCCGGATCGAGCAAAGATGAGAACACGCAAACCCTGAGAATCCTCAGAGAATATGGCGCAGATATTACGATTCGCGATTCTGTAGGACGTACGCCACTCGACTGGGCAATCGGCTTCAAAAATGCGGACAACGTGCTCTACCTGCTGAAACGCTCGATTCGATCCCTTGCGCCTGGCCACCTGGCCAACCAAGTCGAGGAATGGACCAAGAGGCTGCAGAGATGCATGGCTGATGATCTTCTACTCGACTGTACAAAGTTCATACTCAAGCATTGTCCACGTTTGCCCGAGGAGTGCCTCAAGCTGTGCGTACAGTCGACGTTCTGGGACATTGACCGCAGCTGGGACGAGGCGGGCTGCGTATCCACGTCAAGCAAGAACCTCGCGACCAAGCGGTGGCTCGTGGACAAGAACATTGGGCTCGGCGTCCTCAGCAAGGGGGCGCGGCAGAGCTGGATGCAGGAAGAGCTGTTCCAGGGCCGCTGCTTCTTGCACTACGCGGCGGGCTCGACGGACATCGACGCCGAGCTGCTCGCCCTGGCCATCCAGAAGCGGCCCCACGATATCGACGTCGTCGACGCCAAGGGCCTGACGCCGCTCGAGCTGGCGCTGGGGTACCGCTGCATACCGGAAAAGGTCAAGCTGCTGTTGCGGTCCGGAGCGAACCCGGCGCTCTGCTACGGGGGCGAGAGAGCGCGGGCCGATGTTGATCGACAGATTGAACAGCTCACGTTGGAAGAAGAGGGAGACGTTGAATAAATAGTTCATGAAATGTATTCGAGACCAAAAGTTCTATATAAAGTCTTCATCTGAGAAACACCTCCCAGAGAGTCTTCATATACGCAACCGTGTCATTATTATATTTGTATTCGAGACCGTAATACATTCGTCTCAACTTCCAATGTTTAAAAAAGATATGCATACTGAGAGGCAACAACAGACTTTCTTTCTTGTATAGTTTTTCCTCTTGCCCGTTGCGGGCCTCTGAAGCTTGAAGTCCCAGAAACCCCTCCCACAAAGATCTCGATATACGACTCACGAGACCCGCGTTGAGATTTGTTTTGCACCATTAAAGATGCTCAAAAGTCCATTCCCCTACCCACATTGCTTGGGAGTGGCAGTACTCGTCTGTAGTAAGCTCGCGAATATCGTCAACAGCGGCCGGGGTCTTGGGTTCAGTGCCCTCCAAGTCGAAACAGTCCATGTATCATATTGGGAATGCCCTGTAGGGGAGTTTCCTTGGTCTTGCTCCGTCTTCCCTCTTGACCATCGTGTGTATGGTGAGATTGCCAAGAGTAGTGATGTTGTTCATGGTGGATGTAATGCAAACCAGACGTGGGTTTTCTGTTGATGATTCGATTCTGTCACCGTATGGGGCGGCATTCGCCAAGACGAAGCAGGAGAAGGCGATTATAGACGATAACAACTTTCGAGGATTCATTATATTGAGATGAGATGAAAATTAAGGTGAATAGTTTGTATGTGATTTTTTTATTTGCTTGGATGGTGTATTGATTGGATGATTGGCTGTTTTTTTGGTTCTCATGATTCGGTCAGGGTCAAGTATCTAGGGGAAAACTACGAAAGGGTTGGGACAAGTCAATCATATTTAACATTTCCAACATACATGTTGTTGGGCAGCTGTTCCGAGGCAATTTTTGGGTGTCGGAGATGGAGGTTGGTTTTGTTGATTCGGTACTCCGTAGATAATGATCAAGTTTATGGGAGCCGAACATGGAAGTCTGTTGTCTACCTGCAGAATTATACCTACCTTATCAAGGTACCTACTTGGCACCCCGTTGACAACCTATGTACCCTACAGACCGGGGGGTTGCGTCAACTATTTCCGCCGCGATAGGCGAATATGGATACCAACCTAATGTATGCAAGGGCGTTAAATGCCATGGTGGGGTCGAGGGGGTACGTAGTCGTAATCGTAGGGCTGAAGAGGCCAGACAAGCGAAGAGACAAGGCGCTGCTACTGCTACTGCTTGGCGCGTCAAGCTCAAGCTCCGGCCAGTCCTGTCCGTCACCTTTCCACCAAAGGGCCGAGCAAGCCACCCTTTTTCCTTTTTGTATTTGAATTTTTCTTACAAGGGCATGGCCAGGCGATAATCAGACAGCCATGGCCGACAAGAAAGCATCCTCCGGCAAGACCATTGTCTTCCTGCACCCCGACCTGGGCATTGGCGGCGCCGAACGCCTAGTCGTTGACGCTGCCGTGGGCCTGCAGAATCGCGGCCACAAGGTCGTAGTCTTCACGAGCCACTGCGATCCGAGTCACTGCTTTGATGAAGCTCGCGATGGTACGTGTGAATAGCCTCCACATTTGCGCCGACGATACAGTCGTATACAAAGAATACGGAACTGACCTATACTTCTTGTTCCAGGAACCCTCGATGTTCGAGTCCGCGGCAATACCATCATTCCATCCTCCATCCTGTCTCGCTTCAGCATCCTTTGCGCCATACTGCGACAACTGCACCTTATGGTCCAGATTCACTTCAACTCGGAGCTAAAGGACCTCTCCCCCGATGCCTTCTTCATCGATCAGCTCAGCGCCGGCCTCCCGCTGCTCCAGTACCTCTACCCCCGCGGTCGCATCTTCTTCTACTGCCACTTTCCCGATCTCCTCCTCGCCCAGGGCCGCCAGAAATGGTGGAAGCGCATCTACCGCATCCCCTTTGACTGGCTCGAGCAGTGGAGCATGAGCTTTGCCGACGCCATTGCCGTCAACTCAAACTTTACAAAGGGCGTCGTCAGTCGCACCTGGCCCGGCCTGGCCAAGAAGCGCGACCTCAAGACCGTCTACCCGTGCGTCGACACCAAGACCAACAAGAGCCCCGAGGTCGAACAGGGCAAGCCGCTGTGGAACGGCAAAAAGTTCTTGCTCAGCATCAACCGCTTTGAGCGCAAAAAGGACGTGGCCTTGGCCATCAAGGCCTATGCCGGACTGACCCCACAGGCCCGACAGGGCGTCCGCCTCGTCGTTGCTGGTGGGTACGACAGCAGGGTGGCCGAGAACGTGGGCTACCACAATGAGTTGGTTGAGCTCGCCAACTCTCTCGGCCTGAGCAACGTGACTGCCAAGACCATCGTAGGTGCCCTGGAGGTGCCCGATGATGTCCAGGTCCTGTTCCTCCTGTCGGTGCCAAATCTGCTCAAGGAGATGCTTCTGAACTCTACACAGCTTCTAGTATACACACCCGCCAATGAACACTTTGGCATCGTCCCCCTGGAAGCGATGCTGGCAGGTGTCCCCGTCTTGGCCGCGGATACCGGAGGTCCCACCGAGACGGTGCTCGAGGGCGAGACGGGCTGGCTCAGATCACCTAGCAAGGTGGAGGCGTGGACCGAGGTCATGGACCGAGTTCTTCACCAACTGTCCAATGGCGAGCTCGACAAGATGCGTCAGACGGGCATCTCCCGCGTCCGAGATAATTTTGGAGACGTGCAGATGGCGGAGCGCATTGATGGCATCTGCGATGAGATTTTGCAGCAACAGACCAAGCCGGGCTCGTACGCTCCGGTCCTCTTTGTAATAGCCCTTCTCGGTGGTCTCGTAGGCGCCGCTGTAGCCGTGGCTGTAAATTTGTAAAATCCAGTTAGACTGTCATGAAATAGGATCAATTCATTCAATGCATACAGCAGTCTTGACACGCTTCAGCGAACGAGAGATGACCATGTGACAGTTCAATAAGTTTTGAATATGCTATCTACGTGTTTTGTACAGAAAACTACATACAGCGAGGTGTTGGTTTTCCATTTACAAGCCTGGCCAGAATGTTGGGCCTACAAAGGTTTCTGTCATTGTCTCATGACGACCAGCCGCACGTAGAAAAAACAAAAACAAAAAGGAGAGAGAAACGCCATACAACGTGTTGTTACCGAGTGACCAAGCGTAAATGATCCTTCAACGATAACTCCCATAAACATGTATCAGCCACTTCTCATGCACGACAATGATAAGAGAGCCAAAGGAAATAGTGTACATCTCGTCAGGCGAGAACAACGCTTTTCCTGCTCTTGCATATATTTTATAAAGAACAAACAAGAAACAATCCTCGTCCACAAGCCAGCCATAAGATTGAAGCTAGCGGCCATATCTGTCGAGTCTACGATCGTACATGCTTTGCGGTGGTTCCTGCGGTCGGAGCTGCTGGTGCAGAATGGACTGTTGCTGCTGCTGCTCACGAAGCTGTGCCTCACGCATGTCCTGCGGGGGCGGCGGATATGCCCCCCTGTGATCATAAGGATTGGGGGTATAACTCCTTTGAGGCCCGGGGTCGCGAAGATCTCGACCTGGTACAGGAGTGTTGGCATATCGTGGGTAAGCCGATGGGGGCTGCGGCGGCGGCGGCTCAGCCGCACGCGAAGCAGGCGCATAAGGTGTCTGCATTGGGGGTTGCATACTTCGATGAGGCTGATGATACATATCACGGGGGTCCCCGCGAGTATCCCGGGCGTCGCGGAGGTTCAACGCATCGCGGGGGTCGTGAGTGCGAGGCGCGGCCCATGTTGGCTGCGGTGGCACAGAGCTACTTGGTGGTGGAGGCTTTGGTGTCGATGCCGCATGTTGAGCCGCCCACGCAGACTGCGCCGGGGGCGGCTGTGCAGACTTTGGCGCCCAGCCTTGCTGCGGTTGCGGTGCCTGTTGCTGCTGCATACCGTGACTTGAATGTGGGCCTGGCCAGCCCATCTCTCGAACAGGAGCAGGGGGAGGCTCGTGGCCTCTCGGGACTGACGGGTGACCGCCATACTGGGGAGGCGGAGATGCTGCAGAGGGAGGTGGTGGTGCTGGTGCTCCATATGGGTAGGCTGGCTGTGATTGATATGGCATTTGCCCAGAGGGCGTAGGAGGAGGGTACGGCTGCACTGCTTGTGGCGAGATTGCATGTGCTTGATGAGGTGATGAAAATTGCCGCTGGTGCCTATAGAAATCTCGTTCCGGACGCTCGGCTGGGGACTCCATTGCAATGTGCCGTGGTGTACTCATGGGCTGAGTCTGTGGAGACGCCGTGTACGGCTTCAAGGCAGGCATCGACGAAGGCGCTGATGGCGGGGGACGCCCGAAATGTCCATAAGCTTGGGCATCCGCCATGGGAGGCGCTTGTTGCCGCATCTGCGTTGGGGCCGGAGGAGCCGGGGGCGGCCGCGACAGACTACTAGCCGGAGGTGGAGTGGCGGATGGTTTCATGGCAGAAGGCACCTCGGAAAGCCTTTTAGGCGGAGCAGGCTCATCGTTCAATAAGGACATGATATTGCTAGTCTTGGGCTTAGACGATACCACCGGCGGGGGGGCCACTGGTGGAGTAGATTGCATTGGAGGTGTACGGGTGTACTCTGGCAGAACGCCCACATCGCTACCAGGCCGCGACAAAGTTGAAAGAGGTCGAGGCGGGGCTGGCGAAGAAGGGTGCATGTCAGTCATCATACCACCGCGGACAGGTGGTTGCTGCTGCTGCTGCTGCTGCTGTTGTTGTTGTTGTTGTTGTTGTTGTTGTTGCTGCTGCTGCTGATGGAGAATGCTGCCGAACGATACCACCTGGGGCGGAACTGAAGCAGCAGTCCTTGGAGGCTCGGGGGCTCTTGACATGGGCATGCTTTCTCGGGCGACAATATGGCTCGGCTGCTGTGGTAACGTGTATGGATCCACACGAGAATAAGGATCAATTGGCGCATCAGGCTCTTGCTTGACAACCCGAAGTGGCGTACGTTCCTGGATGATTGGCTCTTTGGGAGGCTTGACTTCCATCTTCTGTCTCTCGACAGGAGCCTCGACAACTGCGGAACCAGGTAATGGATGCCGCATAGAGGGAGGTTCAGATACCGGCGTCATTTGCGCCTGTGCTTGCATTGGAAGCGAGGTTCTCACGGGTGTCTGCAGAACCTCGCGTTCCCTCTCAGGATATCCAAATGGAGCACGAAGAGGTCTGTTTGACGGAGACATCGTTTGAGAAACAACAGGCTGACCAAGTGGCTGCGTCGCAGCTTGTACAGGGGCAGGCACCCCGGTTGAGGCAGGTTGGCTGAAGGGAGACGACTGCATTATGGCTGCTTGTTGAGGTTGTGCAGCGATTGGAACATTAAACCGGCCAGTCATAGGCTGCACGACTGCTGGTGGTTCAATCTTGGGCGGTGGAGCGTCTTCCATGATGGTATCCGAAACTAGAGTTCGGTTCAGCGGTGTCGTGTCGAATCTGCCCTTCTTGACTGGTGGGGTAGGAGGCGGCGGAAAAGGAAGTTTCTCGCCCCTCGCTTTCTTGTCATCGGCCTCGCGGACACGCTCTTCCCAGTCCTTCTTGCCGTTCTCCTTCTGCCTGAGATAATAGTTTTTGACCTGGGGAATCATTAGCATAAATTATGACATCAAGGTTGTGCCAGACATACCATCACCGAAGTTTTGGTGCCCATATGCGAGGACAATTTGTGCCAATCACTACCAAATGCCGAAAGGTAAAAGGGGAAATCTGTCGCTTCGGAAACACTCCAATAGCTCGAAGCTGATGAGCCTGCCTTTCGCTCTGTCGCTGGGCGTTGTTGAGTGACCTCGAATGAGGGCACAACCCCAGGCTGGGGCGGTTCAGGGCGCAAGGGAGGAGCCATGTCTGGCACTGTTGTGGGTATGACTGTCCGTTCCGGGCTACGAAGTGGTTGCACAGCTGTAAAGGGCGGTTGTATGGAGACAGCGGCTGCCTGCATACCACCAGAACCTAATTCAAAGGCCGAAGCGATTTGGGAAGCATCAGCAGGAGGTGGTTGGGTCGTAGCCCATTCCGAGGTCTGAACCCTGGAGCTAGATCTAGATCGATTACCTTTGCTGGTAGTCGGAGGAGGCCCAGCAGCAAGCGTTTGGTTAGCTCTCGTTTGCTTTTCTTGCTTGTCCCTGGCCTTGCGGCCACGACCTTTGGGTTTTTCTGTTCCGTCGCCAGTTTTTCCTCTACGCCCAGGAGTTGAGGCACCAGTCGCATTCTCGCTGTCTGCTGCAGGGGTAGCCTCGGAATTAAAGGTAGGCGCTGCAGCGCGTCGAGGCCGACGTCTCTCCCCATTTTCACCGGTATCCTGTGACTCTTCATGCTCAGGGAGCTCTGATACGAGGGCACTGGAACGACCCTTGCCGTTGCGCTTCCTTCGCTGCCGCGGCCGGCGCTTAAGCTTCTCCTTGAGATTGAGGTTTTCCTTGCCTTTTGAAAGGTAGTAGAATTGAATGGTGGTGCCAAAATCTCGTTCCGGCAGCGCATTGGCAACTCGGCCCCATTGCTTCGGGAATTCCATGTAAGCCTTCTCGAAGAGCTTAACTTCTTCTTCGCTGAAATTCTGGGTCGGTGGCAGAACCTCCCATGCAGCGATAACCTTTTCTGGGTTGGTTCGCCCTGTTTCGTCAACATAAAACTGGTTGTCCTTTTCTTGCTGCGTCTGGAATTGGTCGGGTATAATGGCCTCCTTTTCGCTTCTATACTTTTCCTTCTCGGCCCGCAGTTGACGCTCGCGCTTTTCTTCTTCTTGCCGCCTGGACTCTTCCAGAATTCTTTCCATGTCGCGCTCTGTAGCATATCTACTACGCCTAGTTGACTCAGGTTTGGTGCCCTCGTTGTTGAATCCCGGTTTCTGCACGGGAACGTCCGAAGCTCCGGGTATGTAGGTAAACTTTTCTCGGCTCTGCACGGCCACAGGGTCGTCTGACATGGTAAATCTAAGATAAGCCTCGTAGTCGTGCTCATACAACTTTCTTTGTTTTGACTGCTCCGTACCGACTTCATGAGCATCTTCATTCATCCGCTTGAGAATGAAATTGTTCAAGGCTGGCTGAGGAGACTCGAGAGATTTGACAAATGGCTGGTCCTGAAACCACGGCACTTCGTTGAAGTCTGGCAACGAGTCCAGAGGCGGGGTCATCATATGAACACGAACTGTCTCGACAGTCCGAAGGTCAATGTCCTCGTCAACATCCGTTTCATCATCATCCTCGGGGGGCGAAGGGGTCGATGTACCCTGCTTGCTTTCCTCCTTTGACAGAGCCGACTCTTCTTCAGGACCAACCGAGGATGGGTGAGACCGTGGGGACTTGAGCCCATTGACACGAGGTACCTCCAGTTGTGACCCAAGTGCAGACTTGACAGTGTCAGCAACATCTTCCATAATTACATCTTGGTCATCCGTCTTTGGTGCCTTGGCTTCTGGTTCCTTAACTTCTGGTTCCTCAATGGCATGACCTTCAGCAGATATCATCTCAACATCCTCCTCGATTGATGGGTGTGGAAGTTCAGGGACGGGTGGCAACGAAGGAGCAACGATGTGAGGCACTATCTTCTCGGGCTGTTGGATTTCCGGCTCAGCAGTCGAAGTCACAGGCTCTGGAGCAGGAGCAGGGGATGGACCATCCTTTGGTGTTTCTGCCTTTAGCTCCACCAAGTCCTCTAAAACTTTGTCTACCTCTGGGGTTTCGGGTACAGCTCCAATCATAGACTGCAGACCCTCCGCGTCCGTAGCGAGTTTGTCGGCAGCTTCCAAGGAGAGGATTGAATGGCGAACTAAAACGTCCGTAGAACCAGCATCCTCGATAACTTCTAGTTTCTTAAGGTTTGTTTCCGCTTCAAGAAGATTAGTCTCGATAACATGTTCAAACTCTTCGTCGTCTGATTCCGATGATTGATCCAGTATTGTGGCCTTTGGCTGCTTCCGCGGGAGTGTGATCGTTCCATGCTTTAGTGAACGCTTGAATTCAATATGCGTCCTCGGTACGTCAACCACTGGCCTTGATGTCTTCTCTTCGATGGTTTTGTTTTCTCTCAAGCCATGGTCGTTCGGATCTCGGGAGCGCGCAGAATCAGGCAGCACTGTCGTGGGGGATATTTGCTGTCTATATTCGCGATCGAAAGAGCCGGCGGACCGGGGCCTCCGAGCATAGCGATCATGATCATCGACGTCGTGCATATGCACATCGCGATTCTGGCCATCCATCCGATCATAAGAGTCTTGAGCATCACTACTGCGTGGCCGCCGATCAGGGTCTGTAGGTTGGTCTGAACTTGAACTCTCAGGACGGTACCCTGGAAAGCGGCTTGGGACGAAACCCTGAGACCTGTTCATTTTTGGAGACTCTGGTCCACCCTTCAAATTCGGATTGATCCACTGCTTTGATGAAGGACCAGTTCTGGGCGTGTGAGTGTAGCCGTGAGCACGGGGACCTGAAGGTATTGGAGGTGCACCATCGGCAAATGGCGGTTTTGAAGGGCCAGTGGGCGGCGGCCGTGCATCGCTGTTTGTGGCAGGGCCTGGAGGGAGAGGGCGCTCGTCCTTCAAAGCACGCGGGCCGGTTGGAGGTGCCTTATTAGCTGTAGGGGCTGTTGCATCGGAGATGGACGCAGTTCGATTTGGTATGGACCCAAATGAAGGTGCAGCGGGCGCAATGGGTGGCGGCGACACATCTCGGCTCGAAGGTGGTGGCTCGTGCGAGGTGCGTTCCATCTTGGCACGGTTTTCACGCTCCCGAAGATCACGCTCGTCCCGGAGGTCGCGTGGGCGACTGTCATTGTCGAAGAACCGCGGTTCTCGATCCCGATCATCCCGATCGCGGAAACGTCCTTCTTGGGAACGCGCCCGAGCCCCGGGCCCGTACCTGTCTCGATCTCTGTCGTCATAAAAGCCTCTACCACGGCCTCTGTCCCGGTCGCCACCACGGCCACGCCCCCGGCCACGACCACCAAATCCACCACGATACGACGAGGGTCCAAAGGGGGGATCCGAGTTGGAGGATCCAGCAGACAAAGGTCCATCTCTCGAGCCTCGTCGCGCTCTTTCCGCATCGACACCCAAGGGTGCATCTCTCAAGTCGCGAAAGTCTCTGCCGGGAGGGGATCTGCCACGAGGCGACGGCCGACGACCTCGAAAGCTGTCGCGATCCCTGTCCCGCCAATCTCTTTCCCGTTCTCGACTACGTTCATCACGGTATGTCGAGTCACGTCTGTCCCGAAAGTCAATATCACGATCTCTGCCTCTGTCGCGACTGTCATCTCGCCAGCCACGGCCGCGGCCGCGGCCCCGTCCACGAAAGTCGCCGGATATGCCACCCCCGCGCGGCCCGCTTGGTGCATCTAACAAGGCACGAGGACCTCTGGGGGTATCCCTCGGCAAAGTGTCACGAAAGCTGTCGCGATTCGTCTGAAATGCCGAGTTGGCGCGGTTCTCTCCTGATGCTCTCCGCGGCCCCCCATCACTATATTGAGACGCGCGGTCATTGTACCTATCCCCAGGGGAACGATCACGGGATCTTGATCTATTGCGAGTATCGCCGTCATAGCGTGAGCCGGAGTAGCGGGAAGCCCTAGAAAGTGTGTGATGAGCATTGGTGTCAAGGTACGCGGGGCGGTTCGTAGAGCGATGGCGAGAGGTGTAGCCAGATGCAGGTTTGTGCCGTCTATCTGGCTGGGTGTATGGGATAGAGCGGGGTGCCATGGAACGGTATTAACAGCATCTTATCGACGATCATATGTTTGTGCGCTAGCACTTTATTCTGATGTTTGCATGACATGATCACGGGTTGGGAGAGGAAACGAGGGGACTACGAAGGGAGGTATATCATTAATACATACATGTTCCGCTGCTGCGGTTTATGGCCACCGCTCAGCAAGGTCCTGAAGGTTTCTCATATGGTAAACGTGGTTAGCAACAAGCAAAAAAGGTTGTTGCTTTGGGTTATGTGTCTCTCGGCGTGTTGGCTTTTTGACTTCGTCTCTTGCGGATACGTGGTTGATGGCCGGGGCCTAGGCAGTCTTGCGACCTGAGCTGCTACGTATATTCGAGTGTCCTTGATGGCGCACAAAGCAGGTGGACGGTCGGTCAGTGGATGCGGAAAGGTATGGAGACTTTTCGGCAGTCCAAACTATGGGGGGTTACCAAGAACGTTGGCTTGCGTTGACCTTGCGGCGTTGTGTCCGATCGCGTCTGGGAATAAGCAACTGAAGTTGAGGAAGAGATCAAAAGAGGCTGAAATTGGAGATCTCGAAAACAACCAAAACCTTTGCCCAAGCGGCGGCTACCTTAGACAGGCCTCACTGACATGGGGTGGAAATGCGCTAACGTTAATTGCATCTGGTCGCCCGCACCATCTGCAAGAGACGTGCCCCGTCCATCCCGTGCAAGCCCATTTGATGGAAAACACCGACCCAATCCCAGCCCCCCTACCTAGGTACCTACCTAGCCCGAGGCATCTATCACCGTGGTACCTTCGAGTGATACATCATTACTCCTCGAGCTCAATGCGTATCTAATTGATGGGTTCCCACAGTCGAATGTCGGAATTTGAAAAGCTGTTCACAACTTTTCATGCGCTTCTGTCATCGCTTGGCGTGGTAAGTAGAGCTACCTAGGTAGTCGGGTTGGTGTCTAATATGTATTACAGGAGGATATCCCACCACTATATACGCGAGGCCTCGAGTCCGAAGGATGATACATCTTGCCCATGATATTTTAGGGTGGGCAGATGTAGGTGATGTATTACACCAATGATACCTCCCCCTATAAGTTTGAACATGTGGCACTGACTCGCAAGTTTGCTGTGCTTCTCGGTGCTTATGTCAACGGTTCTTGATGTTCCACTACACAGTAAAAAGGTACCTACCCAATGTACATGCCTACACATTGATCCAGGCAGGGATTCGCCAACACGCATCTGGCATCAACTCAAGTGCTCCCAGGCCCCGTGCAGAAGTCAGGTAGGGAGTATCTATCTATCCATGGATGTGCCTACTCTCACACATTTCCCCTGAATACTACATATACTACTTGTGTAGTAATTGATAGGCGTTAGATACATGTACAAAATTTGCGAAATGATCGTGGAATGATTGGGTAAATGTAGATAAGCAATCGTTAATTCTATGTAACGATCCAAACGAGCTTCTTTCCTGGCAGCATAGACACAACATAATACATTTGTAGTATTATTCTGTGTATGCAGACTGCCTGACTGCTTTCAAATATTCTTCTCGGGGCGCTCGGTGCCTATGCCCCGATAGACTTGTGGGGATCTGGAACTGCCATGTAATCTGTACAACCTGGGTGCGTGCCAAGCGTGCTGCTAAACCGCGCCGCCGCCGCTCAGCGGCTGGTAGAGTGTACACAGAATGGCGTTGGTCCCTGTTGGACGAAGTGTCAGGTGGTGTTGGCATTCGTTTGTGGCGCTGTGGCTAGCCAAGGGAAGCGGGAGAAAAAAAAAATCACCACAATACCCACTTTTAACAGCCGTATTTGCATCCAAGACGTTAAAAAGTTTACATCACATTTTTCCCATCCCAAATAGTGATGGACTTATATCCGATCGCAAACCTGACGACAAATTTTGATCTATGAATTTCGATCAACTGAGCATGGTTATATTGATCAATTAAAAGGCCCAAGATACTTGTGCATACCTTATCTATATCGTTTTTGCACAAGGGTTCGCGATCTGTGATTCCCATTGCCTTTATCCTTGGCGGCCAGGCAGCGTCCCACTCTAGACTTCTTTTATACGCATTCGGCCACACGCAGGTCCAGGGTCTTGCGGAGTCACTATTTTCTAACCTCAAAATCGAGGCGAACAAACAGTTCATTTGAACAAAAAGGGAGAAGAAGAAGAAAATCAATAATCAATCCTTTCAATTCAAGGCTCTTCTTTACAGCCGACTCTCTTTTTCGCAAACAGCCGGATTTACACACAAGTTCAACCCAAGCCACACACGCTTGCAGATCCACGCACGATCAATACCATGGCCTCAGAGAACCCAAATCTGCCACCTTCGGCAGCAACTGAGGCTGTTCTGGTGCCGTCTGATGAACTTCCCAAAGATGCACAAAAGGTCGAAGAGATTGATTTCAATGCATTCAAGGGAAAGCCAATTACCGTGGAAGATATGCTTGAAAACATGAAGCATATGGGTTTCCAAGCAAGCGCAATGGGTGATGCTGTGCGCATTATCAACAACATGCGGGCGTGGCGAGGCCCCGAGGGCGAAAAGACGACTATATTCCTGGGGTATACCTCGAACATGATTTCGTCAGGCCTGCGTGGAGTCTTTCGCTATCTGGTTGAGCACAAGCATGTCGACTGCATTGTCACAACGGCCGGCGGCATCGAGGAGGACTTTATCAAATGTCTCGGAGACACATACATGTCTTCTTTCAGTGCCCCAGGAGCCGAGCTGAGGTCGAAAGGCCTAAACCGTATAGGCAATCTCATGGTGCCAAATGCCAACTACTGTGCTTTTGAAGATTGGGTCATGCCTATCCTGGACAAGATGCTGGAGGAACAGGAGGCAACAAAGGGTACCGATGATGAAATCAACTGGACACCATCCAAGGTGATACACCGACTCGGAAAGGAGATCAATGATGAGCGTTCCGTCTACTACTGGGCCTACAAAAATGACATCCCAGTTTTCTGCCCGGCCTTGACAGATGGCAGTCTCGGCGACATGCTCTACTTCCACACCTACAAGGCCTCCCCACAACATTTCAAGATTGATATTGTCGAGGATATCCGGCGTATCAACACCATCGCCGTGCGCGCAAAACGGACCGGTATGATCATCCTCGGTGGTGGGGTAGTCAAGCACCACATCGCCAACGCCAACTTGATGCGCAACGGTGCCGAGTATGCAGTATACATCAATACTGCTCAGGAATTCGACGGAAGTGATGCGGGTGCGCGACCCGACGAAGCTATATCGTGGGGAAAGATCAAAGTCAACGCAGAATATGTCAAGGTATGTACAGAAACCCATAACCATTGGACAAAGGCAACTCACAAATTTTAGGTCTACCTTGAAGCTTCAGCTTGCTTTCCTATGATAGTGGCTAGCACTTTTGCCAAAGAGAACTAAACAACACCGTTAGTTTAAGGAAAGAAAGGACCATTCTGGCTGATTGAACACGCAGCCGGGAATCTTGATGGTGACTCATGAATCAAGATTTGCTAGTATCCCAACCATAATACGGTCCACAGCATTACAGATAGAGGCTTCAACTCCGCAGAAATGGATCACTTCAGCATCGCCACCAAGTTTCACTGGTACCTCATGTTGCATGGATACCTTGAAGAGCAAATGATTAGTAATGAATGAATGCCTTCAACAACTTGTAAAATTTACTACATTTGGATGATTCGTACAACAGCTCACATGCGGTTTGGTCGATGTGGATGATTGCCACCTCTCCGGGGATTATTGAATTTGTAAACCTTCGTGAACAAGAAAATCTAGTCCAACTGCTAATTTTCATAGGACATAGCTTTTTCTACAAATCTGGCCTTCAGAGGTCATGGGTGAGACTGGACTGCCAAGGTTGCGTTCATATTCTTCTCGTAAAGGTTTTGGATGACCCAAAAGGTTTCCAGAACGTATCGTAGGGTACCTTGCTATTGTGCCCAAAGATGCAGACCAGATGCCCGTACAGAGACGCCCATATCCAGCGCCAGTCCAAATCATGGGACTACTTTTTTTTTTTTTTTTTTTTTTTTAGCGCAGCCTTGAAGTGGCCAGTTGTGATGTTCATTGAGCCTTCCCAGTGACTCTGGTTTCGGCATAGAAAATACAGATTAGACGATTCCAACTACTTCATCAGTGTTGACTCGCGCGACTTCCTCGACGGAGTTGCGTGATTGGCAATCGAAAAGCCCAAGCTCCAACTTCAAACCACTTCCCCCCAGCGATGTCTTCACTACTAGGAAAAGAAAACCAGCAACAACTCTCGTTGTATTCTGTATTTTTTTCCTTCCCGCAAAGCTTTGACTTTCGGTCATTTCACCTTGAAGTGGCGAGGCAAGATCTTAATTTTGGACAGCAAAACTCAACAAACCTTCATGTCGGTGCCACAGAACTAGAGCAATCAGCAGGCATATAAGTATCTCAACCACCCCTCTGTTTTCTCGAATTCGACCCAGATCATCTTCCAAAGCCATATATCTCAAGAACAGACAGACAAAACATAACCTTAACAACAATTTTGAGGTCGTGAAAAACAATCGCCGTTTACTTCACAAGATGTCGTACCAACCCCAGGAGCCCACGGAGGAGAACGGTGGCAAAGGAAAGGACAGAGTTAGGGGACCAATCATTCAGGGAAAGCGGTACGCACTCCCACCGGATCCGCATATGCCAGAACGTCGGCAGTATGCCGACCGCTCCAATACCACTCTACTCAGTAAGACAGAAATGGCTGCCAAGTCTAAACGTGAGTTTTTTTCATTTCCTAGGGAAAAAGCTTTCCTCATGATAGTGTGACAACCTTGATGAGAAACTCAATTAACAAAATAAAAAAGAGATGGACAGTCATCCTTCGGCCAAATCATTTCGCATAAAGGCAGCCGAAGCAGCTGCCAAATCCAAGCCGGCGCCTGGCCGCATGCGGAGCGAGGAAGACCCGGCTGTTCGGAAGAAAGATGAAGCAATGTGAAAAGCCATCGGATATCCAGATGGGCCTCCCGGGGCAGAGAAAATAGACGATTATATGCAGAAATCCATGGCATATCTCTTGGGTAGGTATAAACAACCGCTGTATGGCCTGATGTCAACATATCAGTCGGCACAGGCTGCAGATAATGCACAAGAACACAAGCAGGAAGCTCCTGCCGGCATGAGTACACAACCTGGCTCACCACATGGTTCTCACGATCGAGCGGACAAGGATTCACCAAACCAAATCCATAGGAAGCAAACATCGTCTAATGGCCCTGTGTCTGCAAAGGGCAAACACAAGCCCATGCAGGAGAGACCTGCCGATACCGTCCAACAAGAGACGTTCACCTTTTCCCCCAGTCTTGAAAATCACACCCGCAGGACATCTGGTAACAAGGTCATGGGACTGGAACGTAAACCAGATGAGACCTCAGATGATACCTATCAGCCACGCAAGCCCGCCCGCCGGCTGTCTCGTAAGGACGTCATGGAGATGAACGGTGGTCCGCAAGAGACTTCAGATTCAAGCGTGGATAACGGCGGATTCGTCTCTGAGAGCTCGGATAACATTGAACCCCGTAAGGCTCGTCGGAAACGCAAGATGGAGACTAAGATTCAAGACCACTGTACCCCGGGAACGTCTGAACAAGAATCCCTCCCAGAAAAAAGACCCTCAAAATTCCGTAAAACATGAGACAATCAGAATGAGCATTAGAATTTCAGGAATAGGACGTGGGGTTTAGAGCTGGACACTGTTGACACTATTGGATGTCTTCTCTTTCTTTCTTCCTTTCTTTCCTCTTTCTCCCTTTCGTACTGATGCAAGTCTATAATATTTAGCATGGCACACGGAGCAGGGCGAGAGAAAAGAAATCGATTTGTTAAGACGCTCTTATTTCGTATGACATCAGGCTTTCACGTCATTTGTTCGGCTGCTTGTTGTGTTTTTTTTATGGTAATATACATTATTGCGTCTTTGGTTGACAATACCTTTCGAGACTTCAATGTTGACTGTGTCTGCCATTACACACACTGACGCCTCTCAACGCCAAGATAAATGGTATCCCAGCCGTATCAAGCTGCTCAGAAGGTAGATAGATGTCTTGGGTCGCTGCAAGACGCTGCAAGACGCTGCTAGCAGATGGGCATTCAGCGACTGGTTTGTTAAGTTTGACGTCTTCAAAAGTTCAGCGATATACTACGATACCTACCTTGGTCCAACATTGCATTAAAGTGATTACATAAGGCAGTTGGTAAAGGGCTCCCAATACATCGACGGGGCCCCGTTGATTTAATATCGACGGACCCGTCGATATTATGTAAGCATGCCCTGCGCGCTGGCACCAGCATTAAAAAAATAAAAGTAATTTAAACCATTTTCGCGTTATAATTATTTTCGCATTGCATTTATTTGCGTATTACAAATCTTTTCCTTTTCGCATTATAATTATTTTATGATTATTATTTATGGCTATTAAAAAAGAAACGCTAAAACTAATAATAAAGGCACAAATTCCTATCGCTAATATGCATAACGCTATCGAGCGCTGTAAAAAATGGCAGAACGCTGTAGAGCGCTGTAAAAAGTGGCATAACGCTGTAAAAGGACGCTTATATAATATCGACGGGTCCGTCGATGTATTGGGAGCCTTGGTAAAGGTGATGATAAGATAAGAAGCAGCTGTTCAGCTACGCAACTGAAAAGGTTTGGTTTGGGTTGCGTCACGTCACTTCGTGGAACCCTGCAAGTACTCAGGTACTAACTAAAAGCCCGGGCCCAGTAAATAATTCAGAGAACCTAAGTTGGAGCTTCTGCAAATGTCCCGCCTACGTTAATTCTGGAAAGCTATCTTGTCTCGCATCCATTCCGCACTCAGGACGAGCAAAATCGCATCTCTCTGCTTACATCTGGGTCGCCTGAACAAGGCGGCCGCATTTCGGCAAAGCAAGGAAACCTGCCCACAATGTCGTCGATATACAATCTCGAGCCGCAGCCGACTGCGTCCGTCATCATTCACACGACGCAAGGCGACCTGTCCGTGGAGCTTTTTGCAAAGCAGACCCCCCTGACATCGCGCAACTTTTTACAGCTTGCCCTCGACGGCTACTACAATAACACGGTTTTCCACCGACTGGTGCCGGGCTTTATCCTGCAGGGAGGCGATCCAACGGGCACCGGCAATGGCGGAGAATCAATCTACGACGGTGGCGCCTTGGACGGCGAGCTGGACCCGTGGCCGGCGGACCAGCGCCGCGGAAAGAATGCAGGACCCATGGGCGTCAACTTCAAAGACGAGTTTCATTCCCGGCTAAAGTTCAATCGCAGAGGTCTGTTGGGCATGGCGAACGAGGGCAGGCCTGACTCGAACGGAAGCCAATTCTTCTTTACACTGGATAAGGCGGACGAGCTCAACAATAAGAATACAGTATTTGGCAGGATAGTGGGCGACACGATATATAACCTCGCGCGCATAGGCGAGTCCGAGGTGGCAGAGGGGAGCGAACGGCCCCTATACCCGATCAAGATTACGAGCATCGAGATTCTAGTCAACCCGTTCGAGGACATGAAGAAGAGGGAACGCATCGCCACGCAGCAAAATCAAGCCCCAAACACCGCTGTCAAGAAAGAGAAGAAGAAGCCAAAGGGCGGCAAGAAGCTGCTCAGCTTTGGTGATGACGAAGCTGACGGTGAAGCTGCACCCGTGATCAAGAAGGCCAAGTTTGACACGCGAATAGTCATGGACATTGATGAAGAAGATGAAGCACCAAAACCGAAACCGGCCAAAAAGAAGAATGAAGATTCCTCTGTCAAGACGATACCCGTTCGAGAGGCACCGCCTGAACCTTCGAAACCGAGATCGCCTTCGCCGCCCCCGAAGCGAGAAACTACAAAAGTCAAGTACGAAGATATTGCGTCTCCTGAGCCCGAGCTACCAAAGAAGCAGTCTGCATTGGAACGAGCCAATGCAGAGATTGCAGCCCTGAAGGCGTCCATGAGGAGAGATGCACAGGTTGAACCCGTCAAGGAAGCCAAGAAAACGGGCATTGAACAATTCATACCAGAGACGGCAACAAGAGGCAGGAAAAGGAGGCGCGGTGGTGCTGACGACTCAATCTCGACTCCCGAATACTCACAGTTTGAGAGCTTCAAGGCCAGACTACAACAAGCTGCACCACCGACCACTGTACCAAAGGTCGAGATCAAGGAAGGTGTGGAGGAAGCCAATGTAGCGTCCGGGAACCAGGATGAGGAGGCAGAACTGTGCGATCTACATTTCATTGCAAACTGCCAGAGCTGCAAGTCCTGGGCAGAAGCCGAGAAGGAAGCAGAGAGCGATGATGAGGGTTGGATGGGGCACGCCTTGAGTTTTGCTGCTGATAAGCTGGGCAAGGACCTGAGCTATCGGAAGAAGGCTGAGGAGGAGCTCGTGGTGATAGACCCTAGGGACAAGGCTCGGACGCTCAAGGAAGAAAAAAGAGCCAAGGCTGATGCGCGAGCTGGGGGCAGCAGTCGTGAATGGGATCAAGCTAGGAATGCAAAGCTGGCGAGACAGAGTGCCCTCGCTGGCAGGGGTGCCCGGTAAAGCAGCATTCCACAATAACGAATCTATACTCATGATACCCTTGCACAATTATTCCGTGAAGCTCGTCGCTGTTTGGTGAGATCCCACGTGCATTCCTAATTTGTGAGTTGTACGCCGCCGCGTAGAGACTCATGGTTGACCAAAAACACCGATGCACACTCAGTATAATCGATCTCGACAAGTCCCCACTTGCCTCATTTCCGTTCTGATCGGCGATGGGTCTTCCGTACGGGCGGGGCTCTTACACGAAACTCAGCACGCTCACCTGCAGATAGAAAGTCAAATGGAAGGACATTCCTATAAAGCCCACCTTGTGAAGCCATTCACAATTTCGAGCTCAGATCCACCCCGGAGGATAGCTCCGGCCGTGGTGTTCAAGTTGGGAGGTTTTATTCGGTCTCGTAATCATGCTCGGCCCATGCTCGTCCCACTGGCAGAGCCAAAGTCCAGCTCCCGTTGACTGATGAATCATGAGTTCTAATGTTTGCTTACTTGCAGTATATATGCTGGATTTGTATCTTATCTTCGGATATGGAGATGATTTACCAATGGATATAACGTGTCAAAAGAGAGCCGGTCGTCGAGCGACCAGCAAGCAGTACGAATTGGGAGACTACGACGATGAAAAATGCGTCCAACGGGTCAAAGTGAACCAGCCAGTGGGTATTTTAGTACTGGCTACCTTTAGTATAAAAATCCGGGGTCCTCGACTAAAGGCCCACGGATGCTACGGGCACTCTATTGATGAGCAGCCATTCCATTGGATTCATACCTAACCCAGATCATAAAAAGTACTGCACTCAAACGGCAATAACATTACTCAGTGACCCCTGCAGAACAACAACCTGCGGACTCATGCCGCAGGCCCCTGCTTGCATATTTTTCTCTCTCTCTTCCAACTTTGACCCAGCATCAAACTCACAAGAGCAGCGAGAGCTTCTCCGGTGCTTTAGCTCCGGGCGTAGTATTCGAGTCTCTGTGCGCCGTTTTCTGCCAAGACCTGAAATGGCTTCATTGTAACTACCGCTACTCTAGAGAAGGGACCAAATCCACAGATGAGATCCTTGTAGGTCTGGACCAAAACTTCCAGATGCTCCCAAAAGCTCACAAGTTGGCGCATAATGCTTTGCTTCTAGACTCATGTGAAGAGCAGATCCCGGAGCTTCTGGACGGAATATATAATGAGGGGGAACTACCTAGCCTCAGATATCAAAGTTGTAGATTATAGATCTTTGCTCTCCAAACTTCCCAAGCCATCTTATACATCTCTCTCTGCCGGCATACGGACCATACACCCTTTCACGAGTCAACCATACATACATTATTACTTTTTTCTTGAATATCAAGATTCAAACCCCCTTGTTGCGGTGCGTCTCCGAGAACAACAGCAGGTTATGATTGGCAGTTGAGCTCTCTCTGCATAAAAAGGCTTGGCATTTTTGGTGACACCATAGTATCCACCCCACCGCACGCCATTTGGTGAGCAGAGCTTCATTCGCCCAGTCGGAAGAGAGCATTTTTGGCACTCAAAATTTTGACCCCCCGAAGCCAACAAAGACTCGGTTGAGCAAGACAAGACAGGAGATTTATTTTGATTATCTCCCCTCTCTTCTCTCCTGTCGGTCGGTTATCGCCTAGTCCGTGTGATCCGGTACGTCCCAAAAGAATACATATTGCTGGACTTGACCAGACGCACTGCAAACACGCAGCAGCCGTTCCAGGTGCCCAGTTCAGTACGTATCGCGTTGTCGTGTCCCGTCCCCAGGCACCACTCGGGCGCTTTAATCAATCGAGTCAGCCCAGCACCTGAACTGAACACCCCCCGCGCCTGCGCTTGTCCAATTAGGCCCCAGCGTGTCAAAAGTATCCTTTCCCATTGACGACAAGCCTTGTCGCCCTAGAAAAAAGCAGTTAGGAAAGCGCCCGCCCGCGACCTAGGTACAGCGAAGTTTTGCGACCCGGTCCTTGCGGGGAGAAAACAACAACGTGCGGGTCTCCCTCTTCTTTTTTGGTCAGTCCTTTTAGCGTCTGTCTGTCTCTGTCTCTCAGAAACACAACTTCCCAAAATCTTTGCTGCCCACCACGCGGCAGCTTCCCCCGAGAGACATAATCTCAGCTGTCTCTCTTGTCTCTTGCATCCTTTGCTTCTCCTTCTTCTCTGCCTTGGGACTCAGAGAGAGAGAAGGAAAAGAGCGCATCAGTCTCTCAGACACCCCTCCAAGAATTGATTCACTTGACACATTTGCTTGAAGCCCGCCCGCAGTGGATGCTCATTATATAGCGGCAAGCAGAACGCAACGTGGGGTTGATTTGCTGGACTCTCTCGACGAACGACAGCTGGAACCCACCATCAACATCCAATTGTAATTTTGTGACGCTGCAAGTCGGGACGAGATAATTGAGAAGAGAAGAAAATATAAAACAGAAGCAATAAGACGGACCCAAACGAGTTACAGAAGGTTTGCGGGCATTCCATCCCTGGGCACAGTTGAGCGAACTCAAAAAAAATTTCCCCGTTCAGAGAGGGACGCCGCCCTTCCCCCAGATCCTTCCTGTGCGCATTTTGCGACTGCAACCCAATTGGCCAGCACCACGGAGCCCTTGACGCCTGGCCCAGGAATAACCTCGTGTCGCACAGCAAACTGCATATCTCATCCCGTCAGTCTGCCTCACTGGAGCCTCGTGGCAGCTCGGTGCGCGCAACGCGACAAGACCGCCCCGTTCTCCTCAATCTCTTCATTCTCGACAAGTTTCTTGTCTTTCCGACTACGTCACTGTCGCCGCGACCACACGCTATCTGATCGTTGCAAGCCGGCCGACGGCATCACAATTTTCGCCTGACCCGTCAAGCTGGTCCGCCCGGTCACCCAAGCCGCCCCGCGTTGAGCTGGCTGCTGCAATCCTCGAGTCGACACTGTCATACCCGATTCAACTGGAAGATCGCCCAGGCGGTCGTGGATTATTGAAGGAAAAGACACCACCACAGCACCCAGAAGCCGGTCCTATGATTCATCACGAGCCACTCTATCAATTTCCATATATGCAGTCACCCCAGACTGTACATCAGTCCATGTCGTCGCCCACAAATCCATCGAGGAAACGACGAGCACCCGGAAGCGAACCCGCATCGATGCAGACAGCATACTTTCCTCCACCACCACCTTCCGCCATCCCAGATCAGTCCTCAACGTGGACAGCTAACAACGCCAACTTCATGGAGAACTCAACGAACCCAAACCCATACGGCATGGTGTCGTCACCGCACCAGGCGCAGTTCACCCAGCAGGGTGTGCCCATAGCTACGCCGTCAACTGCACTGGCGCGGAGAGGCATGAACAACCAGCTGGTGGCAGCCAACAGATCGTACACACCGCAACAGAACGAGTTGTGGGCCAACTTCACAGATGATAGCCTCGTGCCGCAATCAAACGGTGGCAACGCTCAAGACGAGCATGACAACGTGGAGTTGCTAGAAGAGAAGGCCCAAAAGGCCAAGAGAGAAGCACAAGCCAAGCGAAAGCAGATTCCACCTTTTGTGCAGAAGCTAAACAGGTTTGTGGCCTCTGCAAAACAGCCCCATCTATCCAGAACTTTTGATTACTGACTATACTTAGCTTCCTCGAGAGTTCGAAGAACACCGAGCTGATCCGCTGGTCAGAGAAGGGCGACTCCTTCATTGTACTGGATGAAGATGAATTTGCCAAGACTCTTATTCCAGAGCTTTTCAAGCACAACAACTATGCCTCATTTGTGCGACAGCTGAATATGTACGGCTTCCACAAAAAGGTGGGGTTATCGGACAACTCTATGAAGGCGAGTGAGCGAAAGAACAAGAGCCCAAGTGAATACTACAACCCATACTTCCGACGCGGCCACCCCAACCTTTTGTGGCTAATCAACAAGCCCAAGAGTGGCGCATCCAAGAAGAAGGGCAAGCGAGTTGATGAGGCGGATGGTGACAGCGAGGAGGACATCATTGAGGATGGTGCATTTGGACCCAACTACCCGCAGCCCAACATTGCAGCAACTCGCGCACTGCCAGCTCCCGAAACTGGTACATTATCCAAAAAGGACTTGACAGTAGTACGAGACCAGATGGCGGACTTGCAAGGCCAGCAGCGCGCTATACATGACGCTATAGCCCGGTTACGCCGCGAACATGTTCAGCTTGTCAACCAAGCTAGGCAGTTCCAAGACCAACACAACCGACACGAGCAGTCCATTAATGCTATACTCTCATTCTTGGCCAATGTTTTCAAGGGGAAGATTGATCCCAATGGAGAAGTCTTCAACATCAATGATCTCTTCAATGGCATCATGTCCAATGGCCAAATACCACAAAATCAACAAAGTGGAACCGTGGTTGATCTAGGCGACTGGGATCAACAACAGTCTCGCGTTGCGCAAGACTTGACTTCACCTCCAAAGAGACAACAACGCCTTTTGCCGCCGGCCCCCCCTGAAATGGCCATCAAGCGCTCGGCATCTGCGAGTTCTGTTCCAACCCGCACACCGACGCCATTTGGCCACAACCAACCGCAGATGGGTACGGTCACGGAGCTTTTTGACAGTCCCAGCGACTCGGCGCCTACACCATCAAGCATCTTGGACGAGCTCAACACTAACCCTCAGGAAGGTATGATGAAGCTCATGCAGGATGTGAACTCGAATGTTGGTGGTGGCAACCCTAGACAATCCCCCAATGTCGGTAATGTGCCCCTCATGGGCAATGATCAACGAAGTCGTATGCTCCATGCCTTGGCGACACACGGCAACGGCTCCGCTACCGCTCCTCCAGCAATCAGCTTCAGCGCTCCAGCACCCGAACCCGCAGTGGCGGCACCGGTTCCGGTGAATCACACGTCCTTCTCGCCCATCATGGGCTCATCGATACCACCGCCTTCAATGACCAGGATATCCCAGACACAAGAGGAGATTGAGCAACTGCAAAAACTGCAACTCGAGCAAAGCCATAAACTGGATGAGCTCACCAGTCTGCTTGGTCACTACAGCCCTTCTGGCAGAATTCCGGGGCTGGAGGAGAACGGGCAATACTTTGATGACAACATTGATTTTGGCCAGTACCTGGACTCGAATGCATATAACCAAGACGGTCTACCCAGCGAATTTGATTTCGGTTCAAACCACTTTGACAATTCGAACCTCGACAATGTTAACACGGACAATCTCTTTGTGAACAATGGTGCCGGCAGGGCCGTGGGGTCAAACACCCCCAGCCATAATTCTGCCAGCCCCAGTGGGACGGAGGAGATCCCAAGAGACGACCTGGAAGATAGTCCCGGTCGTGCCAGCAAAAGACAACGAAAAGACTAGTAGTCACGTGGAAAGTATGTTGGATGTCTAGAAGAGTTGGCCTGTGCCCCGGGCCCGGAATGGAGTGGATTTTTTTAAAGCGTGATGATTCAATAAAGTCAGTTGTGGACATTCATTTCTCGGGTACCGGTTTATCTGGAGTTGAATGGCCTTTGGGAATAGAGCACAAGGGATGTGCGTTTTTATGCTTGAAAGAAGGCCAACATATTGATGATGACACATTCATAGTGCGCAGGACCAGACGGTATAACACGATCGCTAGACTGGCCTGACAATGGCCCAATTGATAACTCTGACGACAGTGCAAGCTCTGTCAATAGCAAAACTTTGGGACCTATTTCAAACTTGTGAAGCCAGTGTGATAAGAGTCGGCTGACAGCGGCACCATGAACAGAGTCAAGGAGATAGACAAGCATCAAGAATCTGAAAATGTGTATTTGATTTGGTATATTTGGCGCTGGGCAACAAAATACTATGCTCGGTAGTGATTTGTAATGTGTCAAGAGATGCTCCACCTTGATTATAGTAGTATAGCTGAGCTGTGGGGTTTATAGACTAGGAAATGGCCGGTGGATTTTGCTGAAGATTTGCTTATGGCTACTGTGCGATTAATGATTCGTGTACTTGCCTCGTATAATCCCGGCCTATTGTGGAAGTTGTCCAGGACTTTTCATGTCGGGATAAAATCATTCATATTCATAAGCTTGGCCAGTCGCACCGACTAAAAGTTCTGTAATCTGTTTCCAATGTCAGGTCCACAATATAAGGATCCGAGCATGGATTAATGCAAGGGTTTTGATGCTCCGCTTGAAGATTGCCTCCGGGAACCGGGACCGGAACCTTTTTACATCCGGCCCTGGATATGGACTTTGCTCACGTTTCTATTGACAAAGGTAAGCAATCATTGACAGGCGTGCAAGGGCTTCTCTGTTGCGGCGGCAAAACAACTATATGCCATGATATCTATCCATCACATAATCAGTATGAAATAGTCAGCAGCCGATCAATCTAGCAATATCTATGTAAAGTGTCGAGAGGCTGGCTGATGGTGGAAGCTGATGGCGCTCTTCACAGAATGTCTATAAGAAGGGAGCATTTCCTGGCACGTTCTCGTCTTGAATGAAACCAGTCAATACGACAAGCCTTTTGTACGAATAACAAACAGTCTTTTATTCAAGCGCATTCAAAATGTCTTCTTTTGAAAGATTCCTCGAGAAGGCCATTGCCGATCAAGACATTCACGGGGCTGCGATGGTGGCCAAGAACAAGTCGGGTCAGTACCCGTTCTCATGAGCAGCCCAAAAGTCCTCACATTGCTAATGGTGCTCTTGGATTGACCAAACAGGCACGCTCAATTACAGCAAGTCCGTCGGCTTACAATCGCCGCTCACGGATCCCAGCACGCCCTACAGCCCGTCCACCATCCAGGAGCTCGCGTCCATGACCAAGCTGCTCACCACCATTGCTGCGCTGCAGCTCGTGGAGCGCGGGCTGGTGACGCTCGACGAGGATGTTGCAGCCAGTCTGCCCTCTTTGGCGTCGCAGCGCATCCTCAAGGGCTACGATGATTATGATGAAAGCAACGGCGGGCGGCCTCTACTTGAACCACGCCGCAATCCCATCACTCTCCGCCAACTCCTCACCCACAGCGCCGGCGCCGGCTACACGTTTGTTCCCGGTTCGCCGCTGAAACGGTACCAGACCAAAGTCCTAGGTCGACCGTTGGTGCAGGGCGCCACCATTGACGAGCGCTTTGATCAGCCGCTCCTGTACGAGCCCGGCGAGGGCTGGGCGTACAGCTCATCCATTGACCGCGCAGGCCAGCTCGTCGAAAAGATATCGGGCACGACGCTAGAGGCATACTTTCAGACGCACATTTTCGCGCCCCTGGGGATCCGCACCGGAACATTCTGGCCCGACCCCAGCCTCGACGACCGACGATCCGCCGTGTCATTTCGGGACGCGGAGACGGGCCGCGCGGTGCAGAGGCCCGGCGCCACGACGCTGGTCAGCGGGACCGTCGAGTGCTTTGGCGGCCAGGGTGTGCACATGTCGACCGAGGACTATATGCGGGTGCTCGCGTCGCTGCTGCACGACGACGGCGCGCTGCTGCGGCCGGACACGGCGGCGCTCATGTTTACGCCGCAGCTCAGTCGGCCGTCCAAACGGGCTCTGCTCGAGGCCATGGAGGACCCGAGCTGGGCGGTTGGGCATTTTCCTCTCACTGGCGAGTATGATTGGGGCCTTGGCGGGATTCTGGTCGACGGGCACAGTCACGAGTTTAGGAAAAAGGGGGCGTTGATGTGGGGAGGTGCTGCCAACTTGACTTGGGTGAGTCTTTTTCTGCTGCCGTGTGGTTTCTTTAAACGTCTTGTATTTGCAAAATTGTTTACTGATCCGAGACCTGCCACAGTTCATCGACAGAGAAGCGGGTGTATGCGGTGTCTTTGGCACTCAGCTTTACCCTCCCGGAGATTCCAAGGTCAATAAACTCCACGAGGCTTTTGAGAAGGAGGTGTACGAGCTTGGGGCGACACGATAAGTCGTGATGGTTGGTATAGGTATACAGAGTGTACCAATTGCATTATTTTGATTATTTAAACTTAGTCGGCATTTGGGTTATAGAAGGGTTTCATTGTATAGACGTCCGTAACATATAGATTATCGCATTTTTACTTCCATCTACCAGAACTTCTATTTAATCCAACAAAGCCAAACTCGACAAGCCTTCCAATGCCTCCCAAAGCTCCTTGTCCTCTTCACTTAGCACTCCGCTTACCTCTTTGATAAAGATGACATCCTCCCAGTCACGCTCTGCCAATTCAAGTAGCATTGCCCTCAACTGACCCGTGTCAAGCTCATCAATCCGGAGCTGATCCTCTAAAGGGGTGTCGAGGTGTTTGTGATCTGCCTGGGGTGGCGACCGGCGCCCCTTATGCCGATGCAGATGCATCTCATAAAAGTCCATATCCCAGTCCAGACCAAGATGATCGGCATAGTGCTGGAACATGACAAAGAGATCGGCAGGGTAAATAATGTGGGCAATCATGACTGGGGAGCTGGTAAATGCGTGGTCGAACTTATGCACGACGCCTTGGTGCTCTATCCAGACGTGGAGCGTTCGTCTCATGAAGAGACTGTGGGTGTGTTGTTGCATTGTCAGTCTTTTCTTCTTGTTGCAGACTGGTGTTACCTGGTATAATTGTTTGCGTTTTCGAAAATTGGGATAAGTCATAATTTCTGACGCCCGGCCCACAAGTCTTTTGATATATATAAAAGTAGAGAGAGACGACTCAGCGTTGGCAATGACTAGAATCACATGAATGCATCAGGTTTTACTTTTGGTCGCCTGGGGGAGACAAGTGTTATTATGAAGCAGGTAATACCATTGTCATTTCATGTGAACAAGGGAATTGACTGGCAGACAAGGATTGCATTGTCTCGAAAGATCCTGTGCATCTGAAAGGTGTTTTGACTGGCACCAACGAAGAACAACTCGGATTTGCACTCATTCATCAATGCTTGGTTTGGGAACTGGACAGAGACTATCTGCACAAAGTGAGGGCACTACTTCAACCCTCCAATCCGCGTAAGCGAAACTCATGAAATGATCCATATGAACAATGCTTGCGGTGATATCAAATGTGTCACCGTTGCCGTCATGTCAAATCTGCACTTCTCCAGGCCGAGCGGCTCTGCACATGAAGACCCGCAAAGCTTTGACATGGTACGAACACAGTGGTATGGTAGTGCCATATAGTAGACGCGAACGTTAACTACCATGACCGTGTAATGTCTGTTATTATTCATCTACTCCACAGTTAGCATTTTTCGTTGTAAGACATAATTTGATTAACGTCTTAGGAGTTGCGGGTGACTCTGACACACACACTGGGGCGGCCTATGCATCATATGTCTCTGTTCCCTGGGTTGCATTGTCTTTCGACTGAACTCGCCATATGTATCTTGAAAGATTGATAAATCGTGAGCAGGCCATGCTCAAGCTCTATTGCTAGACTAGATGGTCGAGTTGTTACAAGGGTATCGGACTGATTTGCCGGTGATCCGTCGTCGATTTATGGCTGTTGAAATATATGCTATATATCTTGTTCAAATCAAACAACACATTGATGGGTATGTATATGCTTCTCGGGAGGATTCTAGATAATATCCTTTTAATTAATATTTGGGGTATCAAATAATCGTATCTCATGAAACGCCATTTCCCTAGAAATCTCTTTGCTACGCAGCTTCAGATTGGCTGTTGACTTGTTCTTTTTCTTGCAAACGCTCATTACATAGTGTTTCTGGAACGTATTCCCGTGAGCTCTACTTCCAAACCGCCGAGAAGCTATCTCTTGCGCATTTGGTTTTGGCCTCCCCAAAAGGGATTCGGTTGAAAGGGGTGGAGCTCGTTCTCATCAGTGCCCAACAATTTGGTCCTATCGCCTTCATCCGGCACTGGCGGTGCACAGCGCACTTCACCTCGAAGGATTTCTATGACAGAGATGAGTGGCAGAATGAGTAGAGTCAGCGAAAGTAGGGTTCCAAAACTCCACGACTTTTCTCCTTCATCAGCCAGGGGTACAGACGGCGAGCCAAAGGCCTGGGACAAGGTTATCACCCGCACCGTAGCGCCAACGGCGCTGGCAGTCATAAGTACCAGTCCCATAATTTGCGTGATGCGATAAAACTTCTGGTCCCGCGAGTGAAGGTACCACGTGGCCATCCCGAAGATGATAGCATTAATGGCAATAACGGCAATGGTACCGAAGTACGACAGCGATTTACTAGCTCCGGAGCTGGACGTCTTGACGGCATCGGAATCCCACACACAGGCAATGGGCAAGGTCGACTCGGTCAGGCCGTTTTCTACGGCCTTGAGAATAATGCCTCCGTAGACGGAACTTAGTGCCAGGCTGACAAACATGAGAAACTGTCGCAGCCAGCGCAGAACCCTGGAGAAGGCGATGTAGGTCAGCATATCTGCGTGGGTTACACAGGTAGTAGTAGTGAATGAACCCACCAGTCACGGCGAAAGTCGTGGACGAGAGCCAAAAGAGTGGCATTGTGAACCGCCATGGCTAGAAGCGAGAGCATCCATATGATGAAGAAATGGTACGGGATCATGATGTGCATCTTGACCAGCCCTACAGATTGAATGCCGATACCAGTCAAAATCTGCTGATCCGAATATGCGTTGAGAAGCTTGCGCCGGACCACCGAAGGTTTGCTCTGTTTGTAATATTGTTCCTGGATGATGAGCGAGGCGGATATGACGATAGCAATAACAGCCGTGAAGATGAAACTGAGGAGGACCTGCAGTGGACAATATCAGTGATGAGCTCCTGCCATGCCAATGCAAAGAAGACGTCAACATCAAGATCGCAAGGCTGTACAGAGGTCGCTACCAAAAATCATCAGCCGCCTGGCCACCAATCT